AGAAAGCTTCAGCAAAGCAGCATATCAAAACTTCGAAGCTACATTTCACGGGTACTAGGCTTCAGGGCCAGTTTCTTCTTCGCCCAAAGGGAGTTAAAATTACTGTACAACTACTGTACAGATGTTCACAAGAGAGTACTTCGGCATTTCTCAACAAAAGGTCACTCTTATTTTACATTCTGAACAAGTGAATCGGCCCCATGTGGCGTTGTCTCTGTACATGGTTAATTGCTGATGGCAACTGCAGTAACATATACAATTAAACCTGGATCCGGAAGTAAATTTTTTTATTTTACACCGTAAGCCAGCAATGTGTTTTTTCGCTCTGACCAGGGCACATAGGGGTCCTCCAAATTCAGAAAAATCTCATCGTTTGAAAAAAGATAGTATACTACCCAAGTATGCTTAAAAAATATTTTCAGCTGCTGTAATTCGGATACGCGTGGCCAGCGCAAATTAAAAGAGTACGCAATACCGCATACGTACTACCTATGTTATTTCAATCATCAATGCACAGCGCAGGCTTTATTCATACAAGCACTACATAGCAGTCACTGCAAGACCATTCGCATGGACTCGGGCAGCTGCACAGCACCGAGGCAAGTGAAACCCGCGTGCGGTCGTCCCTGTTATCGCTTTCAAATTGCCGACATTCAAAAATGTGCTATTATCTATCATGTGTTATTACTACAGTATGGGACAAAATGTGTAGTGTAGTGGCTACGCGCCATATTAGCGCGTAGCAACCCGCATGGCTGTGTTGACCTGTAGAGGATGCATTTTATGTGGAACTACGAGTATTTCATTATTCAGTATCTATCCGGCCAGAGTGGCACAATAAACATCTGTGCCAAGACGTGACAAAATGCGAAAACTTTCTTGTAATAATTAAATACACCAATCCAGAAATAGACAAATTTTGAAGTTTGACAACGGTGGAAGGGACCACCGCGTTCACTTACCTCGGTGCTAAGCAGCCGCCCGAGTCCATGCTAATGGCCTGCAATGACTGATACTAGTACTTCGAAGTATGCATAAAGCCTGTGCTGTGCATTGTAATAACATAGTACGTATGCGGTATTGCGTACTGTTTTAATTTGTGCTGGCCACGCCTATCTGAATTACAGCAGCTGAAAATATTTTTTTAAGCATACTTGGGTAGTATACTACCTTTTTACAAAAGATGAGATTTTTCTGAATTTGGAGGACCCCTATGTGCCCTGGTGAGATAAATTATACGAAACCAACGTCAGAATAAGAAGTACTGAATGCAGTCTACCGGTACCCTATCTGTGCTCTGTCATATGCAAAAGGTGAAAAGTAGACATGCATGATGCATCCCTAAATCCTCCTCGATGAACTCGAGTATATTACATCTTAGTTCAGTAGCGCGTTCGTGATATTCAGAATCATTCAGTGGTTATTCAGTACATTTAATACACTACCATGAAAGTAGAACGTCTTTTAATTGTTTATATCGTTAATTTTAGCGCAAAAGTACATAACAAAAGCGCTGCAACTTGTTTCGACTACATTATAGCTATGAGCGCAAACGCACAACCAAATCAGCAATAGTTATATTTGCTTAAGCTTGCGTCCAAGCGTTGGCGCTCGGTAATCGCTCTCTAGCTGGGCGAATATGAGAATTATGTACAGTCACAACTTATTTTTCTCATTTGAATTTGCTTTCATTATTGTGGAAAGCAGTCGGTTTCTCCTGGCTCCTGTGCGCCTTTACTACGAACGGACCGGAACGGTAAACAATTAATGACCAAATCTTGGTATCTGCGGATGTTCCTCAAGGACTAAAAACAATATACCGTGCAGTACAGTACACAATGGTAGTATTTGCTATTACCACATTCTTCACCAAATTGCAACCGGAAGGAAGTCAAGACAACACGCCCTGTTGACTCAACCATAACCACTATCGCATTCTTTGCTAGGTAGGAGCCACTCGGAAGGAATTCAGGATGTACAGGTCGAATAGATAACATTTAATTTGTGAGCTGTTCTAAAATTAGTGGTGTTCGGGCTGCGGGCCTTCTAAAAGCACTATTTAAACAGCGAATTATGGGAATGTGTCTTCACTTGCCCAGTTTGCTATAGAGTAACGACGTGATTAATTACTGTGCAGTTTATTTTAGCCAACATGGCTGTCTATGGCTGTTTTATTTTCTTTACCGTAATGTGCAACTGCCTTAGTGCACCTGTTGGCAACAACGGAACCCACAGTCCCATTTATCCAGAAGATAATTCGTCGTCTCCTCCAGGGTTAAACCTGTTACGGGCCATGTCAGATTTGGATAGCAAAGATGAGCCGCTTCTATTCGAAGGAGATATTTTGGGTGTCATCGAACCAGGTGACACTCTGGCAGATCTGGTATGTTTACACGTTATTCATTCAAAAAGTACAACTTTACCTCAAGTTTGCCGGCAGCCAACTGCGAGGGTTATATGACCTCTTCCAGTTCTCGTACTGGACAAGTGGGCAAAAACCAACAGTCGTTGCTACGCTTTACTCACGTGAGCGACCAAGGTTATGCCAGTCGCCATACATCGGAGCACATTAGGTAAAATTTAATTTACGTAGATCCCTTTTATGTACAGGAAAATTCATGTACACCAAAGTAATCAACATCCTAGGGTAGTGGTTGGTGGGTATCTAGGCAAATTACTTTCCGGAGAAATTTTAAGGCACTCTGCTCTTTCATATAATTAAGTCACTGTGTAGTCCCTGTGATGTTAATAAGTGGTAATTAACAGGAAATCAAGTTGAACAATCCAGGAAAAGCGGTTATGTTTAACAAGCTCTGACCCGGCGGAATAATTTATTACAATATCTCAGATACTTTCACTATGTCACAAACAATCGACATTTACACGGCAATGTGGTGGATAGAATTGACCGGCGTCATAGGGTTTGTTCGAAGAGAATCCCAGCCAGATTACATTGACATCATCAAAGGCGCCGGGTAAGTGGCTCACGATATATGTAAATACATCTCCGCCATTGAAGTTGTTTTTGCAATACCTGAATGGCTATTATTCTAGCTTTCTTCAAAATATCAGAATTTTTGAATTTAGACCCGGAAAATGTGCCCTGGTTAGATTTCAGAACGCTTAAACGTTAACCAGTGATTCCAAGTCGATTAACAGAAAATCTTCAAAAGCTGTTTGAGTAATATGGAGATCTGTTAAGCACCATACCGAGTATCAACCGTTTTGTTTTATTTTTTAAAACATTTCCAAAATTTTGGCGCTCAGTTTATACTTCCTGACGGTGATTAATTTTGAAAAGAATTACAGCGGCATACATTCCTTGTAGTTCAGCAACTTAAGTTGCCAGTTTGTCTCGGATGAGCTTTAAGAACATACAACAAAAATTCGATAGAACGCTGCTCGCTTCAACACGAGAATTGAGCTTCTACTAAATTTTACTACAGAACGCTATCGCAAGTTCGCAACAACAGCCTACAGCAGAAAAAAAGTGCTCGTCACAATAAAATTATTTCCTTGTTGACCTTTCATTGAATCGGTCTTGCAATATCTTCGGCGAAAAAGCAAGAATGAGTTTTTTGTCCTCTTGTGATCTCCTTTAGTAATTAAGTGCTCTGCAATGCACATTTTATACTGCCCACAAAACTTTGCTCTGCAGTGCACTGTTAGACGATGAAATCGTTTTTGATGCATGCGTTGACAGATGTTCTGTCTGCAGATAAAAAACATAAAATTTCAACAAATACGGAGCCAACCTAATCACCTTCCGGCACGGAGTACGACTTCGACTCAATCATGCACTACGATGACAAGGCTTTTGCGATTGACAAAGGTAACTGGACAATCAGACCCAAGGCGCCATGGCAGAATACGCCGATTGGTCAACGCGGTGGGATGAGCTACAACCACGCTGTGGAAGTACAAATGATGTACAAACAATAGGTGAAACTTAAAGCTTTTCAGCACCCTGCGCTCTGACGTCGCCGGAGCCAGTGTGCAGTATTAAGCCTTTTCTACTTCTGACATTTCAATCCTTAAACACCAACGACAAAAGTCGGTGCTTGTAAATCCCGGCTGAGGGTGTCAAAGATTGAGTTTTCCCTTTAAGCCAAAGACTGTCACGTTTTCCTGTTTCAAGCATTTACTACTTTTGTACCATGTTCAGACGTTACTACCATAACCACATCAAAATAAACTTCGTTCTTTATTATGTTCTGTTTCTTTTGGTTCAATCGGAGCAGTACAATAACTTGCATAAAACCGCCTAAACGCAATAAAATTCTAACACTACCGTTCTAAAAATTTTGCAGACTTTTCCTTCAGTAGAGTTATTTCTTAAGCAAGCAAATAGTTCTTGCCGATGGGCACTGGTCAGCTTGGATCATATCTGTTGCATCGTGAACAATGTTACGTGAATGCCTGCAAACTAGCTCGGTATCAATTGCCACAGATTCAATTTTTATTATGCAGTTGAGTGAAAGAAGTCATCGTGCCATGCATATACCGTAAACTTATCCAACCACTTTTTTAAATTAATTCTGGCAAATATAGCATTTTCTTTTTGAAATTGCAACCGAAAGTCTATGTAAACTGCAACCACACCTTCGGACGTAGCAAAAATGGCATTTGATGATTTATTCGTAGAACTGCTAGTTTTTAACAGACCAAACGATTCCCGGATGCCATTACCAGTAATGGATTGCGAGGAATCCATAAACAGTTTGTCGCAAATAAACACCGCTTTACGATTTCCGGACCGCTTTTCTTGTATCCTAGAGAGGAACATGAAAGCAAATCTTTGAATCCAGGCAGCTTTACGGCATTAAAACTTTAATGCTGTTGGCAAGAGGGTTTGCGGCTATAGTGCACAGCCAGTTGAAAGCCGAGTGAAATGGCTGATGCGTTATCTTTGGTCGTAAAACGAAATGTCGTGCGCAAGACGGCAGTGAACTCTTTGATAGCAGTTTCCGCAACGTTTATAAGCGAAGCAGTTGCAGCAATAAGGATAGTCTGCGGTTTGTCGGATGACTGATCGTATTTCCATATTACTGTTTTAAAATGAAGCTGCTTAGCGTGACCTTTATCCTGGCTCTTGGCTATGTGCAAGGTATATTTTTGTGACCTATCTGTGGTGCCATTATTTAATCAGAATGTTCTATAGGCCAGGTGGTGGATACCTCCATTAGCTCGGTGCAGCAGGCCATTGTGAGCCAGCACAACAACCTCCGCCGTCAAAAACCGTCAACCGCTATGTTCCAGATATCATGGGATGCGGAAACCGCGGACCGTGCACAGCAATGGGTGAACAAATGCAATTATGCGCATCCTCAGTATGGAACTTCTGATTATGACACATACATGAAGACATCCAGTAAGGGTCCAAAACTAGATTAATGATATGGCTTTACAACTCAAGTAATCAATATACTGGAAAGCAGCACCTTTTCTTGTGAACTTCCATACATTCGCGATAAGCTGATACAATCAGATTTTAGCTTCTTCAATATTAAAAGAGTTAAAAAAATCTGATGAGTACGATCCAAAATATTTGCTTTGCTTCTACAAGAAATGTTTCGGGAAATGCCCACCAGATTTACTTAAAACGTTACAATGACGTATTATGTGAAATCGTTCCAAGATTACTTTGTACATCATTATAATTATTACTATTGCGTCAGTCGAAAAACAAGTTTAAAAACATCGCGTTTACTTGATTATTAACGCAGTAGAAATTGCAGTCTTTCTTAATATTGTTGTTTTTTTCTTAGAATATTCTCTTGGTCAGAATATCGCCAAGAGCAGCAACGTCCTTAGCTGGAGCGATATTGTTAACCTGTGGTACAACGAGGTTAACAGTTTTACATTGGGTCAGAGCACCAGCGCCATGGTCGGTCATTACACACAGGTAAGATGCGCTCATGTTGTTTGATGAACTCAAAGACTGATGAACTGAGTAATTTCATCCTACAGATTGTGTGGAACACAACGTTTCTTCTGGGATGTGGATACAAAAATTGTGGATCTTTCAATTTTTATGCATGCGATTATGCTCCAGCGTGAGTATCAGCCTTCCTTACCTTAAGCAGTTTCGCAGTTTTCTGGCTACCTCTACGGTAGATAAGAGCGTATCAATTTTTATCTCGTAACGCGAGTTAATGGTACTATTATTAATATATTAACATTGTGACCTTTCAGTGGTAACGTTGTGCCTAACCAGTACAATCCGTACGAAGCCGGCACACCCTGCGCTAAATGCCCGACAGCCTGCACCAGCAACCTCTGCAGTAAGCCAATTTCTTGGTTGTACAAAATATCACTTTTCTCTATTGCATCGGTTAAATTGTTATAGCCAATCCGTGCCCATACACGAACGAATACAGCAACTGCGACAAACCAGACGGGGACTACGATGCGCTCTTCCCCGACGGATGCGACAATGCACCGGACTACCTAGCCGACTACAAGCAGTACTGTCAAGCGACGTGCAACTGCAAGGGAACCCTGTTGTACTAAATGGCTGACCGTATAGGCTGCATGCATCCAAGGATCATGCTGGTCCACCTGACTTCGCCTTGATTATAGCCCGATTTAGCACTACTGTTTTTCTTGACGACTGCGCTTTCATTGTTTCCCACGAACATTGTAACCAAAAATGGCTCAAAATCTAAATTTTTCGCTTAATGTTTGTTGATTCTCAAGGGTCATAAATCCATAGAGGTATGCAATGTTCGACGTGTCAGCTGACGTAAGTGGAATAACTAAATAAAGGGCACGAGTTCGAACTAGTAACAGAATAAATGTTCAGTTGAACTTAAAACTTGAAATAAGATTGTTGTAGCAGAGGCAGAGGGAATTAATCAGTGGAGGATTGCAGTTTATCTTGGTCAGACAGCGTTTTTATTACATATATACAGATGGTGCGTCTGTCGCCAGAACGTCTTCAAACGTTTTTGTCCGTTTGCAGCGGCCTTTTTCCCAATACCGACGCGCGTCTTGGTGCCGTCTTCCCACGGTCCGTAAGTCGAACAGGACTCAGGCCGTTAGATAAGGTTGTGTCACGCCTACCACGGCCAGTAAAAGCCATGCGTACATAAAGTTACCTGTTTCGAATAATTCTCCGCCGTTCCGGCATTTAAAATTAGTGACGTGGATTCAACCTAAGCGGTTGTTGTATCCATATAGGTGGTCAATGGCATAATAACGCGGCAAGAGTGATAACATCCGGTCTCTTGTAAATTTTAATTGATCTATCCTACAGCTACATGAAAAACCATCCATCGTGCATGGAAAACCGGCTGTTATTAGCCCGGATCGATCTTGGCGCTCATGCGACCGGGTCTAGCAGGTTGTAGTCCCGCAGTTTTCGCAATGAATTTCCAGTTCCAGCAACTTAAAACGTGGATTTCGTCTATGCCTAGAATATAAGCATTTTAATTAATTTAAAGTTACTTGGGTTACAGGTTTTTCTTTTCGACCGAAAATAAATAACTACTTGTACTTGAGGTTGCTGAATAGAAACGTCTCCGTCATTTTACACAACGATTAACTTTTCTAAGAAACGCAAAGCGTATTATAAGTTTATAACACAAGTTAGACAATCACACTAACAAAATCAGTCGCTAAATTGTATCGTTAAAATATTGCCTCTTAGCGCAATTTTACATCGAAGTATTTTGAAACTAACCAGAAAACCGTTTAGCAGTATGCGGCCTGCTACATTTTTTTTTATTTTGAGTTAAATAATAATGCCAACCTTACTATCAAAAACTGATTTGTATATTTCAAAGGCAAACTTAATAACCGGGATCATGCATAGTAGAATGCAACTTTTTATAACGAATCGCGACAACCGCTTTATGGCAATTAGAGGATTTTATTGCCGGGGAGGTCACTGAAAATAAATACTGTATACAGCCAGAGGTATCAGATACTAACAAGAATCCATAATAAGCCTGTACATTGCAATAGATATAACTATCAGAAAATAACACACTCACGTCTCACTCAAAAACAAAATTTGACTATAGTTGCAAACTAAACCGTACTCCGTAATCGACCGCACATTTAGTTTGGGCAGATCTGCAGTGAATGCACAGCAAAACGGTAAACCATTGTACAATTAGTCGTAGAGCTTCGTGCCGAAACAGTTGCATGTGGCAGCGCAGTACTGCTTAAAGCTCTGCAAAAACGATGCGGCGTTGGCGCATCCTTTGGGGAAGAGGGCGTTGCTGCCCTGGCAGGTCCGTTCACAGTTGCAGTACTGATTGGTGTAGGTACAAGGGTTGGCTGCGATAAAAGCATTAATCAATAACAGACCAATTTTTCCAAGAAATGGTTTTACCATTTCATTAATTTTTATTGATTTATAACAAATGCAACCGCTACCACGGTTAAAAAATTACTTCGATAAAATAAACCATCACTGTTAAATAACATTATTAATTAGTAAAACAAAATCTATAAAATAAAAATTGTAACATGAAAATATTAAATAAAATAACATTACTGACAATGAAAGATTAGCGGCTACTGCCGAAATGAAATACTGAACGATGCAGCAGCCAAAAAAGATCATGTAGCGGAACAAAAAAGGTTAAGGAACATTATGAATTAACTTTTTGTTTCTATAACTTACTGCATAATCCGTTATCGCAGGCGGTTGGGCATTTGGCACAGGCTTTACCGGCTTCGTACGGGCTGTACTGGCGCGGAACAACGTTACCTCTGCAAAATCGTTGAAACTTATAATTAGTTAGCAAACGTTGTGGCGTAATTAAGCCGCAGAGATGAGGGATATAGTACGTACGCTGGAGCGTAGTCGCAAACGTAAAAGTGGAAACTTCCGCAGTTTTTGTATCCACATCCGAGGAAAAATGTGGTATTCCACATAATCTACAATGGAAAAACATCTTTATCATTACCGTGGCCTTGAAAATCTTTCAAGGAATTTTGAGCGCCTCCAGATTTTGCTCCAGATCTTGAGTACCAGCGTACTTTTACAATACTGTACTTATGGTGATAAGAATCCCGTACCTGGGTGTAATGGCCGACTGTGGCGGTGGTGCTCTGACCCAGTGTGAAGCTGTTAATCTCATTGTACCACAGATTGATGATGCCGCTCCATGACATGACATTGCTGCTTTTGGCGATATTCTGACCCAGTGTATACTCTGTAAAACACAGCATCGTAATGATTGTACTGAAGCAGATTGCAAAAATATTTTATTGTTTTTATTGGGACATTTTTACCCATCCAATCTAAGATAAAACAAATAAAAAATTTATTACGTTCAATCCTTTATAAATTGATTTTGCACACGTCTCCATTAGTAAAAGAGAACGAAAAAGTCGTAAAAGCCGAACCGTATATTGACGTACAACGTATATCTAAATAACATTAAATTTTATTTCCGAATTCCTACAAGGTTAGAAATATGTAATATGTACGCTTTATGTGCTAAATAATTTACAGAAAAATCTGGATGTTGGAATGTTTCCTTACTGCTTGCTCACTTACTATTACATTATGACTTTATGAGGTCTGTCTACAGACTTACTGGACGTCTTCATGTAGGTGTTGTAATCGGAAGAGCCCTGCACAGGATGCGCATAGTTGCACTTATTGGCCCATGCCTGGGCGCGGTCCGCAGTCTCCGCATCCCACGACAACTTCAGCATACCAGTGGAGGGTTTCTCGCGGCGGGCGTTGTTGTGCTGATCCAGAATGGCTTTTTGCACCGACGCAACGGACGTATCCACCACGGTTTGACCTAATCGAAAATCTCTGTATAAAATAAAATGCGACTGCGCTCTAATTCTAAAACTTGCACAAACCTTGTAGGCAACCAAAGGTCATCATCAGGACCAGAACTACTAAATTCTGCATTGTGAGTAGTGAATAAAAATGGTTGAAATTTAGAAGAAACTTGTTGCACGAAGCAAAGAGCGAATCAACTGATCAGGCAGCGTCAATTAACTGTTGCAGAAAAATGTAAAGTGTGGAACTGATTTGTCGAGCGGCTGATACGGACCTTTAAATACAGAGACTACTAGCTTCCGGATTTCATTGTCAATAGCTGTGAAACGGTTTTATTGTTGATTTTAGTGAATGAGTTATCCGATTGCGGAGTTTCTTGTAAATGCCAGGCTGTGATGAATCGTTAAGGAAGAAGTTACGCACTACGCTAGATTTTTATGCCCGGCCTTATCAGAATGAATCGGCGTTTATGATCTACGGTGGCGATACGGTTGTAGTATTGTAGCGGTTCATCTCTACGTAAAGAATACACACAATAAACTCTTATCAGCACAAGGCATGCAGCGCCAAGAAACGATATTTTTAAAGGCAAAACGGTGCTATTTGTATCAAGTTTTAAGGAAATGTTTGGGCGGCAGTGCACAACAGGTTCATCATACAGCAGTTTCCGGTAACGTTGCGCGCACGACACTGTTCTAGAATGATTTAATGCGGCAAATTATTCTGGGAATACCGCTGATAGAAGGATAATTTTGGTCGTTTTTGTCGCTTTGCGTCATGTTTGTGTTCATCTTGCCGAAGTATTAAAATTACAGCTAACGCAGTCGATAAATAAGTCATAATATTAACCCCAATAACCTTTCTTGAGTTGTGCAGGCCTGCAGGGTAAAAAAGTTATTCCAATCTTTTGATGCTTAATATGCCGGCTGGCAAGGCGCAACTTTTCGTGCTTTTTTATTAATGTAATGCTTGAAAACTTAATTTAGTTTCGAGCGAAACGTGAAAATTTGTTTCACTTTTGTGACTGCATAATGTAACTATTAACTATGTTATTAACTTTTTGCGCTTGACCTGTTGATCAATGCCAAGTTGAAAAACAGTTGCGCGGTGTGCAAGCAAAGCGCAGACAAAGTACAAACAGCGCAATAATCCATGATTCTATCTCACAGAAACAGCAAAACTAAGTACGAGTGCATTCAGTTTCAATTGCGTTATGCATAACCCAGAGGAACAGCAAGCATAGAAAAATATTTTAATATGGAACAGCAAACATAGAAAAATATTTCTTTTTTACAATTCTAATAAAATTACCGCTTGCGTCCGGTATATTGTTGAATGGATTGCACGTAAAGGTGCATGTTTTCGGCGTTATGGTCAAATGGTTTATGACATGTAACTTGGTCATGTACATGCGCATTTAACTATGTACGTGTGTACACACACTCCCCTATGTCTATTAAGTGACAAGTATTGTCAGGCGGCGGTGAATCTATTGTCCTGTAACCTTTACATTCGTAATACATCACTTGTACATACTTCCGCAACTAATGCCGCTGACAGCAGACGGCTTCCGTGACCACTCTAGATCTGCTGATGGGTCCAGTGACCAGTAGTTATTCAAAATTACTCTAAATTTTCTTTCCAATGACAAATTAATTGCTATAATTTCCTGTATAATAGTTAACTCGAAAAAAGCTGTCATCATAAGATCAACATAACCGGCGAGAATGATTGATTTATAAGCGAAGACAGCCAGGCTTATACTGCCGCATATATACCGGTATATGCGAGGTCTCTTTGGCACAACTTCCGCACAGCGGATATACCAATTTGTTGATGTTCCATCCGGGATAGTGATTTGCGGGATAGGTTTAACCTTGCGTGGGGAACCGGCTGATCAGTGCCAGACCCAGCAGCGTCATCAGACCCAGTTCAGCGGTGCTGGCTTGATTGTTCTGCTGCTGCTGCGGCCACCAGTGGTGGTGCCGGTTGCGCAGGGCCAGCAGCGCTAGCCAGCTGTTGTCTTGCTGCAAAGGTAGCGTTTTTATTAGTAAAGTATAATTTGGCTTTCTTGATAATTTTTTATGATAGAGTACACAATTCACGATACTAAATAAAACTGGTTTACAGCAATGAATATTCTCTGGAAAAGTCCTCATTCAACGGGAGTTTTAATTAATTTTTCCTTATAGTAAAATAATTTAAATAATTAAATACCTAAACATTTAAACATAAATAGATCGCAAACACATTTACTATTAATTAAGAAAAGCTTTACCAACAAATTAAAGTTTTACTAACGAGTAACGAAAATTATTAACGGGGAAGATTTATTTAGCTTACTAAAAAAATTAGACATAATTCAATCATGCCAACAAAACTGAACAAATAAAAAAATGTTATTAAATTATACGTGTACTTACATGGCCCCACCCCCATCCCCATCCACCGCCATACCCGCCTCCGCCGCCGTAATCCCTGGCCGTGCGGTTGAACACCATACTGGCGAGCTCACTGAAGCTGGCGTTCAGCGGCAGACCGTCCGTGAGATTCATCGCCCGCCCCAGCTGCACCAACCGCGCCAGGGAGTTATTGATCAACATGGGGTTCATCCCGGCCCGCAACTCCTGCACTCGCTCCATCCACTCGCTATCGTTCAGCTTCCCATCGCGGACTTTCTCCAACCAGGCGTCCACGGCCGAAGTATTCCCATCCGCTGGCGGAGCGATGGGATTCCGGGCGGCTAGAAGGTTACGGAGGTTGTTCAGATCCGGAATAATACTCCATACGGATGCCGATAGGAGGATACCGGATAGGGCGATGTTAATAATACTCCGCAGTTTCATGGTGATAATCCCAGGCGTAAATACCCAGAATAAGAAGTTTTATCAAAAACCAAGGAGAGATGTGGTTCAACTAATTGATAGTTTGTTGTTGTAAGGATTTAAATAATGCTCTATTTCAATTTGCTTTTTAATTGGGTTACCCAGTATTATACTTTCTTATTAGAAAATTAGTCAATTAATTGTGGTTGTACTTGAACGTTGTTTGCGATGATGCGCCGATGTACAAAGCCATGATGTGTACGATGCATGTACACCGTCAAGGTTAAGTGGGTAAATGTATCACTCACACGCACGGCAATGGTGGGAAAGAACGTCCGCTCAAACAGACCGTAAATGCCGGTTAGTACGCTGTGTGCTAATCAAGGTTGCCCATAATTGATCATGAGCTGTTTTACTTTTTCTGTCTCACTGAGTTTCTCTTCTTTTAATTAATTTGCAGATTTCCGTGTAATCAATTTACCAGCACAACTGCGCGTATGATGGAAATGGATTAAATGTTAAATAAGTACAATACAAGTACCATATGTACTCTTTACGTATAGCAACAATAAACAAAAATTATTTAGAACTAAACAGCAAATTACTAAGTTGTACCTGGTCTTATTTTCCCACATTTTTCATATTGTTTTCGATTTCTTAACGTACTTTTGTATTGTACCTTATGTACTGCTTAATTTGTTCTGGGTGGACTGCAGCCAGGTGAAAGGTGTCAATAACTTTCATACAAGTGTATCCGTAAAATTTTGGTAACAGGAATACAGTATTAATACTGTATTTTTTTATTTTTTACCGAATTTTTAGGTTTCTAGAACTTCTTAAATTTTTTGTTAATAGTTTTTGCCGTTCATTTTAACAAATTTGTCATGCTGGTACCGCTAACCAAACATTTCTCCACAAACAACTATTTCATTGGTTTTTATTGATATAAATAGCTATATGCGGTACATATGATATAGTGCGAATGTATATACAGAATAATTCCCGAAAAAAATGCCCGCCATGGACAAAAAACCATAACAAATCGTAAATAAAAGCCTCTGGACAGAGCAGACCGCCAACGGAAGCAGCAAGTATAAACAGGGGAGCAAACACAACCTCTCCATTATCAATCCGGCCTTCATCCTCCGCAACGCAGGAGCAGCAAGAAAGGTCAACACATGTATACAAGTACAGACGCAATATACACGACAAGCACGTACGTGGAGTGTGGAACAAAAAAAAAGAAAACCAAAAAAACCACCGCGCGGCGCCACAAATAAAATACTCTCTGGATATCTCTAGCGCGACCGCCCGCCGGGGGCCGCTTTCACTGCAGGTGCGCCGGCAGTGTCAGTTGGCCGATGTAGCGCGACAGAGTGGCGGTCTGGTGTTGGGCATGCTGCTGGCGTTTCTGCAGGAGCATGTTTTTTAACGCTTCCGCTTCGTCCCGCAGGGTGGTCAGTTGTGCTTTGAGGACGGCGTTCTCCTTCTCCAGGTAGCAGGCGCGCATGGCGATCTCGTCTTCGCGGGCTTTGCGGAAATCCCGGGATTTTTTGGCTGCGTAGTTGTTCCGTCGCCGGCGCTCGTAGTATTTGTCGTCTTTCTGTTCGGATGGGATTGGCTTCTTCTCGCTCCGTTGGCGCCGGCTGGAGGTGGAGCTGGCGCTGGAGTTCATCGAGGAGATGGCGCGAATCAGTACGGGATTGGCTGTAAATAAAAAAGGCAATTAAACAAGGCATTTGATTAGTAGGTTCACATATCTGTAATTTTAATTTGAAGATGTACGTATAAAGTTCTGCTTCAGATAAATACTGATATTTTTCCAAGCATATCGTTACATGTTTACTAATTATTCATATCTCAGCTGGCAATTTACTGTGATTGTTGAAGTAACAAAATGCAAAGGAATATTGTGGAAATAAATAAAACAAATAAAAAAAGAAAATAATTTATAGTAACAAGAAACCCGAGAATTTTTTCGATTTAGAAATGACTGGAACAAAACCGTTTATAATTTTTAGAATAGGTAAGAAACGATAGATTATAGAATCATGCAAGAGTGGGCAACGCCAATTCACCTTCAGCGAGGGGATCGGCGGCGCCGAAGCTGGTGAGATGATTCAATGCATCGAATGTGTTGGGAAAGGGGCGCTTTTCGCGACGCACCACTTGTGGTTTAATCAGACCGGGATCGGTGAACTGACCGGTGGAGGTATCGTACTGCAGTAGTATTTGTGCCGGCTGACCGTGGAAGTCGACAATACTACCGGCCGGGGATCCGGATCCATCGGATCCGCTCATCGAATCATCTTCCGCGCTTCCTGGATGAAAGAGGAAAAGACAACTTAAAACACGGCACACATAGGACAGTTCAAACTTAAAAGCAGGAAAAGTGAGCGAAGCCAGCAACAAAAAAATTAAACATAAAGAGAAGAGTTTTGATTAATGTGCAATGTATGGTATTTATTACCGTTGCATCATCATTCTTTGTGTATTTATAAATGTCTTAAAAATGTTGTATAATGCGAACGTACATCGAAGTATCGTTTGCCTAACCTTTAATAACAGTTCCAGTAAAATTATGCAACAGCGATGATACATAAATGATAATATACCTCGGCATAATACTGTCTTTCCTGTAATTTTAATATGGAGGAAAACACGCGGAGGATTCCCATTACCGAACACGCGTGACTCTTGCATTTCCCGCGCTTTCTCTTCGCTGGGAAAACAATACCCGCAAAAGCCCGTGATTAAACCTTACGCAACCTGCCTCCCCGAGGGCGTCTGCCCGTCTTCTCCTAATTAACCTCCAACATTGTGTGTGTATGAGCGCGGAAGGGAACGGACGCGCAGCTATACCCGCGCGATTACGCAATCTGACGCGGAAACAATATTAGCCAATCAGCGTTAGTGTTTGTTTGTCGCGCGCTGGCCTGTCAAACAGCCGCGGCGGTCGCCGTGTGTGTGTATATCAGGGAAGCGGAGTATACGTTCTTAACGGCACGCGTATATTCTCTGTGTTGTCCGTTGAACCCTTTGCGCGCCGTTGGCAGTGGCACGCAGGAGAGCGCTTTTCAGCAACGCGCGTCCGATCCGCGGCTCATATAATCATATCTTTACCTTGAAATCGTACTGACCTCCTTACATAATGCCGTTCGTTCTAAATTGGGATGCAGCGCGGTGCGGGGCGGCCGCGCGCAGGGGAGTCGCGGGAGACAGAACGCACAATCATGCCGGATGATCTGTTTGTGCCGGCGGGGACAATGGGACTCTTTAGTCTTTAGTCAAGAACGGTACAAGAGACACCGGCGATCCCGCCAGTGATTACATCAATGTTAAATAGTGCTGCGCCTTGATTAAATGCTACTGTTTATGTGTCGGCGGACGCTATTATGTTTACAGGGATAATAGACTTTCTACGGGTTAAATTCTAATCCTTTATAACTGCGCTAAAGAATCCGCTTTAATTTATTATTAATTTCATGATTAAAATTAAACATAATCAAACTTTTAAAACATTTTTATTATTTTTCTTTCTGGTACATTGCACGTAACTGAGGATTGACCTAGGTCCACTGTTTCAAAACTGTACTCGAACGAAAAAGAAGTAAAAGTTAGAAGGTGAAGTTTATCGAGGGAACCATTTCTGTATACCCGTATTGGTAAACAAGAAATTTAGCTGAAAATAAATTTTACGTTACACGATCAAGAATTGTTCAGTACGTTATCGGTTATATTAAGAAATATATTATACACAAATTAGTTTGCTTTTTAGATAAAAATATGTATGCTTGTCGGTTCCTCTTTAAGTTTTCCGTAATGCCGGCACTTCGTTGTGACAGATAAACGAGATCTATATTTGAAGCGATTTTAATTATGTAACAATTTGTTATTGAGCATCTTTGCAAAGTGTATACAGCGAATCCGAACTTTGAGCGGAACAACACTATGCGGACATAGTGCAGCAAGTGTTGCAGCAATTGTTTATGATGCCAGACACATGTTTATCAACAGCGCACCGGCGTTCGTTGCCTCGTCCGTTCGCGACTGCGGCAGTCACAGAGAGCGGGCTGTACGGTAGCCGGCGTTCCGCGTGCGGTGGTTTACGCGCTATACGCCGGGTGTACACGATCGCGCGATTAGCCGCGCTTGGACGCACAGCGCGGCGCTGCCGGTAGTGTTCGTGATCATGAACTATTGCGTCCAGCTTATCTAATGGACGATAATCCTCATTTGGCCCGCTGAATAACAGGGTTGGGCGCGCTTTCTTCAGACCGAAGTCCAGAGAATTAAGTGAGGCATATTAACCGCCAGAACAAGCGGGAAATTGAGCTAATTTTCGTGTGATCATTGGACGGAAACGCAGTATTTGGAAAATAACGAATTTGTACACGGAAGTCGGAAACGTAGTTTTAACGGTTAAATATCTACTACGATCGATTACTTACAAAAATCAAAGTAGCCTACTTATACCATTTTTTTGGAGGTAGAGTTTGGATGTACTAAAAAAACTGTACAGAATAAGCATTTTTATGCTCAACGGTGCTAGTCTGGCAGACATTCCCAAGGGTGCCACCCCGTTCCATAGTGACCACACTTTACGTCGGCTACCACTGCAGCTTTACTTGTTATTGCACTCTAATTTCAATCGACCATGTAAATTTCGGGCTTGACAATAAGATCGCTCTGGAACACACCACATCTTTCTGCTACGTTTTTTTCTCTAAATTGGTTATAAAAAGTACTAAAAGATTTTCCATACTGTTTTGGTAATGGCCGCCTTATGCAACTTTTGTCCGGTAAAAATATTCGTTGTCAGCTTTTACAGAATAATTGTACACTGTAATAATGGTTTCATATACTGTAAAATAATAGTTTTCGTGTTCTTAGTACTCGTCCATTAAACTACTTTTACTTTGCATAATTTCGGAATAAGTAGCGCAGTTTTTCGTATTTAATATTCTCAGCTTTAAGAAGCATACAATTGTTGAATGCAATATGCAGTTTTTGCGCAAAGCGGAACTTGTACAAGAAGCACCTGGAGCAGCGTATATAAACGACGCTTAATCAGCCGTTACCGTGTTCTACCGGCACGCTTACCTATTGATCCCGATCCGTGATGCTCCTTATAACCGACGACACTGCGTTGTATGGCTGCCATTACCGACATTAATTACGCCTGGCTATCAAAATATCCAGCAACGTCAATTCAACAACAGGCAAATTTCTTTGGCAAATAAAAAAGTCACCCAGACGTCAAACGTATTCGCATAACACAGCGTAATGGGTCAGTGCTGCTTATATCAAACTGGAGGAAAACCGATCTGGCGCGATTGACTCAGGAAAAAGGACAGAAAATATTAAGTGAAGAGAAATATGCCGCGTGCGCACCGGCTTATGTGGGCTACCAACGGAAAAAAGCCGGTGACGTCGTCGGAGGCAGGAAGCCGGCGGGGGCGGAGCTACAAGCCGTTCGTGCGGCCCATCGCGGCGACCAATCAGAGCGCGTGGCGGGTGAACGATCGGCGTGTTGTGGTTCTCTCTCTCTTTCAGTATCTCGCTCCTGCATGTGCGTGAGGCATCTTCGGCCGAACGGACAGCCAAACGGAAATGCGCTGGCGTAATCGTGGTGGCTGTTCTAGTACTGGAAAAATTTTAAAATGAACGTACGATGGGGCTATTGAGGTGTTTATTATGTCAGGTGTTATGCGGGATTATGTTCTTCAACCTTGAATCTCGCGTTATTTGTGTGTGTGCGCCAGCATCGGTTGTGTTGCTGTTACTGTGAGATAATGGCGGTTAATTTGGGGTCGCTTTTACCAGCTGGTCGGACGCGGTTGATGCTGCAGGAGAATAATTATGAGTGACAGTAATTTAAAAGACGTGTCAATGAAGTTAACACGAGTGAACTTTGGTTTCCGTAACCGGTTATTTAATTCTCGATTTTAATTGTCGGGTTGTTTTAGTAAAAACTCCGCTATAAACGTTATTATTCGATCCTGATTGGTTAATATGGTTTGTTTTGTTTTAAACGAATCTTTCAAAACAGTTTTCAATCAGCAAGTTTGGCCGTATCAATTTTTGGAAAGTAAAACTGTAAAATTAGTTACTTGCATGGATTTTCATTACGCTTGTATGAAAAAGACTTAAACTTTTATAGGTAATTAATTATTATACAGTTAACCTAATTAACCTATTGAAAAATAATTTCGATGTTTAATTTGCAGCCAAATTGCCCAGTTGTGATTTACGTTAAAAAAATGTAGAAGTACCGTAGTGAGTCGAAATTCGATTGCGAAGTGATTTGTGTGAGTAAGAATAAGTGTTCAGCTGCTTGCTGTTATTGCTTCCCAGCATTGACGTTCCTGGGAAAAATCTCTCGCATCTTTCGCGAAATCGCGTTCGAGCTGTAAAATGCATATTTCCGCTGGTTATGAAACATGGAAATACGCCTTCGTTGAACGGACAACGCAGTCCCCGTTCGCATACCGCGATATGCGCATTGTCTACTCTGGGTCTCATTCTCAAGCGCCGTGGTAGAACAACGATGCCCGACACAGTTACGCAGGGGATTATGTGACATTACGTTCTTCAACCTTGAAAGAATAACGAACAAGACCCATTAGGAAAGATTTAGAGCCGCGTTACGACATTCACTACAGCCGGCATTTCGCATGGCGGTCTGTAAGGCGACGAACAACATACTCGCGCATCCACGGCGTTGTCTCCGCTTCTGGTAGTGTGCACGAGAACATAATGGTCAACCACAAATTAAGTGAATGAGCTGCTTATGTAAAACACACGTCAAAGGATTCTGCGGTAATTATTCGGCCTTGTTGATCGCTTTACGGCGAACGTTTTCACATAAGAACAATTTCCGACTAAACTCTTTACTGGAAGATCCTCTTTTTTATGTAAGTCCTCGTAGGTTTTTTTATATCTGGTACTCATTGTTTTTAATTACAAAACAATATTATGTAATAATAATAATCGTTATACATCAAAAACGTGTGTCGGTTTATGCACGGTAAAACAAGCATAAGGTTTGCATATGGATTGCTTTTTTCTGTATTTAAAAAACTTTGAGAGAATATTTATTCTGTGTTTTAAAAGTGTACTTTTCAAATAGCTGCCACACGATACAAAATAAGCAAAATTTAAATTATCCACCTTATTCGGTTTTTAATTATTTTCCGCATATTATGCAGTGCATTAATATTGCCAAAATTGTTATTTTACATGCTATGTACATGCTTTTTGAATGATGTTAGGTTTTGTTTTTTCCAAACGATTTTTCTTTTACCGAATGTTTATTTCAGCCTCAGATTCTGCACACGATATAGATACAATGAATGTTTAAAACTCTCGTGATTGACCTCCGACCCACGATGACACTGGATCACTCTCCCGTTTCGTAAAACTACCGACATCTCCACTCTGACCCGGCGCATTGTATTAATTAGCGCGTGCAGCGGTCAGTGAACGGGTTAGCGCAATGTGTCCACTTTGGTGCCATTGTGGCTAAGCTAATTTACAGGCAGATGCCAACTGGTACAGTGGTGCTTCGAGCTAATTACTCATTAAAAAGATGCAAGGCTTAATAAGCTGCGTAAAAGGCCGGTCACTGCGTGATCGTGTGTGTGTGTAACGGTGCACTACCATCGCGTACATCAGCAGATTCAATACTGCGCCGCTTCCGCGCAATATGAAACCTCCAGACAGATGTTTTACTGATGGTACATCAGGTAGGCAGCGGTGAATGCAAATCAAGATTTAAGCCGGCGATGTAAAGATGGGTAAATAAATGGTCACGGTAAATTATGTACAGAGCATTTGATTTAAGAAAATGGTTTATTATCAGTTTCCAGCCACTGTGGCGGGCGAGTATTCACGATAAATGTTCAGTAAACAAGCTGCATTATCCCAAATAAAGCAACAGTTTAGTAATTTGTATGCTCAGCACGAAAACCCTGAAGAATCAAATCAAAACAATTTTTACTTTGTGAAGCGTCGCGACCACCGTTTTACGGTAATTATTGGGAAATGATTCCGCGCGCATGTTTTGTCAATGGACCAAATATATTTAAAATCTTTTAAAACAAAACTACAGTATTTAAAAACAGCCTTACAAAATATTTGGTTCTACTAGTCCAAAACGGAATGAGCACTTACATAACTTGCAGTTTGTGTTAATAACCCTGGAAAAATAAAGCTGTTATTATTTGCTATTAGTTAGTAATTAAGTTATAAAAATTTAGCTTCGTTTCGATTCAAATTAGTTTCTTTATGCGTAGTGTACATTATTCTGTTTTTCTTTTTTCATACCAGGTGATGGTTTCTCTGATTGCCGCTTGCCGGTATTAATGCACCGCCGAATATTAGGAGTTTCTTTGCGCAGTAATTATTCTCGCCAACTGAATGAACTGCTCATTTCCCGAAAAAGCTGGTATGGGTCCACTTAAGGACACCGTGTGTGTGTTTCTTGAGCGCCGGTCCGCAGAGCCATCAGCGAGCAGACCTGACCTAAGAATTAACGGGGCATATCGCTTTTGCACCTTTTTGTGTCTATACACTACTTGACGGGATACTTAAGCAACACTTGCCCGCTGGCTGTTTTCTCCGCACTAATTATGCTCACCCGAAACGAGCCGGGGCATCAACTATGCAAATGAGTTACCGAAGCTGTTCAGCTCCACTTGCCACTGTCCCGGCAAAAAGAAAAAGCAGCAGCCGGCATTTGAGGTCATGCGGCCTAATGGCTGCACGCGGATTAACGCCAATCAAGGCAATTACACTATGTACACGACTGAAGAGAAATCCTTCTAGAATACTTTCTAAATGGAATTTTCAAAACGCCGCAATGGAAAGTCATACCGATAATAATCGATGGCGGCCAACTTATTAAATTAAATTTCTGTAATTTTACGATTGCAAATATATAATGCATTTTCTGATTGCAAATATATATTGTATGTGCTTTTAAAGGTCACCTTTTTTCAAAATATAATACGCTGCTTCCATACAAATTCTTTTGTAGGTTTGCAAAAATTTTACGTAGGCAAATAAACGGATAGAAAATAAATGAAAATTCTGAATTCGTGGTGGTTCTGTCTAGGAACATTTTCCACAATACAGAGTAGTTAATCACGCTAATGCGTTCAATCTGTGAATACACCAACCAGGCGTTGCGCTGGATGTTGGGTGATTAATTAATTAAACGCTCTCGCGGTATTGTCCGTGGTCAGCGCATAAAGTCGCTTAATAGCCGTCATAACCATCACACGCCATACCGCACGTGCTGGCCATTCCGCACCGCCAACAAAACACCAAATAAACCCTAACGCCGCTGCGGCTGACTGGGCGCAGTCGCCCATTGTCCACTGTCCACCGCTAAAAAGATAAGCAAATTAATTAAGCCCAAGCTACCGTAATGCCTGCATACAGCCAACTGCACGAATATTGCACCGCACTTAAGCGATGGACAAACACACATACGGCTCTGCAATATGCGCTTTGTTTCATTTGGGGCTATTGTTTTCCGATGGTCTAACCACCTGGCTTGGCTGGTTTTTGTCAGGACGCAGGACAGAGGAGTAGACATTTGACCTGCCGTGGCCGATTAACCGAGCCGAGGAGTAATTAAGGCTGGCGGGCATAATTGTTATGTGGTCATTATTCAATGCGGATCAGGGTGCGGGGCAAAAAAGCCAAAAGATAATGGGTTGTATTATGGATAAGGTGATGGATCGGCTACCGCATCACGCCCAGACAAGTGGCAGATACTTACAGGGTAGGTAAGGTGAGGCGTAATCTGCTACCGGTGTGGAATGATGCTGTTTTGCATAATTCGTGTGAAGTACGGTTAGTGACGCATGGCTTCTCTGGAATGGACGATCTTCAACTAACGTCGTACATTCGTATTCCTCCCCTATTTCTTTTCCAAATTGGTATTTTCGCAAATATTTTTACGTACAGAAAACACACATATAGAAACAGACATACAGAAAAGACGGAAACATGTACAGAACATACAGAAACATATACATACAGAAAAAATGTGTACATATTTATTTATACGTAGAGAAAACATCAGAATATTTATACAAGAAATAACTCTAGAATATTTACATAGTAACAAATAGATAGAAAAATAAAGAATGTTTATAAAAAGAATTGTGTCGAGTCTAACATTTAAACACAGCACTAAAAATATGGCAATTCTGAAACAGGCAGCAGATTTATTCGGAATTACGATAAAAACTGGCAAATAATTTCCGAATTATCATCGACTAAACGGTTCTAATAAAGCACCTTATCTCCGATTACAAAATGATCACAAAAGTCACAGATAAATCCCTGATCGGCTTACTGCAGCGCATTATGACCTTTCGGTCATTGTTATGCCAATTTAAGCCCGCATTATTGTAGCTTACATCCGTGATTACTGTGGAATAATTCGTGTCGTTTTAAAAATTACAATATCGTTAATCTGTGGATCGTGTATAACGGTGGATAATGGCTGGCTGTTAACCCGCGATGTGACCAGCACACGCTTCATCAGCAGCCCAGCAGGCTGACCACTGTCCGTCCCATTCAAAGCCCAGTTGATAATCCGCCATGTTCGGGGCGATTTAAATGCACGCGGGGATTTATGCGGCACGTGTCGGTGCCGGATCAGCGCGGCATACGCGTGTGTTGGGGTCAGATGGCCTCTGTCATTTAAAATTGATTTAAATATGCACCCAACACGAACACGCGAGTAATTAACATGGATGCTAAGTGGCTGCTGTGTGTCTTTAAGATGCTGCCAATGGAAGATTGCCGGGACAGATTAAACAACCATCAAACCGACAGGTGAAATCAACCACCATCTGCGCTAAAGATGCTTTGTGCCGGTATTTGCCGGTTCAGATTTCGCCCGTGCAATGTGGACTTTAGCAAATCAATGGAAATGTTAAATAATAAACTACCGCGCAGTGCACGTGTTTCTTCGAGATTCCATAATTATGCTTATACAGTGATATTGTCCAAAACAGCTCACAAGGTTGTGCTTTAAAATTCTTATTTAACTTTTTTTTACGCAAAATATGCAATATAATTAAACACGATCCATTAAGACTCTTCTTTTGCAATAAAACCTTCTGGATTTGTGAAACAAAAACCGCATTATGTAGTTACAAAATAGGTGTTATTTTTATTTTTTTGTTTTTTTATATTGACTTAGAAAATTATAGTGAAGAGCATACAGCTCACTAAAACTAGGGTATATGAATATCAAATTTTTATGTACAGTCTGTACTGTACATGCAACATATTTAACGATATCAGAATTGCGCCAGCAATACATCAATATTTTAAAATCACACCAAATTTTTACAGTAAACGCACTGTAGGCATATTAATTGCCGGTAATACCCAACTGATTCATCTTGTTGACCAAGTAATTGTGATACTCGTACAAATTGTGGCCTGGTTTTTTGCCGGTTATGAATCTTTAGTGACTCCAGGCATTCATCAGACACCTGCATTGTAATTTCGTCAATTCAGCAGAATTGTCTGTTCAGCACTAGAATTCAGTGGAGGAAGAACTTGTTTCACTGACAATTCGCACAAAACCAAAATGTTGTTTCATGTGCCAGGAGCGCTTTGTTGATATAAACCTGGCATATAAATAAATGAAATCGACAGGGGAAAATTTTAGTCAACGGCTCGCTTATCTGCTTAACCATGGCTCATTCTGCAGCTTTTGCCCTTTTATGTTTGTGCGGATATGCAGGTAAGTTAGTGTACCGTACATAAGTTACAGAGCTCTCCGTGTAGTCACTATAACTGCATTTAAACAAATAAATTTTTATATAATTTATGATACCTTTTATAATAATTTAGGAGAAGATTTCGTCAGTACAAATAAGTACAAAATAATGGAAAACAATCAACGATTCGGCATGTAAAAGTTGTATAATTTTAGCTGCCGCGAGCTCCCGTGACAATTCTTTCTCCGGATTCTCCGGATCCCGAATCCCGAACCCTAGCGTTGACTCGGATAATGATTTTGGGGATTCCGACGATGATTTTGGCGCACCAAAAATAGTCGCCTGGCCTGATGGAATTGTGCCCTATGTCATTTCCTCCGATATTGCCGGTACATAAAAATATATACATTCTGTATTTGGTTAGAACTGTTGCTAATTTTACATTATTCCGCTACACTGTTGTTGTTGTAAGAATCCATACATACGTACAAACTATTCTCGTTATATTTTTGGACTGCTTTAGGGAAATCCGCAAATTATTTCAGTAATTTTTGTGCATAGCAAAAAACAGGACCGGTAAAACGGGGTCTTCCCCGCATTTTGCAGTAATTTTTGTTGAGTTCGTCAATTAATTGGGGCATTTACTTCTGTTTAGATGCGGATGCCAAAAAGCTGAAGGCGGAACTGGATTTCCTGTCCAAACAAACATGCGTTCAATTCGTGCCTCGACGAAATGAAGCCAATTACACACTTTTCCGTAGCGGAGACAAGTACGTACCTGCCACCATAGGAGTATGTACTGTACATTGCAATTACTATTTACATTATTTGTTTCCGGAAGCGTTGACAAACTTTAAATGTCATTATAGTCATCAAAGCTGCAATGCAAAGAAACTGGATTAAATGTTATACAATTAATGAATCCTTTGTATCCAGTGCCAGTCAAAACTAATAACAATAACCGCCTCTTTGTACATATTGCAAAATGTGTTAGTTTACGTGTTTCCACCACGTAACAAGTGAAAAGAATAACAGTAATTTATCAAATAATTTGAACTTTTTTTTATACGTCGGATCCACGCGAAATGTTTTTGCTTATATAAAAGCAAGAAAATTTACATTAAAATTAATGTTTTGGAAAATGGCATCTCACATATTCGTCCTTTGTTTGGCATCCGCCAGTATACAAAGCGAATAGGCCAACTACTTGAATTCGCACCTATTTTCTCACCTGTTTAAATTTTTATCAGCTGTATGACCTTTCTGTTGAACCGTCCATCACCTTTTCATAAAACTACGTTTATTTTATGCACATTTTTAATAGATGCTCCGCTCCTCTGGGTGTTTCCAACAACCCTTTGGCCGACAGTAGCAGCGGCAGTAATTTCGGCTCCAGCAACGGTGGCCGTGACTCCTTCGGTGGTTCCTCCGGAGGTCGGGGTAGCTCCTTCGGTCCCTCATCTGGATCGGGCAGCCGCGATTCCGGCTTCGGTACCGCGTCAGGCAGTGGCAGCCGCTTCAACTCCGGTCGCTTTAAACGTCAGGGCAGTCGTAATGGAGTGCGAGACTCCGGCTCGTTCGGCAACAGCGGTTTCGGTTCCAGCAGTAACAGCGGACGAGATTCGAATTTCGGTTCATCCAGCAACAGCGGCCGTGACTCATTCGGCTCCAGCAACAACAACCGTGACAACTTCGGATCTTCCTTTGGCAACAGCGGACGAGGCTCGGATTCGGGATCCCGATTTGGATCCGGTGGTAGCTCCTTCCGGTCGTCCGGACCTACGGGCGCTTCGCAAGTCGTTCTGGCCAAAAGTATTTACTAAAATATTTTCTTTTGTAGTATTTCTTGCATTAATTTAATTTGCTTTAAATAGGCTGCTTCCAAACCAAACGACTTGCCCGGAGGCTCATGAATTTATTAGGTAAGTGCACAGTACGAATAAATTATTATTTTATACCTTTTTTTAGTTCTACCCATCGCATGCACGAATCAGTCGTATAATTTATACCGTTAGAAAATCGTATTATTGTTTCCCTTCATTAAGATGAATACAGCGCTGCTTGTCTTTTTCGTTGCCTGATAGGTATTCCTCATGAAGCTAGCCGCCCAGATCGTGATCAATACGTTACCATCAATTTCGACAACATTCGATCAGGTACAATATCCTGGTTTTGTTCCAGACGGTGGGCGAAACCATGTTGTAACCTTTGAGTTTATTAGGTTACACGGCCAACCTGAAGCAAATCCCAGCGTCCGCATATCTACCGGGAGTCTTGAACGTTCCCTATGATCTGCAGTCTGTGACACAGTACGCGGACTCCGATTTAGCCAAGAACAAGAATACCTGGGCAATTCGCCCGAAGAATAGTCGCTCCTCTGCCTCCTCCGGCACTTTAGGTGGTGATGATTTCAGCCGAGCGGACTTTGACAAGATCAACGCGGCATACGGATGCCGAAGAGGCGGCAAATAATCGTACTGGATTTTTGAGATTTTGGTAATTTGGTCTCCTGGCAAACCAATGGGATTCGCACTGTATACTGCATGGTGTGAATGGGTAGGCTGACAGTTATTAAGAAGTTGTGGTGTGCCCCCATGCATTTTGTACATCAATTTGTCAAGAAGATATAAAACGTATGAATATTATAATGTGGTACCGAAAGCTAAGCTCACGTGCCGGTACATAAGCCGAACGCTAAGCTCACGTGCCGGTGCCAGATGCAGCACTACAAAATTAATATTAGTTTTAATACATGCAAGTACACGCACGGTATTCCAAGTTTCGCAATAGAATATTGTTATGACTAATATAATCTGCGTCTGCACTGTACGTACTGTAAAATCATTCTGTATTTGCCTGCGTTAGAACAATTAATAATTTCATGGGATGCCATTCGTCATAAAAAATTGTCTCAAAGAAAAAGAGATTTGCCACATCTTGAAGAAAGCTTGTCACAAATCGCACAAGTTTTGCGGCATAAATGTTTGTTGTGTCTCCGGCATCGCAGTAATATTAAACAAATTGTCACACTCTAAAATGCACCACTAGTGTATGCCGTAAAACACACAGCGGCTTATGGCAAATTTGAGATAAATCATTACAGGCGATAAAAGTTAAAGCCTCAAAGAGGCGCAGGTGAACTTTCCGGGTCACTGTACCGTGCCGTCGTCGGAGCGTGCGGACCCGGGAAAGTTCCTAAATCCCCCATCCAACCGCATGGTCGTCGCGTTGACCAAATGATTTTCAATGATAAACTCCACCATATGTGCAAACTCTTCCGGTCGGCCCACTCGTTTAGGGAACACCGCCGAACTAGGATGTCCGGCCAGAGCCCATTTGTATTCCTCATTATCCAGCATCGGCGTGCAGATTGCAGCTATAAACCACCACACACATATTATAAGCTACGATGTTGGTACGCGCATTTATTGCAAAAATCAATCAGAAAAAATGGTTACCGGGTGCAATGGCCAGGACCCGGATCCCGACGGGCCCAAATTCCCGGGCTAGCGGCACCGTCATGGAGCTAATGGCGCCCTTACTGGCACTGTACGCTAAAAGTCCCACTTGTCCATCGCTGCGCGCCACACTGGAAACGTTAACGATAACGCCACGTTGGCCGTCTTCATCAGGTGGGTTAGTGCTCATTAAACCCACGGCGTGCCGGATAACGTTAAATGTCCCATAAACATTGATCTGCAAAGAAAAGTTATTGCTGATGTCGAATCGAACTCTGTCATTTAGTAAGTAAATCAGCATCGTCAGCAACAAGTTACAAATTTATCGAGCACAGTTTTAAGCTTAAATTGTTCCAGATGTACCACAGACAACCTTTGCCATTGCAGTTCCGGCCAAACAAAATGGCAACAGTTGTCTGTATTACATACAAACGCTGTGCGCCAAGAATACCCTTAATCTAACGTTAAATTATTTTGTGAAAAAATTTTTACAAAAATGTACCATGACATACGGTGTTAATAATCCAAGCAATATTATGATTATTCTTATATATTAAATAATTATGCATCACCCGCATGATATCCTCGAACATCTGTGTTGAGTGCATTTGGTCGGTGTGGAAGTCATACACCGGCTGCACGTGACCCAGTATCCCGGCGCAGTTGATGAGAAAATCCAGTCGCCCTTGTTTGTAGCGAATCTCACTGATCACGTTGGCAACATCGTCCTCTCGGGTTACCTGTACCATCGCGCTCATAATCATAATTCCCCAAAAATCCAAGCGTATCTAATTAACGCTTACATCAACTTTGCGGTATTTAATGGACGCATCGCCGTAGATATCCCCACCGTCTTCTTGGCTAGGAATTTGCAGATCTACTACATAAATTATGACTCCTTTTGATGCCAGTCGCTCCACGGTGGCTTTGCCTAATCCGGAAGAGCCACCTGTTACCAGGGCTACTTTGTCCTAAACAGCAAGATGCAAATGTCAGGCAATGGTAGAATTAGCTCGATAATACTTTATTTTTCACCTTAAAATGCGCCATTTGCAGCAGGATCCGGTATGTCTTGAAAGCGCTGCAGTAATAAAATTGCTGCTTGCAAACTTCTGCGACCTATTGCCTTCCACTGTGACGGTCTTGTGATCAAAACATATTGATGAAACCAGTTTCTTAACGATAGCTGCGCTAGATAATCATAAAATCCTATGAATGCGGATTTGCGTACGTGCGTTACTCAAAGTGAATCGTGTACGAAGATAAGCACAACTTTACCAATTTTAACAGACACAGAAGCAAGAAAATCGGCTGTGCTTATACAGTGGACTTTAGTTTCCCTTAACTCAGCTTTGGCTACTACAGCGGCACACCGGTTGGACAAGGCAGATTACAGTTAGGCAACCGGAAAGATTCTTTGAAAGAATCTGTGTGTACATCTTTACAACGAGGTCATAAATGTAGCCATTCTGCAATGAGCAGTACATGGACCGAAGACGATTGCAAGCTTGAAGCTGATCTCAAACAAGACGAATCAAGCTTATCACCATTGTGTTAAATATTTTGTCGTTTTTTTTCTATCCCTTCTGGCCTGTTTTGTCTCTCCCGTTCTGCGCTTCCTGTTATTCATTTTCATCCTTTTTTATTTGCCATGAATTTAAAGATGAAGAAGATGCGCCCGTTGCTTCGTTGCTTTCATGCTGTCCCAAGTGCCATGAAAGTCATGTTTTAAATTTTTTCATACTACAGTATCAAACATTTTTACTAATAGTGCTTCAGTACAATATTATAAATCAACTTTGGCTTAATCGCTGCTAATGGTGAGCGCTGAATACTGTTTTAGTATAGTAGTTATGTCGACAGGGAGCAGACACAGTTGTCAAAGATCAAAGCAAAACACGAAACATAGCGATTGCAACAAAAGAGACTAAGAATTGTGGAGTAAACCTGAGCTCATGCCACTTGTGGCGGTGTTGCTCCGATAAAATGTTTTAGCTGTGCTCGAATTTATGACTCCGCTGTAATTCGTTAGGCGCATTACTACCTGTTTCCGTAAAGGTCACTTTCGATCGCTGCGCAACCTATGGTACTGATACGAGCCCATAACTAATTCATTACCCCGGTCTTTGCTGGAGGTGATGAGCGGATTAATAAAAATCACAAAAGCATTGACATTATTTTTATAACCTGTTTTTACCAACCGAGAGAGTAATCGATCGTCCTTTTCAAGTGGCACCGTGCTGCCCATTGTCGATAAAGAAACCAACCGGCTGGTGTTGCGAACACACAACAAAATTCGGACAAAAAAGCAAAAAACGAATTGATTATCAATGAAACGTAAATTGATTATCAATGAAACATAAAATTAGTTGCAATAGGCCACACAAGTACAACGTGATACGTTCTATTCCCAGCACACAACCGGAGCGCGTAGACATGTTCGTAACTTGGTACCAAGTACAGATATAACCAGAGTTCATAACAGATGCGGTAAAACTGTCGTGGTAAATGGTAGCTGGTCTACGGATTAGACGCCAAGATGGTCCAATGAGTATTCGATGATCTTCTTGACGCTGGTTTCATAAGACCGGTACACAACCCTCGTCAGAATTGTGATATAGTTTATTGGTAACTTTTGAATCAAATGTAGATATTAGAGACCATGTAATAACCCTTAGATTTATACTAAAATGACCGATTTCGATATGCCTAATCGATGTAAAATATATTTATTCAGGTATGTAACAGCGATGTTTTTCAAAGCACAGCGGCGATGCCATTAACAATAAAAACACAATCCGCTACACGTTTATCCCGCAAAAGCCATTATTTCATGAAAAAGTACGCTTTTAGCAGCTCAGCATAAAATCAATAAAAGGTAACATGTGGCATTCAGTTATAAATTTTGGATGTCGACATCCATGCGTTTCACGGCGATACTGCTTTCCGGAAGCCGACGAAACAGAGAATTCATTCATCGATCCTGCAAAAAATTATTCAGCACATTTTAACTACGGCTATTTAAATGTCTCTGGATATGCATTCGACACAACAAGTTTTCTTCTCTAATGTTTTTCAAAACTTGGCAAATTTTAAATTATTTCGTGTAATCCATGCATGCTGACATGCAGTTGCATTTGAAAAAATTAAAAACGCTGTTGCAGATAAAAAAATCAGTTAAAGGATAAAAAAAATTCAAAATTAAAAACATATGGCTTCATTTAAAGTTTTTCGAAAAAGGAAACGTTTCTACGATTATCATTTTATTATCGTCATACTGCAAGCAACAAATCTATGCGATTTGTAGTTTATTTTTTTGAAAAATAAAAGAAAAAAAATAGGAGCTTAAAGTCATACGCAAATAAAAGTTTTATTTACTATCCAGATAGAATTTTTGTTTATTATATATTGGAAACCTCCAATTATTTAAAGGCTTGCATGTCGACATGCATAAAGGCAGAATTAAGATTCTAGTTGAAAATTCGTTTTTAGCAAATCAAGGCTGCACATCATTGTAGTGCTGGCGATGTTTCGTAAAGCGATCCCATCTCAAATAAAACCACCACTAAAATGCGGGCTTTTTACGATCATTCATCAAACGTATACCTGCAGTCCTACTGCATGTCGTCATGCACAATCTTCCCGCTGTGCAACATGTTCCAATGACCTGAAAACATTAACCCAAAATAAAAAATGATTTTCTATTAAACCGGCGTTTAACATTTGGGATTTCATTGAAATTCTCACCGTAGAATCATTACAGAACTCGAGGGTTCCTTGCAGCATCGCAGACAAGAACGCGCTCTTGCGTGTTCTTCCATAGACGTGCTGCGTCTAGCAGCGTTACGGCACAGAATGCCCGCACCATCACTTTTCACGCAAATGCTGAAAGGATCTGGCTGTCGACAGCCATAAAACGGAAAACTTGGAGATGGTTATGAAGAATCATAATTAAAAAGCGTGGCTTTTAGAAAGTCAATAATTGTGGGTTTTAAAGTTAGTTTCCAACTTTCCATAAGCAGAGACGGCACAACGGCGCTGAACGTGAACGTGTTCTGAACACAGAATGCCGCTCGACCAATCAGAGAAGGCATAACAGCAGCTTTCACTGACTGAACTTTGCAGCAAAAGTTTTATCGTCACGCGGACTTTTACACGCTAAATATTTGTAAATATTTGTATTCGCAATGCATTCAGAAGCAAAGTGAGCCGATAAGTCTTTAAAAAATTGCATTTTGCGACTATTTTTGCAGTGTCTAATACTTTATGTCGGTCGACCGACACTTGATTTTGCACCGAAACTATACTTTCGTTACTGATTGCATATCAAGGTTATACAGTATCATGTGAAAATTTAGCGCGCAGTAATTACGATACATAAATTGAATCAATTTTCTGGCATTACTACTTTGTAGACAATTTATGCCAATCGACTAGCAAAGCTTCTGTTTTTATATACTTACGAGTTACAGTAAAACCTCTCTATAAAATACAGGCACGGTTCCATCAGTTTCGTATTTCATACCGGTGTGTATTTTATAAAGGGCAACTGCCCCAGGGGCACTTGTATATTTTGGGGCGGGGTGGGGAATGTAGCAGACTAGCAGTATCTTTATAAATACAACATTAAGGCAGCAGCAAATATTTGTACAGACAGTGACAAACTTCGTTTAGCGTTCATTTTAAAGTAGGATTAATATCTCAAGGCTTATAAAATAAGAATATTCTGTTGAAATATACTTCTAGATCAATTATTACCACTTACACAAACTTTACTCGTGATTATTTGACGATATTCTGATTGGACAAATTGCATCCGGTTACCTGTATGCAGCGGTATTTAACCGTAGCTGAATGTAGTTCAGAGGTTTCATACACTGGTGCAACTACATTCGGTTCCGCGGAAAGTGTATGTAAGGCTTATAAAGAGGTGAATGTTATAAAGAGAATCCCCTATGTTATAACATGGGAGCCAATTCAGTTCCTTAAAGGTTGAATGCTATAGAGAAGTGTATTTAATAAAGAAGTGTATTTAAGGAGAGGTTTTACTGTAAATGTAATTAATATTTTGTAACAACGCAGATGAATTTACAACGTATAAACGGCTTTTACGAAGCTTTTGCTTTGTCCAGCAAAAGGATGTAACTTCGACACAAATTTGTGCTGATATAAAATCTGGTTTCTAAACGGCTGCCCGAATTTTGCCGTGGATATATGTTGTTATAGAGTGCCGATATGTTGCAGTATTTTGATGTAATTTAGAAAATACTTTTTGACGTGGGCAAGGATAGTCCGCCCAGCAGCGTTACGTGTGTCCGAGCTTTTCAGTAGCTTCAGTGGCAGGCACACGGACATTCCAGAATCAATCTGAAAAATAAAAGCTTCAACCACTGGAAATAATGATGTAGCGTCGATATCCCGCCACGTTTCCCTAACTGTGGATTTATTGCTATGATTTTCTAGATTTCAACGCGTTTTTCATATATCTTTTGTCTTACACCAAGAAAGTAATAGCATCTGATAAAACAAATAAGCACAGAATACGTCGTCTGAACCGGTTTATGCAGCGTGATCTCATACTGAATAAATATTGCTGTATAATCGGTTATAATTCAGCCCAGTTTCGCAGGTAGAAGTAAAGTATACCTTTTCCATATAAATGTAACATTTTTGATTTTCCTGGGCGCATTCGACTTTCTGGACACCCTTGTGCGTCTGTTTCTGCAATTCGCTGACGGCATCTTCATCAAATTTGTATCCCGTAAGAGCTTCGATTTCCACCATGATATTTCCGCTGATCACATTGCCTTTGTAACTGCAAACACACGCGCAATGTTATAAATATCGCTTCAGTTAGAACTCACAATTAGTCTTCTTCACTCACGAAGGGCACAGCCGTAACTGCAGGATATTGTTTTCGTCGTCCTTTGCAGTCAGCTTAAATTTCAGGTCTATCTCGGATGTGTAGCTCATCGCAGGATCCCGGAAAGGGACCGTTACTGGCGCTGGCGCACCTATTTTGAGGCTTGTCTTTGCCGATGGCGACTGTTTCTGCCGGTAAGAATATTCCAGCTGGCATCTCACGATACCGTCACCCGTTGCCCTGATTTTAACGCGATTTTGTGTCAGCGGTATTTCGTATGTCTGTGGTGACAGACTGTCGGTGGTGAACCGGTGCGTGTCATCAAATCCTTCCACTTCCACATCCAGTGATTTAGTTTGCACGTTCGGTTTTACTTCGCTAAGGGCATTCAGAGCCACAGCAGTATCCTGCAGCAGCATTACCAAACCTGAATTTCCGTGCTTACTCATTTATTTTGCAGTAACATGCCCTGGCCTTTCGCCATCTCTTTACTTCAAAACCGTAATGAATCAACTAATAAAGAGCGAATGAAATAAAATTACAAATTTTCCGTGCTCGGTTCCAGTAAAACTAATGAATTACGTTTTAACATCTTCAATTGTTCGGTTCGATGGCTGCATTTGCGACCCCGACCATGCAATGCTAAAACCGTTAGAACGGTCAGTTCCATCAAAATCATGAAGCGCCAAGGAATTTTTGTGACCCTCACCATGCAGTGTCAAAACCGTTAGAGCGATCAGTTCCATCAAACTTTTTAAGTTCCAAGGAAATTATGTAAAACTATTACGTAAATATTATATAATAGTATTCCAGGGAGATACATATAAAATTATTCCAGGGAAAATTATGTAAAACTACTCTGTATTATGTAATATTCTACTATGTAATAAATTATTACTAATAATTATTAGAAAAATTATTATAAAACTTTAATAACAGTCCATCCGGTTACGGCGATCATCTAGTGACGGTCTGCTGGGCTAAGAATAGATGCTGTATTACTTGCGCTGCATCAACTCAAAAGCTGTATTAGGAACTGCTTAGCTCGCATATCTCCCATATGATTGCGGGCGGCTCGCCCCATATAAATCTACGTATGTATATACGCTCTAATCAACGGGACTCGGCGCCGGCATTTTATTCCACTGATCAGAGGAGCTCCCTCTGCGCTAGCACAACCGACACCATATATACTGCCACTGCGCAGCGCAGCTGCGCAAAAATCAATAGTCTGACATCACATCTCCAGATCGTTCTGGATACTTCCAGAACGCACGTCAGTCATACTCTGATCATGCGTACAGCGCGTGCACATGCATACAGCCTGTATGTGGGAGATATCCCACATGATCCCGAATGCGCTTGGCAAAGGCCTTGAATTTCATATGCGTACCTGTGTGGACTGGAAGCCGAATTGCCAGTTTCGCTGCGACAGCAGCCAGTCGATAACCGGCTTCAGATCATTCGTAGCACTATTGTTGCACAGCGCCAACAGCGCATATCCCGTTGTCTCAATATCCTTTGCCGAAAATTCAGCACTGCTTTTTAAAGTAGTCTTATCCAGCCAGCACCGCTTTCCAGGAGCCGGCTCCACGGCCAGCTGATTCAGTTTCCTTATGCAGTGTGATGTTCTCTGACTTCCAGTGCGAGTAAACACGTAACAGGTCAAACCTAACGTAAATGGATCGTTGGATCGTTCAAAATGTCCTTCCAGATAACGTTGTGCGACTCGCGCTACAGTTGTGCTGGCGAAACCGTTTTCGGTATAGGCCAGGAGAACAAAAGCGGTCAGAGCGCTGGGGTTATGTTGGCGGTCGATGAGGTTTCCGTCTTCCCGTAAGGATCCGTCACTGTTTTGTTTGCTATCCAGAAATTCCAATGAGTGCTTAATCAGGGACTTGTCCACTTTGATGAATTCACTAGCCAGTGCGAAACCGCGAATGATGTAGGCTGTCAACCATGTAGAGCCTGGATGCCGGTTTTCCCCAAAAGTGCTGCAATAAAGGCGGATAGTAAAAAGGAAACGATGGAATCCTTACAGCCTAATAGAAACTCACGCACTTGTAAGAACCGTTCTTCAGGCGATAGTTTGCCATTCGCTTGAATCCTTTAACAGAAAAGGTAAATGGAATTAACATCGGAACCGGTTAGTCGAGCTACCGGAGCGTAACTTAGTCGGCTCCCTGTTTTTACTTTTCGGATAAGCGTACATGTACGAGTAATTGGTAAATTGTTTAATGATTAATCTATAAATTGAATTGTCTCACCCTTTTCGATATTGTACTTTAATCTCTTGTTGCGGTTGTTTTTTGTGTAGGCTGCATCACCCAATCGTTTGAGGTATTTTGCCAAAAAGACGTTAGGCATAAGTACCGACATGGTCTGCTCGCCGCACCCAGTAGGAACCCGAATCAAGCCTTCGAACTCTTTGCCTGAGCTCTCCTTGAGATTTTCCATAGTAGTGGCCATTATGTCACCTAGCAAAAAAGATGGAAGCAACTGTAATGGTTAGCAAAAAATGAGGATCCCCATACCAGAAATTGTCAGCCTAATTGTCTCCGATCCTGGGACGGCATTGAGCGGTATCTGTTGGCTGTCCACTGGAATCTCTACCGTGGGGATTTGACCAGTTATGGTGTACACCTCCGAGCTGTGCTGTTGCAGCGCTCCAGGCTGTCTGATTTGCACAGTCTTCTGCACTCTGTCAATGATTATTTCCTTTCCACGCGAAATGGACCGAAACACTTCGGCGACAACGGTTACCGGACCTTTCCGGTGTGGGATATCTCCCACATACAGGCTGTATGCATGTGCACGCGCTGTACGCATGATCAGAGTATGACTGACGTGCGTTCTGGAAGTATCCAGAACGATCTGGAGATGTGATGTCAGACTATTGATTTTTGCGCAGCTGCGCTGCGCAGTGGCAGTATATATGGTGTCGGTTGTGCTAGCGCAGAGGGAGCTCCTCTGATCAGTGGAATAAAATGCCGGCGCCGAGTCCCGTTGATTAGAGCGTATATACATACGTAGATTTATATGGGGCGAGCCGCCCGCAAATTGGTAGCAGATCGTGGTTGAGATCTATGTTAACATCAGTTTTCCTCTGACCTTTCATATTTTTCATCTGAATTTTTTTGTGTGGTGGCTCGCCCCAGTACGAGCCCATTACGAATCTATACCATCTTTTCCCAATTTTGCCAACACAAGATTATTACCGCCTGAATACGTTCTGCGGTGTTTAGTTATTCTACCTAACGCGATATTTCATCGGGATTTCACCAACGCATGATTCTAATTCCATCGCCTGCATATGCTGATCAGAAATTCCATCGTTTTTCTTGACCTTTTACTAAATGTACTGAACGTATTTTAGTGAACTGTTATTTAACATTATTACCTTAAAATCAATTGAGAAATTTATACGAATAAATGTGACCTTTCATAACATTTGACCATCAACATGGATGCCAAATCTTTGTCACCGGAGCAATACGTACAAGCAATCCACTGCTACTTAAAATCAACCACACCCAATCCAACGTTTCAAGATTTATTATCTCTTCTCTTCGACTATCTGCCAGAACAGCTGAAACCAACATTTTTTGCCAATTTGCCTGACTCCATCAACACCTTTGTTCAACAGCTGACTTTTGAGCTGAAGTCAATCCCACCTAATTCACGACCAAGATTATTCTTTCCTGTTCAACAAATCCATGCTGTAAGCCCAACCCCATATAATTTTAATGCGATCAAACTACATGTTCTACCAGACCAAGAATCGCACGTCAACACGTCCCAGAAAACTCCGAAGAAACACCATCGCTTTCACGCACGTTCATGTTACAATTGCCGCAAGCCAGGACATGAAGCAGCCACATGTAGGAAGCCTATGAATTTGCCCGTATACAGACATTGACGAAGTATGGAAGCCATTGATTCGATTTAGCCTGTGTAGCCCGAGTTGCTTTCGTAGCCTGATAGCTTATGTAGCCAGTTCGGCCAGTGGGGAAATGGAATAATAACGGTTGCAATGCTTCTACTGCTAAGAAAATGCCTGCCTGTTATTGAGCGGATTCCCATGTGACGATAAACTGCTTTCCAAGACCTACTTCCACTCCAAAATCAATAAACCTCTACGTTTCCTGGATGTGCGAGCAATCGTAATCGCAATTTCCTTAACATGTAATGTTTTACTGTCATCGATTTTTCTAATGTGTGACTACTGTTATACGTGTCGGTTTAGAGAAGGGGGAAGTATGTGGATATCTCCACATACAGGCTGTATGCATGTGCACGCGCTGTACGCATGATCAGAGTATGACTGACGTGCGTTCTGGAAGTATCCAGAACGATCTGGAGATGTGATGTCAGACTATTGATTTTTGCGCAGCTGCGCTGCGCAGTGGCAGTATATATGGTGTCGGTTGTGCTAGCGCAGAGGGAGCTCCTCTGATCAGTGGAATAAAATGCCGGCGCCGAGTCCCGTTGATTAGAGCGTATATACATACGTAGATTTATATGGGGCGAGCCGCCCGCACCGGAATGGTCCTAAGCGCAAAGGTAAATGGTGGAAAGCATTGCGGTCTCGAATTTTTACATCCACAGATTGCTGGTTTGCGGGGTTGGGCGTGACCTTAAAGCGGAATCCCAGAGATTCGGTAGTCGACACATTACGGAAATTGAAGAGCGTAGCATTGATTATCGCCGTTTCGTTTTCAATCATGGAGTACGGTGTATCCATATTGATATAGAGTTCTTGATAGACGATCAACTACAAAACAGAATAATTATAACACTTTAAGTGCCAATTATAAGCAATGAGGATGGCGTAGTTACATTTCTTGGCTTTTTGGTGAGAGCTAAAGGTTGCTGGGCGCTGACGGCAAAGGCGGTGACTTCCCAAGTCGTTATCGAATCCGGAACAGTCTCCAAATGCGACAGTCTTCCATTGGTGCTGAAGTGCCAAGAACCGTTAACGTGACCCATCGATGTTATTTAAACAAAAACCCCAAACGAGAGCGTATCTGCTTACTCGGTGAATCCTGATACAAACATAAAACTCTCCCGAAAATCTTTTCTCAGCGGTTGTGCTGGAGCATGTGGCGCTGTGATTAAAAAATACTGTATATTTTTCTATGCATTACTACACGGTACTGTTTTAAAAGTTATCAGCTGGCTTTACCTGTTGGCGGCGCTGCATTGAACATTGAGGAACAGTCAAAGACAGATATCACCATGTTGACCGCCTAAAACTGGAAGCATGTAAGAGATTCTCCACAAACACCAGAAACCTGATCTTAAGTTGAACTGCCTTCTTATCGCCTCCTCCCACCACCCACTTGGCGGATTATTCACATTGCATCCGTCTAGTTCATGTGCATGCCTCTCAAGGGATAACGCTGCATCTAGGCCCTGGAGTCTGGCAACCACCTGCATTTGACGTTTTATGAATATTTGATCGAGAAAAACACAGTGCCATAGCACGATGGCTCAGGCGGCTCAGCGCATTTTAAGTGTTTGATTCATAGTGGAAAATCATCACCTCCTTGGCAGAAATTTCGTGTCCGGAAGCAAGTTGCAGCAAGCTTTTGTCGACTGCCAATAATCCCACCAGAGAATTTGGCGCAGCGGTTACGTCGACCTTGGCTTTCTGTCCCAAACCGGGCACGATATATTTCGCGCTGGGGTCTTCAGGACCCACGGTAATCCCCACCTGCAAGAGAAACTCAGCTTTTACAGAAACTTATCTACGAGTATCCTACTACCCGTTGTTGAAATCTTAAATAACACACAAGATAAATTTCCTGTCTGGTCAAAATGACTAAAAAATTTCATAAAAATACTGCCATAGGGAGGTAATGATGACCCTTGTCCATTGCTACGTACGTCTTGCACTACAGATTCATGATCAACCGTAATTTCCACGGCATCCACCGCCACATCACTTATGGCGCTGTAATATGCAATAATGGTGACGGTCGGCGCCATCGCTTCGGTTACTGCGAAACTGAGCGTATCGCTCGTGGTACGTTCATCATGGCAGACGTCGCAGTTATTATTCCCTTGCGAGAGACAACCTATAACGAGCGAATATAATTTATTCAAAGCGGCATTAACTATAACGCATCGAGCGCCGGTAATTAGTACCGGTTAATTCTTAACCATTATCTGCACATACGAACCGCGTAATACATTGTGTCACAATTAACGCCTCCCAGGTTAAACGTCACTCGTTCGCCTACGCGATACTTCCTTGATTCTGTAATACGAATATTGGCGGCAATCGTCCCGTATCGCTTCTTAACACTGAGCGTTTTCTTCATATCATTTAACGTGACGTCGATCGCCAGTCGCTCCGCTTCCTTTGTCGTTTGCATGTGGACCATAACTAATCCTTGCCCGGCATCTACTTCCTTATTGACATCCTCCACCTGGTTTGTTTCATTGAACGCGTCGTACTGCGTTGCCGTTAACGTGACGGCTTGTAGTTCATCCACGTTGGATACGGGTGAACCGTCGTGGTTGGCAATGCGAACGGCAATGGTGCACGGCAAACCGGGTCGGAACGAAGCGGATAGAGAAACCAGTTCGATGAGAAAGGACTGGCAATGGTACGGAATTCGCATTTCGCCGCGCTCGATTTTATTTGTCCGGTTTTCCGTTGCCGTAGCGATAATAGTGAGATACCCGTCTTCACCTTTATCGCAGAATTTTTGCTGCATCGCACGATGGTTCAGCTGATAGCTAAAGGGCAGCGTTGTGCCGACGCCTCCTGTTGTCTGAAAATTTGCTGAGTCTCAGGAAACGTCCCATATCGGGTGCGGGTGCCATGTTTATGGACGAAATTCGCTTACCTGAGCAGAAAACTTTACAGGCCTGTTTTTGGCGGTGGGATCTTTAATGGAAGCATCGACTCGACCGATAACTGGATTTCCTGTTCGATCCCTGAAATTGAGCGGCTACATTAAGAACACAACATGACTGCTACTTTAGCGGTACGAATAGTTGAGTTGGTTCTTTTTTACTCGTACAACAAACTAGACTATTTAAACGCCTAATGCGATACTGAGCTGGTGATCCTGTTTTCTCGATTCATATGAATTTTCTGTCCTGCTTTATGTTCTTCATAAGTACTGTATGCAAAGGGCCGTTTCGACCTATTATTGACGTACTGTGGTGCCAAGTGAATTCCGCACTTTTTCGTACAGCATGCTAGACAAGCGCTGTATGGACGGCTTTAGCGTTCAGTGGGTTCACTGTCTACAGGGTTATGAACTGACTGAACGCAGAATTTGAAATAATTCATAATCAGTAGCATACGCGGGTACGACAAAGAAATTCGAACCAGCAGTTAGGTAATGCGTAATACAGTTAGCATGTTTTGTAACCATAAATTGTAAAAATTTATTTTGGATTATATTCACGTCTATAAATCTTGATGGAGAAGCAGGAACGAATTTTCAAGAGTGAGCAACGCTCCTTTACGCTCGGCCCTTTGCTACTGGCAGCCTGACGCTGTTCAGCACGTTCAGCGCACGCTGAACCAAATATACAGCTCTAGTGTATCAGGCTTTACGAAATGGTTCGGAATTTACTTGGCACCACAGTACCTTAGCAGGCTTAAACTGAGCGCTGTATCGTCCCTGGAAACCCATTTCGGGGCTTGGAAGTGCAACGAAAACCGTGGCAGGCCTAACACCACAAAAATGATGGACCGTCAACAGTGTTGTACCAAAACCGCTGCACAAGGTGCAATGCGCCTTACATTTCATGATTTTACTGATTCCACGGCTTTACTGCCTTACTGTATTGAGCAACTAGGAATTTTTTGACTGCAGTTTGGCCCTGGACGGATATTTCCACTGACCAGTTGCCATATTCAGGATCGGAGTAAATCGGCAGAAATGCATCTTCGAAATATCCTGGACCTGGTTAAAAACATTATTGTTTTACGTATTTACGAGGGTAATGGCCATATCATTATTGTAACGTGTGCCTAACAGTAGAACGGTATACAGTTTTTTTGAAGCAGCAAAAAGTATCGATGTATCTGTATCAAGCCAAAGATTGCGTAGATATTTTTAAGGTGTCAAACCCTTACTGCTGGGATGGGTGTATGCTATGTCAAGTCTCCTGTCCACCAGTTCATCAGAAGGATCCTGAAAATAAGGAGTGTGTGATCGTGTGTAAACGAATAAACGGTGAATACCGATTTCTACATAGCTTGTTTGGTGCAAAACGCGGAATCAAGATTGAATAATGGGCCAGGTCAATTGCATCTGGGTAACCATTGCGCGTCGGGTAACGGAGAAACGCGTAAAAATCTGTCCATGACTCAGCGAAAAATTTATCGTCCAATCGTAAGTCGAGTACGCTTCCGTGGCAAGAAAGAAATTGAACAACTGAAAAACTGAAGTGGAACCGAAAATTTTATTTTTGATGCTTTAATGTGTTACTACATCAAAAAGTTAATTCTGAGTTTAGGAGTGTCGAGTTTAGGAGTGTCAATCTGGGTCGCTGGATGCACTTCTGGTTCAAACAAACAAAAAATTTGTTGATCTGTGCAGGAGAGTTGCGAGTTACTCGTAGTTTGGGTAACGGTTGCGCTTCGATTTCGAAGCGCAACGGTTACACGCACCGTGACGCACGGGTAAGCTGAAAACCCATCCCAGAATTCTGGTTTACCAATCAAATCGTTTACCTGCTTACGCGCCGTGATGTCATGATTTTTTACCCGACTGCCGCTTGCGCGTCGCGTAAGACTTACGCAGAGCAATTGACCTGGCCCACTAATAGGTTAGTCACTATACGGCATTGCACGTTGTGTTACCACTCCGTGTTGGCGCAGTATACATATACGACGTATATGTATATCTGTATTATATATATTATACGTATATTACACATGAAGGTCGCCAGGTACTCTTAGTAATTTTTTTTCATTCTGTTACATATTTATTGATGAGCGAATACAAGAACAATCTAACAGCACAAAAGAAACATTATGTACAATCATTACAAATTTAACAAGCAGCGGAAACAGGCGACCGAACTTGATTTCTGCTTTGTCATGTACTCGATTAATGTTGATTTTGTACGTTCCTCATTGAACTCAGTAAGAGTCAAATTAAAGCATATTACACTTTTATTTTTGTTGTCATGGTGTGCCAAGGTACTGCCAACTTGTTTAAGCGTTTAAGCCAAGCGTTTAAGACGATTCGGTCTCTGCTTTACCTTTAAAAGTGCAGTGACAGTCTTCACGCGGGTGGATAGACGGAGATCCTAATCGAGTACCAAAACCCGAAAGCGCACCGCATCACCAGCTCTGTACATTGGTTTGTCCAGCTGTACGAGAATAATGTCATCCGATGGGAGGGGCTTTATGTACTGTTCCGAAGTGCGAATGGGAAAATTCGTTCCCCGGTAGGCAATGGTGACGTTCAGCAGCACGCGTCCAACTCCAGACAAACTTGGAATCTACAAAAAATCTATTTGTTGTTTACAAATCTACTTAGAAAATGTATTTGTTATATGTACCTTGAGACGTAGTTTCTCTTGGCTCCCTTTCGCCACCATCACCTTCCCACTGTGCACCATCGTAGTGGTTAAATTCAGCTCCGCTGTAACATCAACATCGTAATGCTCCTGCATGTTTTGCGCGATCAGTTCATAGTCCGCATGCGGTCGGACCAAACGGTGCGAATAAATAATCGTGGCACCATTATCGTCTATAACGGTATCATCGTACGCTAAGACGAGACAAAATAAGCTTGTAAATGCTAGGCATAATCGAAGTCTTGTAGCCATTTGCGAGACTAGGGTTATCAAAACGTAAAATAAAAATCCCGCCGTGGAATGGCGATGTACTCAGAACCTTTAGCCGTCAAAATGTGCCGCTTTAAGTAAGAAAGCATATGTCGGCTCGCTGTAAACAAATGCCGATTCTCGTAAGTTAATACAATAATACAGTAATAAAAGTATACGAGTATTCAAGTATGAGAGCATGATCGCAATCAACCTTTCTAAATGCGTTCATATTTTGCACTTTGGCGCTATGCAGATGTGTATCACGGCCAAAATTCGTACTGTTGCTGTCATGCTGACGTATTACGACGACGGTAGCCTGCGAGACAATTGCTTGAGAACTTTCAAACACAACACAAAATTGCACTACTGCCGTGGAAGCAATGGATTGTTTCAGTAAAATCTGTAAGGGATTATTTGTGTTCAATTAAGTACGTCTACACGCTGCATAATATTATGGTGTACATCAGCGGTGCGCTTGCATTTATGATTTGTCACAGAGATTTCGGTATACAATTATGAGTAACTTCGCTTGCAATAATTTCATTCTCAGCGTCACTTTAATTTTGGAACCAGTGCGGCGACGTTTCCATTTCGTCACCAACACAGGTCATTGTACAGCAAGTGGTATGCCGGAAGTTAAACTTCCTTATACACTGGCTTCATGCGCAAAGACTGGGAAACTTTGCTAGCTGGCCAGCTAAAAGCAGCATACAAAAAATGAGGGATAATTGGCCTCCATAGGTACATCACGGTACATATACAATCTTTAGAAAAGGTGTTAAGAAAATTGCTCCCGATAAGTACGTCGGCTTTTTTAGTGAAAGGGTTGCATGAATCATCTAGCATATCAGAAAGACCTGCAGAATCGATCCTGATGGCTCTTCTTGTGCTAATACTGCAGTCAATAAATCGAATTTTCGAGAAGAATAATTTTTTTCTTACCTATCCGTAGAATGGTATCATACGAATGCATAGAGTTGGTTATTCAGTCACTATATCGACTGTAACCGGCATTAGTGTCCGGCGGACGGTTCCTCCGTCCGGACGGTTTTGCCGGTTACAAATGTCAGTGTGCAAATATGTAATGGTCGGCGAGACGAGTAAAGCTATATTTCTTTGTGCAGTGCATTAAAGGTTGAAAATGGTAGAATCGGAGCCCTCCCCTTAGAGTTTCTGAAAGGTATTCCATAATTTTAGATTTGCTAACGTTTTCCAAGAGGTATTAGCGAATATATTTACCGCACAATCTCAAATTCTCGTTACCAAAGAAGTGCACCGCTTTTGGCGGGTATTAAAAGACTGAAAAGAAATGAGAAACAAAAATTAAAGAAGCGATTTGTAAATTTTTTAAAAGAACGAGTTCTATATTTTTTGAAACAATTTCTCTAAACTAAATTTACTTTTTTGTGTTTATTAAATAGAACTTTAAAACTCATGCGCATATTTTATTTAAGATTATCAGTGCGTGACCGACGTAACCGTTTTCTCGAACATAGAGGATCTTCGCTTCACTTCCGTCGATTATTTTGCAAAAACGCCCAGCAAAGATACTCTGGCAGCGCAAAAAATGCACTAACAGAATTATTACCTTCCGGCCGCAGATCACACTGTAATGAAGAAGCACAGGATTCCATATCTTTCTAAGAACCTGAAATTTCACTAAGTACCTGCTCACTGATTCATAATGAAACTCTATCCACTCACCCATCCCGCTGGTTTCCACATGCACGTTTCCCTCAAGCAAACACAGGTATTTCTGTTTTGCGTGTACTTGCGGGCTCACAGGCACACCACTGATTTCCCGCTGGATTTATCCTTTACCAACCCGGTAACGCTGCGATTCGAGCACACTAAATAACCTTGAAATTCATCGATTGGATGGCCTGAATAATGCCGCAAGCCGGGGGTGTACATACCATACATGGAACAATCAAGGTAAATGGCAATATCTCGTTACATATGCTCCAGCGGGGGACGGAAGGATTTATTAACAAATCTCTTATAAGCACACACCGATACTGTACACAAACGTAGCAAATCCATTGTGAATCCGGCAGTATGGCTGGGAACACCGCCAACCTTTTCATCGACAACGGAACCGTCTTTATTGAAAATGCAGCAAACAACACGACCCTTTCGACAGACAGCCTGTTTTCTGCTAATATCACTAGTATTCCGGTGGGAATTTATTACTATTCCGCGTTATTATTGTGGTTTGCTGTTACCTTTACGTTTTGCATAATCGGCGCTGTGCTTACCGCGTTTCTGTTAACAGTAATCTGTACAAGCCAAAAAAATCAGCGTTCCGGTTGCAAAATTCTGATTGTCCACTTCATGTCGATTAATTTATTCATCTGTGGGATACATGCACCGTTGAATACATACGCCAGTTTTATCGGCACACGGTTACCGTTTTCCGTGTCATCATGTGCCGGTATTCATTTCAGCTTTCTGACCACCATGTTCAGCGGCCAATGGACTGCCGCGTTTTTAGCTGCTAACCGCTTCGTAGCCACCATCTTCCCGCATCATTACGCGAAATACTCCAAAAACCGCGTAGCAGTTGGCTGTATTTCATATTCATGGATCGTCAGCGCCGTTATTAATGTACCTCCATTATTTAACATCGGCGGTCTGTACCGTGCCATTCCGCCGTGGTTCGGATGCGGGCTGCAACCGGATGGGGCGTCGATTGTGTCCACACTGTCCGCTGTGATTGGTGTGTACATTCCGCTGGTAGTTGTCTGTGGATGTTACGTGGGAATCTTTATCCGTTCGGTTGGGATCAAGTGCCGCAACCGGGTGAATGTGGAAAGCGCAAAAGTTGCGGTGAAGACGAAGAGTGATAGCAGTCAACGGCGATCCGCGGTAACCAAGATGCTGTTTGCCTGTGCGGTGTGGTACTGTGTTTGCTACTTTCCGCATTCGATTCTGATTACGTCGTTCTTCAACGTGTACCAGCGGAACCCGACGACACAGCTGTGGATCAGAAGTTTATCATGGTGTGGATATGTCGGCAATCCGGTACGGAACAAGAATTTTATTATTTCCACAACAGTTATGATTTGGGTATCTCTAAGAATAACAAGTGCAAAACTTCAAGAGAGCGCTTCCGTGTTGCACGATTAACGATTTTAGAAAGTTGCTAGCCGCATGTCCGCAACATATTTCCATTTAGATGCTGGATCATCTGACTTATAAGTTATCATTCGATGCCAAAAGCATCTTTGGGCTAAAAGTGTATTGTACATACGTACTCACATGCATAGAAAAAAGTATACTTCTAGTGAACGTACAAGTTTCACATAATGTGTGTATGTAATGTACGCACATGATGATGTATGTATGTATCCACATGATTTGATAATGTTTTGTTTTGAATTACAGTTTATTTTCTTTGCAATGTCGGAAGAATATCGCCACGGCGCCAGAACACTTTGGGGACTTTTATTCCTTATGAGGCCAGCTCGCACTCTAAATAATGACGAACTAAAAGGCACAAGCCATATGAATACTCTGACCTTGCCCGCAACTAAACCTTCGTTTCCGTGATCCAGTGGCTGCGGTATTTAATGGCTTGATATCGTTTGATGCATAATTGTGCATGCTCATGCCAAGCAATAATTAATTAGCAGTTGTTAAACCCGGAATTTTTAACTACCAATTTTATTGGAAACGGTACCAGCATTGTATTTGTACATGGCAGCGAAGCATCGAAAATGCTGTAATGACATTGCAAACCGTATTTCACATGAAAAAACTGCACGCAGAGCGTTACCCACGTATACATATGCTACAAGAACTACATGAAAATTTAATAATTTTATGTATGTAGCATATAATTATTGTGTACTGCATGAACGATTTATGTCTGTAGCTCGGTACAGCACATTCATTTTCTGATAAAAAAAGATAAAATAGTCGCTGTTGTAGCATTATATCTTGCCCAATGTACATATAAACCCTTGAATGACTTTTCCTTCCGGTTGAATAATTTCGTCAGTGTACAAGTCGAGGATTAACCGAGATAGCAGTAATACTCCTTCACTGATCGTCCGTATTCTGGGCGGTCATCATAGTTAGTATTAGTTACCACCTCGCCATGTTCATGTTGATATTGGACGCTCATGGTAGAGAACACATGTGATTACAAAACATTCTCAAGCTCAGTGGACGTTGGTAACAAACGCTAACAACTGGACCATCGCCCAGTATGATGACGACCGGTTGTTTTTCTGCACTGCCCACCGATCTGTGCTGTTATGACGGGCAGATGCCTTGTGTCTTCTACAAGTTCTATTGTTTCGTTGACTTTTCTGCAGTATCTATAAAACATCAATACAAAAACCGGTCCATCACCAAGCGAAAAACTATTAATTTTTGACATAATTATACTTAGTACGGATTGAGTAGCGTGTTCTTATACAAGAAATCACGGAATTGTGCGAATACAAAAATGCGCGCGGTGACGATGATGAAAAATATACGTCTGTACTCTGTACTAACTGTTCGTAAATTTAATGTTTACATGACTGCATGACACAGTCCTGTAATGGCACTGATAGTGTGGGTCAAATACAGTAAAACTTGTGTGTCAGCGCAATTACGTACTGTACTATTTTTAGTTGTCATTGCATGTGCAGATACACAATAATGTAAATAGTAATTGAATATTAATTCTGATAGCGCGAGACTAGATACTCTCGCGCGTAGCCATTTCGAACATTAACTGCAATAAAGACGGGCGCCGTTATACACCAAACTTTACCTCTGGCCAGCATTCTTTCATTCGCACTAATTTTCACACAAAAACACGCATGTACTGCGCTCTGTTTCGAACCATCAATAAGCACTGCATATCGAGAATGTTCTTACTTTCATGGAAACGTAGGACGAATAGAAGGTGGCACTTCATTGGGGGAAGCATAGTATTGATCCGTAGAACCAACTAACGTTTTAGTTAGCTTCCGAAGACCCGTGTCCATTTTATAGTACGCATTTTGCAATGGTGTGCGTGAATGTGCGTGAATGTTTACTGTATGAACTTTTATATTCAACAACGTTTAAAATACCGTATTTTAACTAATACTCTTACTTAGAAAACTAAGCAGCAGCATTGAAAACCAGTAATAAGATCTGACGTAAGATACGAGCACATACAATGAGGCACTCACAGCGATAACATTGTCAGCAGAAACCACAAGAACATTGTGTTTACAATAGTGGTTCGTCTTAGTCTACGTTGTAGTAAATAAGACAATCAATATAATGTATCAAAAAACACAAGATCTCACTACTGACACCTTTGATTTTTGAATTCCTGAATTACTTTCCCTGTCGGCTGAATGATCTCATCAATGTGCAAATCAATCGACGGGAAGAACTGACCCAGATACGGGCTATTGGGCTTCACATAGTAAAAATAATCCTCTTTCACCAAATCCGCATCATCCTCGTAGCGGTACGCCTGTATCGTGATGGCGGCCATATCCATGTTAGTATTGTGGAGTTTGTGCGTCTGGTACATATCCGATTTCATCCAGGTGATGTTGCCGGCATGGAACATCTCGGAGCGCACCAGCACCGGCTGCTCGTAACTGATATTGACAATCGGATTATACCACTCGGATTTAATGGAGCCCTGCAGAACCTTGATGACCGCGGTGGTGTTCCCATGATTATGTACCGGGCTGTAGTGACCCCGTGGCCAGATCTCCAGGACCATTTCCTGACCGGGTGCACGGAGGTTGGCTGGTCCCGGAATACGAATGTAGCTGGACTGTTTACTTCCAAAGGTCGTCTTTTTATCGAGGATGTTCGCCAAAGTGCAACCGGACGTCTCCAGTGAATAATTGATCGCATCTAGCTGTTCTGGGGTGAGCGCGAACGCGTTGACATCCTCCAGGATCCCGGCGATCGTCGGATTCCGCGATACCTGGATGTACGTTACATCCGTGGCCATGATGTGTTTCATGGTGCGCTGTTCCGGCGGAATAACTACCGGTGCGACGTCCACCAGCACCGGATCCCGCTGAAACTTCATTTTATCCACGATGGAAACATGATCTGCGATGGCGACCCTTCCTATCCGACTGATAGCTCACCGTGGGTGGCGTTGGACATGGAGACGGCTATTGGTTCTTCGGGTATTCGCTGCCGCGCTGCCGTTTTGGGAGCTGATGTCTTTCCAGTACCTCGTCTTTTGGATGTTTTACTTGTTGCTGGTGCGATTTTCGTCGCTTTGGTTGGCGGTTTGGAAGGCGTTATTTTCTTTGTCACTGAAGGAGTGACGGGTGGATCGCCGATGGCATCGATTACAGGATCCTCAGAGGCGTCTGCAGCAGAAAATTGATAAAACATTTTGCATCGAAAGTTTACTACGGATTTCCACAGTACCAGCATTACGCAACATTTATAACAAATTCCAGTCGTGTCTGTGCATTACTTATTAACATACCGCAAGATTGTACACTCATGACGCTGTTGGGATCAGTACGCGACATGTAGGCTTCCGGACAGCTGACTCGCATCGTATCGGAAGCATCACACAATATGTTCCGGGGGATGTAGCCTTTCAGTGCTTGACACAGAACTTCATCCGGTTTCGGCTTTTCTGCACATAAAAAATTTTTACATCCAAATGCCGCATAATTTTCGAAAATTTTACTATGACCTTTATTAAATGGATGCAATACACAGCAGCGTACGTAACCGTATTACTACTCTTACCCGCGCCAAGAATGCGCCATATAAATACCTATGTGAAGTAGAGCCCCCAAACAGTATACTGTACTGCCGAATACGGCATTGTGAAGTTAGTGTGACTACCGCACTTACGTGTGAGGACCGTGTAATCAAAAATGATCTCGTGATATGGATTTTCTTTTCTCTCTGGCCCAAGATCCATGTTTATGGTCAGGGAAGGCGCCTTCTGGTAGCTGGACACCAACTGTGCAATGGACTCGATGGCATTGTTGGGCATGTTGTAGGACTTGCCGCCGGGTATCTGTTTGACCAGGGTGGATTTTCCGTCAATGCGCTCGTAGATCCTCACTGTCTGGCTTTCACCCAGATACGACACTCTGCAAATAGATCGACGCTACAGGTTGAGACAGAACAAAAGCATCAGCTGATGACCTGTTTTCGGAAACTGCCACAACAACGTAAGAATGAACAAGCTTTTGCCATTTTTGACAGAACCAGGACGATAACAACAGCCAGAAAATTTTGCATACATACGTATCGGTACAATAATACATTGTATTATATTTTACCGAGCGTACTTTACTAACCCAGTCGTTAAAAAATGGGTAAACCAGAAAAAATAGGAACCCTAAGATTATTGTCGCAATATAATTTATTCAATCCTACTATGTCTCTGATGGCAGAAAATACTCACTCTCGTGAATCATACACTACTATAGTTTAGTGGTATACAACTGTACTTACGGAACGTGTAAATAGATTGCGGATTTGCTGTTGCAGTTGCTCGGTGTCGTCAATTTGACACTGCAGTTGCTCTTGGGAACATGGTAGAAGCGCAACCGTCCAGCGCGATCGCCAATCTCCGTAGTGTCGGGACACGGGAGAACGTAGATTCCACGGCAAAATAGCTCCAGAAGAACTACAATTATAGCGCTTGCTTAATTTAGTCATGCTAGTACGATACAGTAAATTAATATACTTAATTATACAGAGTAGTACCGCGTTTCATCTTATACATACACTGTTGACACAAGTCGAAGCAAATTTACAGAAGTGGTTATACAATTCGGAGCACAAGAAATGCATTGATACATCAATACATAATGATATATAAATTTAATGAAGGACAGTAACAAAGCATCTCCAGTATCAGAAGAAGTAAAATTTACAAAAAAAATGCATTAATAACATGGTTTCGGACCTTCGGTTGCCAGTTAACCATCCTTGTTAAAAATATGTAAACCCAAATTTATTAACCAGTAAGGCAAGCATTGTACCTTCATCTTCCGAAGGGCTGGACTTGCCGTAGCAGACCTGCACCGTAAGCAAAATAACCACAACCGCGATGGCGGCTTTCATGATTGTATTATGCAAAAACATCTTGCAGACCAACAAATAACTAACTGCCGCGGTGAATTACAAGGTGCTGCAGCTGTGTAAATGATAAATATACTAACAAGCGCAATCTCCCCTTCTTATCACCACCAAGTCGCGCCTATCGGGCAGCCATCAGTCGTCAGTATGCGGAAATGATGCGCACCTTCACTAGGCATTTCGCGCCATCCGGCTGTCCACTCACGCTGTCTTGTAAAGGAAACAGATGACCTTTGACCTGGAGATTGTAATCACTCGAGAAGTGGCGAAACATCTCACAGACTGCATAAACCGTGAGTTGCACGCCTTCTTTTTCAAGAATTATTTTGTGGCGCTCAGTGCGGCGGCTGTATAAGTACGAGCCGTGGAATAAAATATCGCTGATCAGTTTGTTGCCGGTGTTGTCGTCATTTTAACATTATGGCGTATACAGAAATATTGCTGATATGCTTGGCGTTCACGGCGCTGTGTGCGGCACAAGAGGACGTGCGGGATGAAGGAGCGATTATTGTCTATTCACACCGGCTTATCCGACCTAACTCCGATTATGAAATCATCGCACAGTCATTTCAGCGGGAATTCGACGCGGATGTGGATGCCGTCATCACGACGCCCACGGGGTCCGTTCGCAGTCCGACGGTGTTGCTGGGAAAGGGGGATCAGAAACGTTTGAAGCTCAAGGTATTTTTTGTTATATTTAACATGACCAGAAAAACCGAACGTATTCTATTACAAGCTGCAAAAACTTATTTTAATAAAAAGTAGCAAAATATAATATGCAGCAAAAGTAAAAAAAATGAATAATAAAAAGTACGCTAGCCCAGTTATGAGCATATTCAAAACGCTGGTTTAAACGGATGCACTGTCAAAATTCAGTTCTGCAGTGTGCCCATCATCCATGTGCTGGTATAACATGTGCAAAGGTGTGATTTGTTACTCAATCATCTGAAAATGAATAAGATTTTTTTTTCTGCCTTGTTATTTCTTCCGCGCTTCGTTTGCTTTTAAAATGACACTTTAATACAGAGTGATTTCTGAATTTTAGTTCTGGAAAAGTTTCTGTTTACGAAAAGTTTACGAAAAGTTGGAAAAGTTTCAACTGCATGTTTAGTTGCACAGTTAGTATACGTAAACTCGTAAAGTAAAGCCGGCAAGTGTAGTATAATTGTGTACCTACTTATCAGATGGGCTGAGAAGTTATCCGATAATATTATACTGATCACAATATTAAATAAGTAATTACAAAGAAACCCTTGTATTTTGAACGTATAAAATTGATACGGTTGTCCCAAACGGCCTGCCTTGGGATTATTACTTTCATTGATTAATAAGAATAAAGTTTAGACACAGCCGTTTTTCTTGAAATATAAAATAATGATACTTTTGTTTTTGATAGATCCCCAGTTTGCCGGCAACCGGCGCTGTTAAATTGAACGTCACCGTTACGTACAAAAATGCCGACAAAAATGCCGATAGTGACGGCCATCAAACGATAAAAAGTTCGGAAAAGAACCTACAGCCGATGCCCAGTGATGACATCATCCTGATTCAGCTGGACAAACCCATGTACAAAGCCGCCGACGCCGTCCGGTTCCGGGCGTTGATACTGGATCAGAATCTCCGGTTATCAGCTAGCGTCAAGACAATTACGGCTGTTCTCAAGGTAAAGGCGCGTTTCTTTCGCTCTTATATTTTAATATCCTGTTGTACAACGCAAAAAGCCACCGATCAGCCTGCTAGTGAGGTTTTGGACTTAACCGGTAAATTATTCTCGTGCCATTACCTGCTTGATAACGCGATTGATAATTACAGGATATGAATGGAGAAAGTGTGGAGACAAAACCCGACATTTCCTACGCAAATGCCAACAGTAAAGATAGCCTTCCTACACAAAGCTTTGTAGCCGGTAAAACGTCATCTGCTCCACAGGTCCCGGCTATTTTGAGGGCACCTTCCAACCGTTGCCGTTTGAGCCGGAGTACGGCAACTGGAGCGTCGAGATTGTGACAAAGAATCAGAGTGCTTCGAAAACACTACAAGTGACCAATTATCGTAAGTTGACGAAATGTGAAGATTTCGACAAGAATTTGATATTCTTTTTCACTGGCTTTCAAAACGATTTCAACGTCGCTGCATTTAATGAGCTAATAAGAAATCAACTTTCTACGGAAAATAAATATAATTTAATAACATATAATGTTTTGTTATTACTAATGCTGCTGCATTGCCGCAGGCTTACCTCGTTTCGCAATATACTTCAATACCCCTGAGTGGATTACAAAGGACGATCCCACACTTCCGCTGAGCGTTACTGTCAGGTATAAAACTTTTTATTTTCAATTATATTTGGTTTTTTTAAAATAACGGTGCCAGAAAATGGTTCCATCACGATTATTACGCAAACATTTGCAGAGATCAAACAGGAAACCCGGTAGTTGGTTCAGTGGATATTGTTATAAAAGATCCATCCACATCTGAAGATAAAGTGCTGCCAACACAGGTATATTAATTTTACTCATTGCCAGCAGATGGCTGCACGTAAGCGGCATGGGTAACCGTAAACCAAAATATGTACGTGTACCAAAATATGATTAAATTATGACATGTACAATGTATGTACAGTATTGTACAATAATGATTTCTACTCAATATTAACCTGTGTATCAGTGTCTTAATATTCCTGTTTGCGCTTTCATGCGATCGATGTATTAACCCACCTGCCTCTTTCTTTCTTTCGGAGTTTAATTCTAATTGTTGCAAAAGGAGACGCGGTTGCTTTTGTAGGGTCCAGTAAATTACCGGAAGTAGTTTGGGAAAATTATTACCTTTTTTAATTTTAAATTTTTTAACCATTTTATTTTACGTTAATTTACTGAGTAACACCAGTATACAAGGCTTTTGCCGAATGCACATTTTTTTCAAACACAGTACAGAGTAAAACTTATGAGCAGACCTGTTCATTTTTCTTTGTGCGTCTAGCCGTAAAATTAGCGAAGGAGGAAGAATCAGTTTCAGCCAATACAGATTCTGGTTTTCGGTTTTCTAAATAAGTAAGCTGTTATAATTTTTCAGGCAACGGAAATGACCAGTGCCAGCCAAACTCACAGCTACAAACTCAACCATCCCGCGCTGCAGAAAAAATTCTGCCAAGAGAACAAAGACGGCTACATCACCGTAGTGGCCAGCGCCAAAGAGCGCTTGACCAATAAAATCGAAAAAGCGGAAAAGCGAATTCCTTACCACTGTGCGCCCTTCGCGATCACGATGGGCTCACCGTCGGATACCTTCCGCGCCGGTCTGGTGACCAGCATCACCATCCGCATTGCCAACCACAATGGCACGCCCCATCCCGCCGCTCTGCGGGCCGCCGACTTCACCGCCACGGAAGTGGCACTCATTGACCACGGCCTGGTGGAGAAAACCCTAGAGATCACCGATAAGAAAGTGGATGTGGAAAAGGGCGTGGTGCTGCTGCAGTTGCGCTGTTCCTCACAGACGGAGAAGCTGCTCATTACGGTGAAGGTCAAGGACGTGACCAAGGTCGTGGATGTGCCCCGCCGGCCCAGTAACACCGTCGGCGCCGCCCACATTCGCGTCTTCGGCACGAAGAAGTACCGGGTGGGCGATTACGTGCAGTTTATGCTGGAGTGTAATCAGGACTGCAAAACGATGTATTATGCGGTAAGAAGATAACGATATGTAATAAGTTTGTTAATGAGATTATTAAGCGCATTAAGTTAAATAAGTCATACAATGTACACCAGTGTTCAATTTACGCGAGTCTTCAAAGTCACAGGTTTTACTGTAATATTAATTTGAAATAATTATAAAGTTGTATTATTATGTATTAGGTAATTGATGATTTGCGTATTTTATTGACTATGTTTTCATAGTCAATAAAATATATAAAACATAAATTAATGCAAAATAAAATAAGAATTGAATTAAATATTGAATTAAAATAAGAATTGAATGAGAAGAATAAGAATTGAATTAAATATTGAATTAGCCACCAAAACTGTTTTTATTATCGGTTTCATCAATACAATTGTCCGTATAAAACCTGTATAAACCTGTCTTTTTATTAGTGCCTATCAGCGCGGGCTTGTTTGTTATGTTAATTGGCTACTGCCTGAATAAAAAGATTCGTCAATACATACATACACTGTACATCAGAATTTCACAATAAAAAATTCCGTTACCTAATCTCACTTTTCGCGAACACATGTGCCCATGAAATAGAAATACCGCCATAATAGTATCCAAGCGGAATTAAATTGTTTCGTTACAGGTTGTCTCCGGAAAAGGTGTGGCAATAGCGACATCTGCCAAGATGACGGACGAACAGAGCGGTCGTCTCAATTTCCAAGTAACGGCGGACATGGCACCGTCATCTACGATCATCGGCTACTACAGCGGTTCACAGGGAGTGGCTACAGACAGTGCGGAGATCACCGTGGAGCAGACTTCACTTGTACAGGATGTAAGCCAACTCTACCATAAAAAATTATTTTTTGACTGATAGCTCGGCTAAAAACTGCAGATCCATAAATGCTGAAACCTGATAATGGTACATTTCCCTTAAATTAAAGCGGATAAGTCAGTTATGCAGTTGCCAATGCTGGTGTCAGAAAAAAACTATTACGACCCAGAATCGCAACCTAATTAACAATTAAATCATAGAGGATCGAGATACCGGCTAGCGCAATGTAAGTATGTACAGATTTGCTCTCCTGCAGCATATCTGATTTTCCGTTGAATGATTTTTTTTATCTTGGTCTCAGACGGTTAAATAAATCACTGTTCTTTAAAGCCGTAATATAATGTAATAAATATGCAGATAAGCCTAAACGTCGGTCCCGAAGATAAACGCCAGGACTACGTTGTCCCGGGACTAGGCAAAAAAGCTAAAATCGAAGTAACCGCCGCTCCCAACTCGCTGGTGGGGCTGCTGGCCGTCGACAAGAATCTCCTGCAGCTGGCTTCCGGTCACGATTTGTCCGCGGAAGAGGTAACGCACTATTGTCATAAATGTGCTGCGGATGACCTTTACGGCGTCCCAAGCAAAACTGGTCCTAAATTGTTTACGACATTTTTTTTCGCAGGTTGTTGAGAAGCTGTTGCGCACTGCGCCGCAAGTTCCTGATGAAAATCCGAGTGACGTCGAAGAAATTCAGGTAAAGCCCGAGCTTTTTCTTCAACAAAAGACTAACAGCGAAAATTTTTCCCATCAATATTTCCGCAGGCGGGCAATCTCGTTGTTTCGGTTTTTGAGGTCGATGGTTTCATGCAAAATTCCGCTCCTGAAGGTACTTTGAACATTTTTGGACATTGTATCGTGTTGCCGCTACACCACTTGCATTTAATTAAGTATGGCTTTCATTTCCATATCAGGACGACCGGCATCAGCGGAACCTTTATTGCGTAAAGACTTCCGCGACAGCTTCATGTTCATCACCAAACAAACTGAGTAAGCTTTCAAAGTTTAGACGTTTTCCCCGCACGACATGTGCGAGCTACATCTGGTCTCTCCGTAGCAAAACCGGGAAATTATCCCATCTGGAAACCGTACCCGATTCTATTACGACGTGGGCGGTAACGGCCTTTGCCGTCAGCACTCAACAACCAATCGGTCTGACAACTAAACCAAGTGATGTACGTATTTTGTGCAGTCGAGGCTCCATACTTGCAGACCATTTAGGAAAAAAATGAAAAAATAAATGTTTCAATCGTTTTTTACTTAATCGAACATTTATAACCAGTACGAGTACAGGTTTACTGACCGTATGGGTAATGACGTGTAAAGTGTCACGAATTATGTGATCAGATATGAACCATAAAGAAAACGCGTGCTTAAAAAAGGCGTATAGTGAATTAATATCATATCCTATTTTTGGAAAATCAATAGGTAGAAGAAAATTAATTTTAATTGTTTATTGGTAGCTGCGAGTTTATCAGGAGCTGTACATTCACATGGACACTCCACATTCGATGATCGAAAACGAGACCAACATAGTCAACATTACGCTCTTCAATTTCCGCGCGCAATCCTCAGCAGCAACCACCCTGGGTTTCCGCTACATAGTCAAAACCAGCCAACCGCGCGACAAAGCCTTCAACGCAGATCTGCAAATAAAACAGCGCAACGCCTTTCAGTATTTCCCCATCCCACTGGGACCCTTTAAAAAGGGCGTGGTTACCGTCACCACCGAAGTGTTTGAACAAGGCGGCGGCGTGGTCGACCGTATTCAGAAAAAAATCCAAATCCTCCAGCCAGGCGCTCCCGTGTTCAAAATCTCTGATGTAATCACCCTCTCCTCGGAAACGCCCACCGTGACCATTCCCGTTGATAAGAGCATCATCCCGGCTAATGTGGTTCCCAATTCCATTGGGGTTAAATTGACGATTTTTGGTAAGGGGCTGGTCGGAGTGCTTCGAGTGTGGGAGGGGTTATTGTATGGGTAATGTTTTGATGTCGGCTTATTTTTAGGGGACATGTGGGCGCCCGCCGTGAACCAATTGACTCTGCCTGATATGAGCCGGGAATTCGAGGGACTTATCCGAATTCCCACCGGATGTGGTGAACAGACGATGGCTATACTGATGCCCAATGTGTTCTTAGCCAGATATTTAAGAAAGCTGGGAGGAAGCGCCTTAGGGACCAATAATCGCGAGAAGCGATTAAAAGAAAATATGCACAAAGGTCAGTAATTGAGAGATTTCATATAAAGGGAAAAGCATCCTACTTGAACCGTTTGTCTGCACTGCTGCCGTCACCCGGCTGGAATTTACGATGTGGCTGAACATGGCGCTTATGTACCGCTCCGGATTTAACATATGTACTGCCGCAACGTCACACTCCAGCGGGATGAGGACAGCAATGTAACGGTTCGACTAAAATAGTCCCCCACACCCTATATAAAACTCGGTGATGTAGAAGTATATGTACCGATACTACCGACCTACATATAGCCTATAGGGGCTAAAGAGACGATTCGCATCGCTGATATTCACCTATAACAAGAAGATTCATGCCAAACAGGAAGCAGCATTAGAACGCTATGCGCGCCGTTACTTTACCTCGATTTTGCAATTCCGGAATCGCGTTGTATACGGCATACTCGTATTACATGCGTAACATAATCACTTTATTTAATTCTGAACATTTAATGTACATCAGTAGAGTATGTACGTGGCTCATTTTCCGTTTTTCAAGTTGGCGGGATGTGGTAGTATCTATTTATTTTAAGCGTACAGGTAAATATTTATTTTGTAAATTACATTACACATCATGAAGGCTGGTGTTTGTTCTTTCAGGGTTTCAGCGGCAATCAAGCTTCCGGTTGAAGGATGGATCATACAAGTAAGCAACGCCCCAAAGTGTTTTCAGAACGACAAAATTACAGTACCGCAATGCGAAGACGTAATGGATTCCAAATAAATTTAATTTACTATATCCTAGTACCATTCTAATATAAACTGAAAAAGTTGTTACTGTATTAACAGTAACCGAGATGTTAAGGTTTTTGAGAAAGCCGTTAAATAACTTGTTGCCATTTGAACTCCGTAGTACGTTCGGACGAAAAGAGCAGCCCGGTTCAACATGGCTAACAGCGTACGTCGTCCGGGGGATGACTCTTGCCGGCGAATTTGTCCGCGTGGATCGAAACCAAATTGAGAAGTCGCTGGCATTCCTAGACACCAAACAGAACGCTGACGGATCTTTCCGCGAAGACGGCAGCATCATTGACCGACCGCTGGCTGGCGCCAGTGCCGTTGGCAAGGGCGACATTCTCACCGCCTTCGTTTTGCTTGCGTACCTGGAGAACGGTCGCACCACCGATGTCACCAATAAAGCCCGCCAGTACTTGGAACGAAATTTTGACAAATCAACAGACCCGTTTGCGCTGGGTTTGACGTGCTACGTGTTCAGCCGATCGGGCAGCGCCAGAACCCAGGAATGCATTGCGAAGATGAACAACATGGCGAAAGAACCGTCGCAAGGGAAACGCTGCTGGCTGGACAAGAAAAGTCCGAAAGGTCACGATCAGCAGTTCACAGCCAAGGATGTGGAGACTACGTCTTATGCGCTGTTGGCACTGTGTAACAGCAGTTTTACTGGGAATTTAACTCCGGTTGTCGATTGGTTGCTGTCACAGCGAAACGGCCACGGTGGCTTCAAGTCAACTCAGGTAAGCTGAAGCATACAACAAAATTATTATGTTGTCGACTATGTTTTGCAAACAGTTTATCCTAAATTAATGTTTTCTAGGACACCATAGTCGCGTTGAATGCGTTAAGCGAGCTGAAAACTGGTGGATCATCGCAGAAACTCAACTTGGAAGTTGTCGGCGTCAAGGGCGGCAAGTATACCGTCAGCCAGGACAGTCTTGCACCGAAAAGCTACGATTTGCCACTGACCACGGATAATGTGGTAATCAGAGTCGCTGGGTCTGGCGTCGCTCGCTGCCAGGTGGAATATAAATTTCAAGAGAGGATGAAGACGAAATCTTTGCCAACGGATACACCAACTAAACCCACAACAACAACCACACCGAAACCTACCGGACCGCCAGTTAGCACCTTTGAGTTTAATTTTACGTTGCGCTCAAATGATGCGGAGAATAACATACTGACAATCGAACTTTGCCCGACGTAAGTAACACAGCTTAAGCGCACTAGAAAACGGCGGAAATTTTAAAAAAATATCTAGTCGATTGTTAGTTCAGCGGATTTTCTTGTTTTGCATTCAGTTCCTTGTAGCGTATTTTTGATTAAACTGGGTGCATTGATCTCTGGTCATAAAATTTTAGTTACATCGGTAACGTTGAAAGTGGGATGGTAATGATCCAGATCGACGCACTAACTGGCTACGAATTCAATCAAGAAGATGTGGCCGCGCTCAAAGACCAAACGGATGTGGACAATGCGGTGTGCAGCAGCAAGTGCGAGTTGTATATTCGCAAGGTACCCGTCAGATACAATGTCACTGACCAAAAGCGTTCTTCTTTAACGCTGCCTTGGAATTATTGCAGATTGATTCGGGAAAAGAGATTTGCCTTAGTCTCAATCTCGTTCGTCACAGCACCACCGAAGACCCCGCTCCACGCCCAGTTACTGTGTACCGCATGTACGAGCCAAATGTCAAGAAATTATTGGAATATTCACTCAAAGATATCAAAGAATAGCGGGAAAACGTTGTGCTTTGTACATGTTACAAACATGGACTGACTATAAAATGCATAATTCGAACGCAAATGCAATGTCTTGAAGTGTTAATACTTAAAAATCTTGGCTGCTATCGAATTTCAATGGCACAATAGTGGGTAAAAAACTGCTTATTTTCTCCTGACCATAAACCACTCGTTTTTCGGTTGGCTACTGTTCGAACTGATTAAAACCGCATGTGAATTAGGACTCATATTACAGGTTACCCAAACCGGCTTGAAATGGTTCGTTTCGGTCCTTTTCTAGTGCGCAGGTACTTCTTCCCGTGCAAGGTCTTGCCGCCTTCGATACCAAAGTCTTCTTAGACTTTGCATTTTTGAGCATGATCTATTGGACGATTTTTCAGTCAACAGCTTGGCAGAAACCAGTCTGACTCTGAATTCTTGAAAGAGAAGCGTATATGTAAAAAGCGAAAAAAAACTTTTCCGAGTCTATGATGAAGCGTTACAGTAGACGCCACGGTGTCAGTTTTTGGTGCTAAGTCAACCACCAGGCGACGCATGGTGCCATAAAGAATAAAATGTGGATTTAAAGCGTGTTTTTTCGTTGCGCTCACGTACTTTATTCCTTTCGGAAACTCGGTTTGTCGCACTATAAGCTTGCCATCGTTTTGCTCGGTTTCTCATTATAAGTTAACTCCTTAAGTAACGCTCAATCTCTAACAATCGGCACATGCTGTTCACATAAAGAGAATTTGAAAAGCAGACATCGTGTAACCTGGCATGAACAAATGGAATCAGTACCAGAACTCCCGTCTTAAGCCAAAAAGAAAATACTTTATTTAAAAGATCATTTATTCAAGGGGAATACGGCCCGGTACAAGGTACCAAACACTTCTTTGCTTTGCTTTCTGTAGCTAGATGATTTGTACACATAAGCGTGAAAGGCACGTAAGTTTGAAGATGGTTTTCACCGAACCAAAGATACAACATTTTTTCCAGATTTTACAATGGATTTTAAAACTCCAAAAAAGTTGCTAGGACCGTGGTGCAGTGTAGAAACGATCTTCATGCATATGTGCGTTTCCATGCAAAATTTGAAGTAGATCAGTTGATAACGAAACTTTTGGTAAACCGGAATGCATTTGAACTGTTTGGAATTTTCTTACAGCCATAACTCCCGAACCGGATGTTGCGCGCACAAACGGTTTTTACGCTTATATATAAAAGTTATCTGGCTACAGAATGTCTTAAAACAATGCAAGAATATGCTTGGGATTGTTCGAAAGTGGAAGTTTTCGTCCATGTACACGAATTGGTACCATGTACCGGGCCACTTCCCTTAAGCGATACTTTCCCATACCATTACAGCTTAAGTAACTACCACTTCATATAACTTTACAACCAGAGGTATACTACATAAAATGTTAATTTTTTTCTAACAGGTTGCTATCTTGTCGTTTTTTTATTGCCACTATCTGACTTTCATCAGGCGTAATGATTCGGCCAGTCGACACAGCAAGCGGAAATGATGCACATTAGCAGTAACAAATTCCGGTGCATTCGGCTGACTTCGGCTGTTCCGAGCTGGAAAACGAAACCTTTGGTCGGGCAATTGAGATTGTCATTTGGATAATTCCCGCGCAAGGAAGTGTTTTGCAATAAATATAACTGAATTTCCACTCGGCTGAGCACATAAGTATTACCGTATATATATTTCCAGTTCGCCCAGGATACACTTAATGCTATCCTTATTGCTATAATCATGATTAATTTTTTGAACAAAACAAACGCTTGGTATAACTAATTTTGGTTAAACGCAATTTGTTCAATTAATAATAAATATGTCTTTCAAATTATCATTTTGCTTCATGCTTTTGCTGATAACGGTGCTCCAGGCCTCGTATTATGTTGAAGAAACGGATGATGGGTCAATCGTCGTCTATTCACACCGACGTATCCGACCAAATTCTGTCTACGAGATTATTGCACATTCGTTGCAGAAGAAATTTCATGCCGATATAAGCGTCGTGATCGCCGTCCCTGGCGCAAGTGGGTCCGTGCAAAGTGCAAACATAACACTGGAAAAGGGAGAAAGGAGGATTCTGCGCCTTCAGGTATAAAACTAAGCAAACACCGAGAGCACAATTTGATTGCTGGCATAAATCCCTTTCGTAAAATATTTCCGGACAAACAATGAATGTACAAATACATACGGCGTAAATAGAAGCACGCCTCTACGGAGCATGCTGCTCTTTAAATTCACTTAATCTTGTTTCAGATACCCAATGTACCGGCGACCGGCTCCGTTAAGTTGACAGTGACGGTAGTCTACCAAACCGCTAACGGGCCGATCACGAAATATTCCGAAAACCTCTTAGAACTTACGTCAAATAAGGACGCCAATCACATTATCCTCATCCAACTAAATAAGCCTATTTATAAAGCCACCGATGCTATCGGATTCCGAGCATTAATACTTGATCAAGATCTCAAATTATCATCTAGCGTTAAAACAATTACTGCCATTCTCAAGGTAACGTTTGCCTTTTACGCGGCACTTTTTATGGTACCGGACGCAATTAAAGCTGTATTGCAGGAAAACTGTTGACTTATTTTGTTCTATGCAATTTTCTCTATTTTATTCTTATGTTATTTTGTTCAATCGTTGCAGGATGCCTATGGAGAGTCTGTGGAAACAAAGGCCAACGTGTCCACCGCCTTTCCCGGCAGTAAGAAAACACAAAGAAACGTACTGCAGATCCGCTGATGTTTTTATGAAATGGTACTAGGCTCGGGCTACTTCGAAGGCACATTTCATCCGTTGCCCTTTGAGCCAGATTTCGGCAACTGGAGCGTGGAGATTGTGGCTCAGGATATCAAGACATCGAAAACACTACAAGTGGCCGATTATCGTGAGTGTGTTTTCTGCTTAAGGGAATTAAGTGGCCCGGTACATGGTACCAGATTCGTGTAAAAAAACCCACTTTCGCGCACTTCCAACAGTTTTTTGCTTTTTTCATGATATTCTGTAGCCAGATGATTTGTAAACATGGTGTGAAAGCCACTGGTGCGCTCAACATTCGATGACCAATACCAAATTGAGACGCATTCAGGTGCACCAAAAGCCTCATAACGAACGAATCTTCTTTAAGTTTTAAGGGCGCATATGTAGAGAGATCGTTTTTACACAGAATCACGGTTTTGGCATTTTTTTACACTGTAAAACGAATTTTAAAACTTTGAATTCGTTTTAAAATGGAAGAATTGGTTCAACCCCGGCTGGGTGTAGAAATGATCTTCATGCGTACATACAAGCACTTTCGTACAAAATCAAAAGAATAGATCGGTCCATAACGAGACTTTTGGTACACGTGAATGCATTAAATCTTTTTGGAATTTTCTTAATAGTTATAACGCCCGAACGTGATGTTGCGCACACAAACGATTTTACAAACTATCTACCTCGTAGCTACAGAATATCATAAAACAAAGGAAAATGTTTTGCGAGTGCGCGAAAGTGAAAGTTGTCATGCATGTATACGAAACTGGTGCCATGTACAAAATGACTTTCCTTTACTGTACAACAGTCACCACACTTCCGCCAGTAGTGTCACTACTGGATATGGCTAATTTGCTGCGTTAATGCCCAACAATTTGGGGGTACAATCAAGCCAGATTGTCAAGAAAAACATACGTAAAATCGAATTATCAAGCCAAATACCAAGGAAAAAACACGGTTTTCTCGCATGCTGATTTTTTCGGTTGGATTTTTAGGTCTGCCTCGTTTTGGAATAGATTTCAGTGCACCAGACAGGCTGACAATGAATATCCCCGCGCTTACTTTCACCGCCTTTGTGAGGTACGCGGCTAAGAGCGAGCAGTTGACCAGACTTCGGTGCATCTGTCGTTTAATAAGAGTGCTTGCTAGACCCAGGCAATTCAAATGACCTTGGACCCAATTGTATTGCAGGGACCAGAATGGAAACCCGGTCATTGGATCACTGGAGATTGCCATTCTAGATCCGTCGAATTCAACAACCAGAGCGCTACCATTACAGGTATCAATTGCTTAGTTGCTAGTTAACAGCTTACAAACTAATGCATTCTTAATGATACGTACTCGTATAATACTTTCTTACAAACGAAATTTAATAGTCCGCTTGCGAAATAAATCAAGAGAGTACAGACAACGAACGACAGGCATGGTAGCGTTTGCATATCGGTAGTCCATTACGAGAAGGCATCAACGTATGAAAACAATAAAGTACAGAAATTTAAAGATGGCGCTAATTTTTGACGGGGCTTTTGTAATTTCTCGGGGCTGTTTCTTAGAACCGTAAGTGCACACTTGCGTACCAAAATTACGTCATAATAAATTCAAAAATTAATCTGCATATCTGTTGTATTATGATATACTGTAGATCGAACAACGCAGCTACACCATTCGACAATTTGACCGGGGTTTTAGGCTTCTGGAACAGACATCCTAGCACCAACGTACCTTTGCCAACTCAACCACCAAGCACTGAAAAAAACTTTCTGCGAAAATAATATCGACGGCTATATAACCGTAACCGCTACCGCCAAGGAGCAGCTAACCAACAAAGTGGAAAAAGCCGAGAAGCGCATTCCTTACCATTGCACACCGTTTGACATCCAGCTTATTTCACCGACCGACGGCTTTCGAGCTGGTGTGACAAACACCATTGCCATCCGTATCGGCAATTGCAACGACATTCTTGATCCAAACGCGCTAACTGCCGCCGTCTTTACTGCTACTGAATTTTCCCGCATCGACGATGTTCTCCGGTCAAACCGGCTGGAGATCACAGAAAAAACGATGGACATTGAAACGAGCATTTCGGTACTACGTGTACGCCCCTCTGTCACCGCTCAAAGGCTGATCATTAAAGCGGTAGTTAAAGATATCACCAAAGTGTTTACCTTGTTTCAACGGCCTGCCAAGACCATAGGCGAGAGCCTGGCAAACGTCCATCTTTTTGGGAACAAAAATACCAAGTTGGCGACAAAGTGGACTTCATGTTGGAATGTAACCAAGGCTGTCCTGTGATGCATTACGCGGTAAGGTCTACAAAATTCTCAGGATTGAAACAAAACAAAATAAAAAAACAGAAAAATCAGGTATCCCTAAGAAAATCTCAGAAAAAAAGACGGTTTGGCAAAACATTCGCTCGACATCGTGTTTTCCGAGTTAGTGACGAATTTCCGTCGGCGAAGTGGCGGGTCACCCGTCAGGCTGAATGAAAATATATATATTAAAATTTTTTTAAATATATTATAACCTTTAGAGAGACCAAATGTATTTCAACTTACACGTAGAAGCATAGAAACAGACAGGGAGTTCTTGGTTGTTTAGTTTTGCCATAATAAAAGGAGACCACTCCGTTTCTGCAGTAATTAGTGTAGTAGATTGTATTATAGCCAGTTTAATTTACTGTATCGATCGGAACGCTCTTCGGTCGATAAAACTTACGAGTATTATTGTGCGCGAACCAATGCAACACCTCGGAGAAAAATGATTTGCTAAAATTCATTGTGGGTTACAGATCGTAGCCGGGAATGGCGTCGCCCTGACGGCATACGCCACAATGAAGAACGAAAGGAGCGAACGCCTCAACTTCACAGTAACGCATGACATGGCGCCGTCGGCCACCATCTTTGCTTACTACTACAATAGCGAATCATTAGAAGTGGCCAGTGACAGTTCTGAGTTCGTCGTAGTGGCATCTTCTTCCATTCAAAAGGTAAACCACTGCAGACGCTCTTCGTTTTTTGCATTAGTTATTAGCAAAAATTGCGGATGAGCAGTAAGAGCTGCATGTTACCACAGTCCACAGGTAAACTACAAGGACCAAAAAAACCGATGTAGAGAAACCTACAGTCTCGTATCCTCTCTGTTAAGCACTTTTTTGTCCGCTCGTTGGAGTATCTCTCCAGTCTGTGGTACAATATATACTTCAAGTACTGTATATATATATGCATATAATAGGTGCAACTCACAGTTGGTCCACAAGATACAAACCATGACTACGTCATCCCAGGACTGAGGAACAAGGCAAGAGTTAAAGTGCAAGCAACACCCAATGCTCTGGTCGGTTTACTGGCCGTCGACAAAAACCTGCTGGAGCTAGCCGCCGACCACGATCTGTCCACCGACTACGTAAGATTGCGCGCTACTTTTTTTAAGTAATTTTACAAAATGATCGTTTGTGTACAGTAACTGAAATATACACCAACGTAAATTGAATTGTTGCCCTCTTGCTAGATCGCTCTTGGCCTTCTACGTGGATCAAATCAGGTAGGTAACTCGTGCTCTCGCTTTTTAGCAGATTAGAACAATCTAATCTTACCATTAGATACGCACCTTACAGATAGTACAGTATTTCCGACAGGGCTGCAGCAAAGGTCGCACTGAGACCACTCTCCTAAGCAGTTGTGGAGGCAAACTCTCACAAAATGTTGCAGCGTCTTCAGAATTTATTAATTTCCCAATCAAACTAATTTATACGAGTAGATCTTGAAAAAGTTAAAGTAAGATTTCCGGTTACAAGAAGCGCACAATTTTTCGCGAGCTAAAAGTAACTTCAAACTCAGCTTATGAAGATAAGACAGCTTCGAACTTGCAAAACAGTAAAATTCTGTGTTTGTATCGCAGTAAAGACACCAACTTGGCTCTTCAAGAATCGCGCATTCATAGTATGTCAAAGGCGGCATTTCTGGTGAATGGGACGGAAGAAACAGTTATTTTGGACATAAAAGAGTTGTTTCTTGCAGAAGACGCCAAATCTTGCAGTTTCTACTTTTTCCCTTGTTGAGATGTTTAACAGCCCCTACTATCCTCGAAAAGGTACAGTACTCGGCGCTGTTTAATTTACGCTACAGGCATTGGCTACGGAATGTAAATTGTAGAATCACGACCAGCACCGCGACCAGCGTCAGTACTACGAAGCGACTTCCGGGATAGTTTCATGTTTATAACCAAACAAGCCAAGTAAGATTAAAAATGCTTTGCTACACTTTTGCAACTTTGAAATTCAGATTTTCGATGTTCTTAGCAAGTACGGAAACCTATCCCAGCTGGTACTTGTGCCGGATTCCATCACAACGTGGGCTGTAACAGCCTTTGCCGTCAGTTCCACGTCACCGCTAAGTTTACCAAAGAAGCCAAGTGAAGTACGTTCGATAGACGAAGTATCCAAACATTTGAGAAGCGTACATAAATTATTGCAACTGCATTATCTATATAATGCAATGTTTTCGGCTTTCTAGCTGCGTGTCTATCAAGAGCTCTACATTGACATGGATACTCCCGACTCGATGATCGAGAATGAAACATGCGTGGTTAACATAACGCTTTTCAATTTTCGCAGCCAAACAACATCGAATCTGACTTTTCGATATTCAGTTCAGAGTACTCGCGACAAATCTTCAGATACTAAACTCCCGGCAATGTCGTCTGCAAAGCTTCAGTATTTCGCTTTTCCGCTGGGACCATTTAAACAAGGGAAAGTTTCCGTCACCACGGAAGTTTTGGATCCAAGCGGCATCATTATAGATAAAGTACAAAAACAAATTCACATTTTCCAGCCTGGTTACCGAGTCTTGAAGACTTCTGACGTTGTCACACTATCACCGGCAACACCAATGGTTGAAATTCCTATTAACAACAGCGCTGTACCAGAGAACATTGTACCGGGATCCCTGCGGACTGCGTTAACGGTCTTTGGTAAATGCCGCAACTTACATACTGAAAAACGCTGCTTATTAAATACCTATAGAATATATGTTAACCTTCCAGGTGACGTTTGGGCCCCAGTTATGATGCAGTTGGCCTTGCCCGATTTAAGTAAAGAATTTGAAGGGCTTATTCAGGTTCCCACGGGTTGCGGTGAGCAGACGATGGCGATGCTCATGCCAAATGTGTTTCTTATGAGGTATCTGAAGCGGCTGGAAGGTGGCTCTCTGCAAGCTAATAATCGGGGCAAAATATTGAGAGAGAACCTGGAAAAGGGTCAGTATAAACACGACATCATTCTATAGATCATCTTTCTGTGACTTTGTCATAATGTGTCATTTTGTGTGAACCAGCGTTTTCACCATAAGTGATGTTTTCCAGACAGGCGTATTACATGTGGCAGCCTTGTGGCTGTCATGGAAAGTTAAGGCTGAAGAATTCGTAACTTGCATTTCACAGGGTTTGCACGGATGGCTGGCTATCGCCTGAAAGACGGATCTTACAAGTAATCAGTGCACTATTTGGTTTATCAATAGATAACGTGTCCTACCCCGATAATTTGATTCCAGTGCGTTTGGGCAAAGGGACCGAACAAGTTCGACTTGGCTGACAGCCTTCGTAGTGCGTGGTATGGCATTAGCCAGCGAATTTATTGGGATTGATAAGGGCCAGATGGAAACTTCGCTGCGTTTTCTCCAATCCAAGCAACACTCCGAAGGATATTTCCGAGAGGAGGGTAGCATTTTTGATCGCGACCTGGGCGGTGCTAGTGGACGAAGTGAGGTGTTGACCGCTTTCGTGTTACTGGCATATATGGAGAAGCGGAGTCCTCAACGAAGCGTCCAAAAAAGGTTGCCGCCATCTTGAGAGCAAGTTCCCTGATACAACGGATACATTTGCACTGGCTTTAACCTGCTATGTCTTCAGCCGGTTTGGCAGTGTTCGGACACAGGAGTGTATTCACCGACTAAATGGTCAGGTTACAAAAACATCGGTTGGTCACCGGTGCTGGTTAGATAGGAACAGTCCTAAAATTCCCGGATACCAGTTTACCGCAAAGGATATCGAGACCACATCGTACGCGCTGCTGGCGTTAAGCAATAGCAACTACACCGGAAACCTGACCCCGGTTGTGGATTGGTTGTTGTCGCAGCGCAATCCGTACGGTGGTTTTGTGTCTACACAGGTAAAATGAGTGATGAGGTTAGAAAATAATCTGCTTTGGTAATTCGGATTTGGACACCTCACGAAGTCGTTTACCGCTGATTACATGGAGCTTTTGATGAAAAACCGTAAAATTGGGTAGTTATTCAGCTTCGTTTGAGCTAAACAAATAACCCGTAAAAGTGTCGCATCTTTTATGTACAGCGAGCACCATCGTTTTAAACAATGAAATTTTTCAGCAGAAACGAAGTGTAAGCAGTGCTTGTTGTAGGACACAGTTGTGGCGCTTAATGCACTCAGCGAGCTGCAAGCCATTGCGTCCTCGCAGAACTTGGATTTGGAAATCGCCGGCGTGAAGAGCGGAAGCAAGCATCGAATCAGTTCAAAAAGTCTCTCTCCGAAAACCTTTGTCGTGCCGCTCACGTAGGACAAAGTGGTAATCAGGACTTCCGGGCAAGGCACAGGTGCCAATTGAGATACAGCCTGAACGTTACGTTATTTGCTCAGGATAAGGAGAACTGGAGAATTAGATCGACAGTTTGTGCCACGTACGTTTCACACATTGCAGTCTGGTAAACTGGCGCATGGCGAAAGTTTGCTTCGATTGATTTTTAGTTCTTGCAAAATGTCAATTCGCTAAAGGTTTAGTAAAAGTTGAAAAATATATGTCAAGCTAAAATAAAAAAGGCTACATAATATAACACTTGCTAGTCTTTACTGGCCGGCGTTTAAGTCTGCCTGTAGCGTATCAGTAATTTGGATTTCGTACTATTGTGAAAACTTTTAAGGTTTTCATCTCTTTGTAGTTATACTGGAAATATTGAAAGTGGAATGGTAAATGATCGAAATGGACGCTTTGACCGGATATAAATTCGATTCAGAGGATGCCAGTGTGCTTGAAGAGCAACAGGATGTAGAAAAGGTTGCCTGCACAAGCAAATGTGAGATATACATTCGCAAGGTACGCAAAAGCCCCGTGCTCGTACACCATGAGAAATCTCTTGGTCAACAACTGCATGCCCAATTGCAGATCGACACCGGAAAAGGTCTGTGCTTGGCCCTTCATCTTATCCAGCACAGTTTTGCGGAGAATCCAGCTGCTCGACCTATTATTGTGTTTCGCATGTACGAGCCCAGCGTAAAGAAGATGGTGGAATATTCGCTGAAAGACATCAAACAATCGAGTTAACCGTTACGGCAGTCGAAAGAAGGTCACAGATATGGCTTACCACCTACTGGACTCCGTGAATGATTGGCTAGCAGTGTCATAAACTGGAAAATCGGTCGGCAAGACTCCGAATTAACAGAATTCCTTTTTGTTGTCAATAAAATGAAATAAACCTAGTACCGCGTTTCTTAAACCAAGTCGTGCGCGAAACCGTAGTTTGGGCAAAAAAATATCATTGCAAGCCCAGCCTCAGTTTTCTGGAAAATAATTAAAAGAAGGATGCATTTGACTCGTATTTATTTGAGGAATGCTTTACCATAAAATAACTGTACAAACAGTATAACGAAACATAGCTAACTTATTATTGCATAGCTGAATTTACTTGTCCGCCACAAATTGAGGCACACCAAGAGATTGTCTAAACTCCAGTAACATGAGATTTTTTTCTTCGCCTCTACTCGTCGCCGTTATTTAACTTTTATCAGAAATACGGAATCGTCAACATGCGGAAATGATGCACATCAGCAGCAACAAATTCCGGTGAACTGGGCTGACTTCCGGAATTATGGGGTGGAAAAATGCTACCTTTGACCGCACAAATAAGATTGCCGTTTGATAAATTAAAATCTCCCAGTTATACAAACGCTTTATATAACTAAATACGTTCTGCCTGAGTATAGACATTACGGACCTTTCGCAAATGTCTGCAGTGTCAAAAAAATCCAGCTCAAATCATTATCTTTCCAGCTCTGCAAGAAAGCGCTCAATACTGTACAGCCGCTACCGTTATAAGAAAATGCCGTTATAAGAAATAACTTAAGTTCACCTTCTACTCTAACAATAATCATGCCATTGAAACTAACTTTTTGTTTGATAACTTTCTTGATAACAACGTTGTATGCATCATCCTACCTTAGCAGAAATGATGACAATGGTGGAATCATCGTGTACTCGAACCGGTTTATCCGACCGAATTCTGACTACGAGATTATTGCACATTCGTTTGAGAAGAACTTTGATGCAGATTTAAGCATCGTCATAACCGTCCATGGCACAAGTGGATCCTTGCAAACAGCAACTATAACACTGGAAAAGGGAACACAGAAACGTTTGCGTCTTCCGATATGAATAAAACCGAGAGCACAAAATCTTCGCTGCCGTTTTTGCTGGCAAAACTTTTCCAAAAAGTATTTAATGAAAAAACATCAAGTATACGTACAGATAAATTGGTACTGACATAACAAACTAAAGAGAAGACATAAGCGCGCCATCTGTGACATCGACACGCTGTCTCAGTAACGCAAGCGCCAAGCGCAGTGCTTTGAGGGTCGTAGATAGAGTCATAGACTGTCATGGTAAACTTACTGATTAATTCACTTCTTCGTGTCATCTCTCTTAGCTTCTGCTTCTGTGACCTTTTGTTTCAGTGAGTCGCATTCGTCCTTCAGTTCGGCTATGTACCGTGACCTTTCTGCTAATTCTTCTGACATGCTCTCGTTTAGGTCACTGACTGCAAGATGACCTTCCATTACTCTGTCTTCTACCATATTCAGATACTCCTCAGCGAGTTCTTTTTGGCGCTCGTATTTGATCTTCCATTCATCTGCTGCAATTTACAAAACGGCTTGTTGTTGCTCTAATTCGTAAATACGAGCATCGAGAGATCCTATCTGTTTTTGGTATTCCTGTTTCTTCTTCGTCGCTTGACCTTCCTTGGTTTCAAGTTCTTCTTCCAACTCCTTCACACGTCCCTTCAGGGTTGACGTGGGACTGTTGGGTGACGGTGGTCGTACATTGATGACCTTTCCTGTTTGTGTCCGTTCAATAAGGTGTTCCGGTATGTCTTTGAAAGGTGTCATCCCTTCAGCACGGTCAGCCTGTCTCATGGCAGATTGGAAGGACATATTCATCGTCGTTTCATCATCCGTGAAGTATGATTCATTCGATTCATCCGAGACCATTGGAGTTGCCCAAAGGTCATCGCCTGCAGTCTTATCAATCAGTGAAAGGTCATCCAATCCCAGTTCAGCCAATTCCTCTTCGGTGACCTTTGTCTTTTCCATTTCCGATTGAGTCAGGTTCACATTTTTATCCTGCTCAATAGTACCAATAGTGGTAGGATCTGACTGTGATGCGCCCACTGCTTCCGCTCCTTTTTCTGTGGACTTTTCCTCCCCAGTTACCTTTGTCTGGTTCATCGGTTCACTTCCCGCTGTAGACGCGGGAGTGTGCTTCTGGTCGTCACTGGAACTTTCCTGGATGGCAACCGCCTCAAGCGCCTTCTTATAAGTGCTATCAGAGCCCCGTGAATCCTTTTTCTCGAATGCCTTAGGCGCTCGAGTGTTCCGCTCATGTCCAACTGGACGTGAGTATGTGTGCAGATCCTTTGTGTACGGGTTTGGTGCGCCTTGCTGTGAGCTACGGGAGCCTTTGCTTCCCTGACTGCCGGTGGATGTCGGTTCCCCTTTGTTCTTGTCCATTTGATCGGATAACTTGGACGCTCCTGCCAATTGTTCTCACACACACGTTATTGTATGGTTTATTCAGTTGTCTAAAAGGTCACTTTCGTTCTGTGAAATTTTTCTAAGTCCCTGCTAAAGGTCACTTTTCGGTTGAAAAATTTCGGCTAAGTTCCGTTTTAAAGGTGACTTTTTCGGTAAAAAGTTCGAGAGGTTTGCCCTAAAGGTCACTCTTCAGACAAAACTCCGAAACAGTTTTTACAGTTCAGAACACGTTAGCGAATGAAATTCTACCGCTGCTGGTATCGCTGTACTGTTAATCACTCAATTTCAACTTCGATAAAGGTCACCGTTTATCACTTTCAGCTCTTAAAGGTCACTTAAAAGAATCAAACTGGTCAATTCCAACTTCCTAGCAAAGGTTACTTTCTAAAGTCAAAGGTCACTTTTCCACTCGTCTGAACTCAAAAGGTCATTTTCCCGCTCAATTCAAGTTAAAGGTCACTTTCCAGCTCATTTCAATGAAAGGTCACATTCTCCTTTGTCTTAACTCAAAAGGTCACTTTCCCTTTCAAATATCTCGTCTCAATTCAAATTTCCCATTACAGTTCAAGTTCAACGGAAAATCCCCATTCACGTTGTTTGCTTCATTCTGATTGGTCTGCTAGCTCAAAATATTCAGTTCAAATTTCGGCCAATCACAGCTCAGATAACTGACCAATCACGTTAGTCCGTTTAAAATTTATATCTGCCTGACGTCACGGTCAACGGCCAGACTTGCGCGCCGTGTGCAAAACTCCGCCTACGCCTACGCTCAGCTCAGTACGGACCAATAGAAATTGCCAATTATACCAACTAGCCAATCCCGTAATTAATAACGGTTTTCTACCTGTTGACCGTCCTTTCCGTGGGGGAATGATCCAGTATCCAATTCTTCTCCACAATCCGTTTCCGCGTTGCCGCTTTTCCGTGGCGGTTGTGCCGCACGCTTTTAGTCTGCTACTGTGCCGGCTGACTGCCGTAGCAACAGTAGTGGTGCTCTACTACCAGTTTGGAGGAGTCTGATCTACTTTCTCCGTGCGCCCCTTTCGGCGCTTTGGCTCTTGTGCCCCACGGCTTAGGATTCGCTGAATCGTTGCCGAGTAGCAGTGACACCAGTGTAGGTCTTCGCTGAAGACACTACACCGAGGAACACTGCCGACTGAACTCTTGTACTCTTGCACAGTCCCTGCAACAGTACAGGTCTTCGCTGAAGACACTGCACCGAAAACAAGGCTGGAAATCCGCGTCCGATGAGGCGATTTTACCGCTTGTGGTGTGCGCTTTGCTGTTGGACAGACCTGTGCCTTACTGGTCACGGAAAACACGTCAAATAACAGGCCAAATATGCCTGACACAAATAAAATCAAATCAAATCAATCAATTCAAATCAGAGAACCGCGGTCGGCTCTGCTACCATCTAAAGCTAGATCCTGAATGGATCCAGGGATAGAGACCTAAACGGGATAGATCCTGTGGAGTGAGCAATGCGATCTGGATTGCGAACTATGCGGAAACACAAGACGTCGCACCGCTAATTGCTAACTTTAATAATATTGACAAATCTGCATAACAGAAAATCAACACTGATCGACGCAGCTCGATCGTAAATCGTAGAGCCAATTCTACACTGTGCAGCACGTGCTATGCCGCGCCCACTAACAAAACGTAAGCCAATCAGAGGCGAGACACAACACAGACACGTAATCCGAGTGGCGCAGCGTTGCGGACGTGACGCTAGTGAACCCCGCTCACAGACCGATCCCTTTCAAATTTTGCAGATAAATGCGCATAACCATGAAGATCGTTCTTACACCGATCTATTGTTCTGGCATGTTTCTCAAATTTTAAAATGAATTTCAAAAATTTTAAAATTCGAGAAAAATCGTGAAAAATCTTTCGGCTACAAAATACCATAAAGCAGTGCAAAAACGTGTTTCGAAGTGCGCGACAGCGAAAGTTCCCGTGTATGTACACGAATTTGGTGCTATGTACCGGGCCAAATCTCTTAATTAGGATTTATGTTTTATTACCGGTGAAATATTTGTTTCGATTATGGCCTACAGTACAGTACACAAATTTACGGTCTTCGGTTTTTCAGCTGCGCGTTTATCAGGATCTTTATATTGATATGGACACACCCGACTCGATGATTGAGAATGAAACATGCGTTGTTAACATAACGCTTTTTAATTTTCGAAACAAAACAGCATCGAATAACTTAATTCTCCGATATACAGTCAAGGGTATTCGGGACAAGACTTTCAAGGCAGAACTCGGGGCCAAGCCGTCTGCGACGTTTCAGCATTTTGTTTTTCCGCTGGGACCATTCAAACACGGAAAAGCTTCTATCACCACGGAAGTTGTTGATCAAAGCGGTATCCTAATCGACAAAGTGCAGAAGCAAATTCACATTCTCCAGCCTGGAATTCGAGTCGTGAAGACGTCTGACGTTATCACCTTATCGTTCGCCACTCCAACGGTTGATATTCCTATCAACACGAGTGTTATTCCAGAGAATGTTGTGTCGGGATCGCTGCGGATTTCGTTGACAATCTTTGGTAAATGCCGACTTCAGTTTTCTTGAAAAGAGTTGATTGATCATGACGATCTATCAATCTTTCAGGGGATGTTTGGGCTCCCACTATGATGCAGTTGGCCCTGCCTGATTTAAGCGGAGACTTCGAAGGGCTTATTCGGATCCCAACGGGATGCGGCGAGCAGACGATGGCGATACTTATGCCTAATGTATTTGTCATGAGATATCTGAAGCGGCTGGGTGGGGACGCTATGCAAGCCAATAATCGCGACGCCAGATTACAGCGCAATCTCTTACAAGGTCAATAAATGCGGCATTATGAATCGTGACTGTAAAATGCGGCATTATGAATCAGGCTTACAGAGACATGAAAAAGTTTTACTGAAACGGCATTTTCCATTTTACAGACTTTATTGCTCATTTAATATCAATCAGCTCAGGAAGAGCTTCTGCTTTTCAGGGTTTTCACGGATGTCTAGTTTTCGACTGAAGGATGGGTCTTACAAGTACTGTAATCGTTGCTTCATTCGGTTTATTATCGGTTAGAGTAAACGGTACTCGATAATTTTATTCGTAGCGCTTTCGGACAAAAGGACCAATCCGGTTCGACCTGGCTGACCGCGTACGTCGTGCGTGGGATGGCATTAGCCGGCGAATTTATCCCGCTAGATGATAACCAGAAGGAAAGGTCGCTGCAGTTTCTCAACTCCAGGCAACGTTTGGAGGGATTTTTCCGAGAGGATGGTGTTATCATCGACCGCGACTTGGGGGGTGCTAGTGGACGAAGCGAAGTGTTGACGGCTTTCGTTCTGCTGGCATATCTGGAAAGCGGATACAAAAACGAAGCGGCTAGCAAAGGATATCGCTATCTAGAAAGCAAGCTGCCGCACATCACGGACACATTCTCACTGGCTTTAACCTGCTACGTGCTCTGCCGATCCGGTAGTGCTCACACGCAGGAGTGTATTCAGCGGCTGAGTGCTGCGGCCATACAACCAACAGTTGGACACCGCTGTTGGTTAGATGGGAGCAGTCCTAAAGGTTACGAATATAAGTTTACCGCAAAGGATATCGAGACCACATCGTACGCGCTGCTGGCTTCAAGTAACAGTAGTTACAACGGAAACCTGACACCCGTTGTGGACTAGTTGTTGTCACAGCGAAATCCGTACGGTGGCTTTGAGTCAACACAGGTATAAGTGATAACCATATAAGCCATTGGTAAAGAATGGAAAATATTTAATTTTTCCTGTTAACTAACGCAACTAAATTATACAGAACTCTTTTAAGTCAGGTATACAGGGTACATAGTCAGATATACAGGCAGGAAATTCGAAAGATTTCTAATTTGTTTTAGAAAGCTTCTTTTCAAAATCATTTTTTAAGTTTTCTTCACTGCTTTAAATTTATGCATAACAAAACAGCTTGTGGAAATCAGTAAAACCAGCACCAAAAAGCGGATCGTAAAGGCGAAAGGCAGTTTTTGTTATAGGATACAGTTGTGGCACTTAATGCTCTCAGCGAGCTGCAAACCGTTGCGTCCTCACAGCACTTGGATCTGGAAATCGTTGGCGTGAGCGGCGGAAGGAAGCACAGAGTTAATTCCGACAGTCTTGCTCCGAAAACCTTCGAAGTGCCACTCAGTCAGAACAAAGTGGTGATCAAGACATCCGGCCAAGGTACGGCTAGATGCCAAGTAAGATACAAATTCCAGGAGACTATGAAAACGACACCATCCAGACAACACCGCAAGGCTCTAGCGGATCTGGGATTTCGGAATTCAACCTCAATGTCACGTTGCTTGCCCAGGATAAAGAGAATAAGCGATTGAATGTGGCAGTTTGTGCAACGTAAGTCTGTCACATTATGTACTTACCCGAAAAACTGTTTTATGGCAAAAGGTCGCCGTGTAATAGGTTCTCAGCTTTCACAAAAAAGGTCGCGTCGTTAAAGCTTTAGTAAAACGTAAAAACATTTCGAGCTAGAATAAAATAAGTAGATACAACCTGTGGTGACCTTTCCTGGTGAACTTGTAATTCTGCCTCATAGGATATTTACTACAGAAAACGCGTTTGAGAATTTTATCTCTTTGTAGCTACATGGGCAGTATTGAAAGCGGAATGGTAATGATCGAGATGGACGCTTTAATCGGGTACAAGTTCGACCCAGAGGATGCCGGTGTTCTTGAAGAGCGGTGCGATGTGGAGAAAGTTGCCTGTACGAGCAAGTGCGAAATTTACATCCGCAAGGTATGGCCATCCGCGCAATGCTGTGGTAGTATACCATGAGAAATCTCTTGGTCAACAGTTGCATGTTAAATTGAAGATCGACGCCGGAAAAAGTCTCTGCTTGACCCTTCATCTGAACCAGCACGGTTTCACGAAAGATCCAGCTGCTCGCCCCATTATTGTTTTCCGCATGTACGAGCCTAGCGTAAAGAAACTGTTGGAGTACTCGCTCAAAGATATCAAGCAACAGGGTCAACGATTATACTAGTCTACAGTATCTATTTGAGTTATTTTCGGGTTCGAAAAAATTCTCTCGCCTAACAAGGCTTACAAACGATATCTTATTATAATGAAAGAATTATACGATTTTAGTATCGCTGGGAATTCACTATATTTCCATATTTATTCGTTAACAGTGAATGAAATAACCATGGGAAAGCAGTACTGTAGATGGACTGACCGTAGGCAGTATAATTTGAAAGTAATTTGAAACAAAATTCTCTTACACAACTGGAGCTAATGCAGTTATAATCTACCATTCGGTTTATGTGTACTTCGCGTGTTTCGGCACTTCAGCTTGCTTATTTACTAGATTTCAAGCGGTTGTTTGCATTCGGTAAAGCAAAACATTAAGTAAATCTTACGAGTTAGATTCATGACCGGAATTAAATGTCAGTCGACTGTAGTGATATTGCATCTGCTTGAACTTGGTGGCTATACAAAGTAGCAGCAGAAATAGAAAAAATAGAATTACCAAGTGTACAAATGCCAAATAAAAGACCTTTAGCCGTACGATAATATCGCTAACGACGATAGACGAGCATGAGGCGAAAATTGCGGCGACAGTTTCTCCCTGTTATATAATCTGCTGCCGACGTGTAAGGAGTAAGGAAACGCAGTCGCGAAGTTTTACTGAGCAAAGGTTTGAATCTGGAGGTTTTCCCGAGTCACTTTCCCTACCGGTAATTAGAATATATTTTTCGTGCACTGCATGATATGGCGCGCGTAAAGCTGTTGCTTATATTCCTACCGATCGTGGCTCTCTGTGCGGCGCAGACTCAGCAAGAGAGTGAACTCGGGCGAGATGGGGGCGAACAGACGAAGGATGACGACTATTATCTCATGGTTGCACTGGATAAAGTCGTATACAAAGCGGGTGACCGTGTAATGTTTCGCGGACTGTTATTTTATCACAAGAATCCAGTACCAGCTAGGGTCCAAAATGTCGCCGCGACGCTTAAGGTAAAGGTAGTAGCTAGCACCGAAGCTGCACGCACCAACCTAACCGGAAACGATAATTCCTTCAGGGTTTCGGTGTGAATTTCGCATTTGTTTGAATTAGGATGCCTATGGTGAAATCGTGGAGAGTAAAACGGATATCCCTTTCAAAAACGGCGCCGGTACGAAGTTACTTATCTATGTACTTAAATCGCCGGGTCAAGGCAGTGGTGTTTCAGATATTGCTGTCTTCGAAAATGCATTCCTGCCATTGCCCTTTAAGCGGAATTACCGAGACTGGACTGTGGAGGTCGTAACCACCCTGATTAATGGGCAACGCTTATTAAAGATCCAGAAACTGATGGATGATGTGGTGCGTTACCCCTCTTGACGACTAAGAAACAAATTTCTGATTTCAGTGCGTACTGCTTTCTGTACAACCTTATTCCCTACTTTTTCAACGAAGAGCAATGAAACTTGTTCTGTTCGATATGATCTGTCGGGCTTGGTTTATTTGGAAGATGATAGATAAATTAATTTTTTTAAATAAGTTTGTGCTATCCCGCGGATGTTAGAATGCAGCTTTTGGATAAAAGGTTTCTCATATATAATCTGATTGCCATTTTTATCGCTGCATATTTTGTTGAGTGCGTCAGATAATATGGTTACTATAGTTCGCAGACGAACTGGATTAACAGCCTAGCCCGTGTATGGAACCTGGACTGACTATAAATTGGAAAGAGGAAGCGACCGATACTGGAAGGCCTAAAGTGAAGCGGCTCTAGATGCCGATGACTAACTCCTAATACTTATAACTCTTAAACAACACACAGACTAACAGTTAGCTGCGAGTTTACAATAAAATTTGAGCCAGACTAGTGAGGCTGGCATACTACGCGTAATCGAAATTCCGATTTTATTTAGCGGTTCATAATCATTGTGCGACGTGGAATAAAGCTCAAAAATATTGACCTTTAGTTAATCAAGGTCTACGTGGTGCTCTCAGTCTCAGTAATCAGTACCGTTAAAAACCTATCGGCCTATTTTTGGAAAACTTGGTGCGCTTTTCTCTGGATGCCTACACACAGGAAGTGACGATAAAACACATATTACGTATTCCTGCCGGGAAAGCGATTAACCGATTCCGTCGCGATTGTGTGATCAAACGGCAGCGCTGAACAGCTCGTTTCGGTAAATTCGTAGACTTGCTAGTGTTGCCACGTTATACAGCCTAACTACAGCCTGATAGCTTCCCCGGGCACAGTACAGATACTACGTGAATTTGCGTTAAGCAAACTAAAATTATAATAGCGGACAAGTGCCATTCTGCCATTTAGCGCTACTGTTATCGATACCTAAAGATGAATGTGGACCGGAGAACGCGTATACTGTGTGCCATGATGTATGCCATGAACGCGTATATCCATGATCGTACTTTGTGCAAACTACCCGAATGCTGCCACGGGATCTGGTTTGGTCAATACGACAAAAAAAACGGAGCTCACCAACAATTCGACATCACCACTGCGCTTAATGGTTACCGTGCATCCACACACTGCCCTACTCAAGGGGCTTCACTGTATTGTATACAGTGAAGATACTGTATTGTATGAAATAGTCTGTATTGTAGTCTGTATAGTCTGTATTGTATGAAATACAATACAGCCCTTAGTGCCATGGGAACGAGGCAAAATGTTGACATGGGATGTGACTTGTGTGTGCACGATCGCCCTCTCCCATATTGCAGCAACATCCACCCAAGCTGGCGCAGCAGCGGGACAGGCCGAACGGAAGAAAACCGCGAAGTACCAGAACATCGCCCAGGACTACCTGTTCCGTGCAGTGGGCGTGGAGACAGTAGGACCACTCGGACCGGAAGCCTCTCAGCTGATCAGTGAACTGGGCAAGATGATATGGCAGGAAACAGGCGAGATACGTGCAACTGAGTATCTGCGCCAGAGGTTCAGCATCGAAATCCAGCGTGGAAACGCCGCATCCGTCCTGGGAACGGCACCAGCTTTGGCTGATTTAGATCAAATGTTCTCAGTGATTCGGGCGCCTGTTTCTGCTGTCTGTTGATGCTGTGTGATGCTTCTGTTTTTCATTTGTTTAATTGATAGCTTTTGTGAATGAATAATCGATTATAAAAAAAAAAAAACTTGTATACAGCCCCTAGAGAACCGCGTTGATCCACACCATCCGGAGAATGGTCTTGTAGACATGGAAGTGTGCGCGTCGTAAGTGCCACAATGACATACTTACCTTATAGAACACCTTGTTATAAATCACAGTTAACCTTAGATAATATGGCAACAGGAGTTCGTTTTGGTACGCATTACCATGTACAACAGTACAAGTTAAGTACATACAAATATAAGCTTTAATGTAAAAACGTAGAAATGTAAGAAAATACAATCTTATGAAAATTTTGTTTAAATACAAATGCAAGCCGTAACATAATACAGTATGAAATTATTATATTACAGCTTGCATTCGTACCCAAACTATGATAATATAGATATACAAATAAAGAATTTATATATGTAGGTATACTCAGACTTCTGCACGTTATCTATAGCCTATAGGTACAACGACAGTGATGCCAGCGGCAGGATTGGCATGAAGCTGGACGCTGCATCCATCCGGCTATAAGTTTGACGAGGAGCATGCGTTCAATCTTCGGGACAAACCCGGTGTACTGTTTGCCGACTGCTCCAGGAACTGTGCGGTGTCCTTTCGCGAGGTACATAGCAATAGTTGCATCGGTGCATCGTATAAAATTCTCTTTAAAGACTTACAAATACAGTATGGCTGTTACAGATCGATCCAAGGAAGAATTTCTGTTTTACCTTTCGATTTATCGCAAACATATTTTCTGATGCTGTGACCCCAAGGACGATTATAGTGTATCGCAATAACAAGCCTGATGTGTACGCATTCATGCAGAATACACTTTAATAACATCTTACAGCTGCGTACGCCGTACAGATACTTCCGCTGGATTTAAAACTATGCAGTTAACTTCGATCGCTGGAAGCAGGCCAGCGCTAAATTTGACCGTCACGCTTACTCTTTATTTTGCTTTTTAGTGGATATAATTTGTTTCGTTTTCAGTGGATATTCTTCTAATACTGTTTGTTCTAATTCTAATACTGTCTAATGTTAATACTTCTAAGTTCTAACACTATTCTTTTAATACAGTTTGTTTGATTTCACTGAACGTCTTGCTTCAAAATGCCCAAGTAAGGCTAAATAAATTAATACCAAAATAATGTATACTTCATCCTGACACACGAGCTAATAAGCGAACTGCTGACAGCAGTTCGTTTATTAGCTCGTTTATTCGATTATGCAGTTATTCATTTATTTATTCGTTTATTCATTTTATTAGTTCGTTTATTCACTGTATTTACCCAAGAAAATAAATTACTGCAAAACAGGACATACACTGCAAAACATTACTCAGTTTAAGCAGAATTACGACTTCAGTAACAGTACTACCCAGCCATCAAGCGTTGTTTCTACTAAAAAACTGTCTCGGCGCCCCGAAAATTATCTGCATGTTGCGGGGCTGTAATGCATGGAAATATCCCGCATTACTATACCAGCTGGACGAAGCAATGCGCTCCTGCTTCCAGAATTTGTCGAATGTACGGACCAATCACAACGTCTACCCGCCTTGGCGTCAAGCAACATTACCGGTTAGCAGAGGTGGAATCGGCATCCGCCGGTCGGAAGAATTATCCCTTCCAGCCTTCCTGGTTTCGATTCATTCCGTATCCGGTTTGCTTTCTGCACTACTGCCTAACCGCACCGCTGTTGACGTTACTGGTGCCTCGGAGTCATGGAAATTAAAAGCCCGCCAACCCGTACTCCCGGAAGCTGCATTTCAGAAGTCTCAGAAGGCCTGGGACTTGCCATTATGCAACGTATCTCTTGCGGCCCTCCTGGAGGTGTTTCAAGGAGACGAAGTCAACACAGCGCGCCTGCTTGCCCAGTCTAGACCAGAGGCCGGCATCTGGTTGAACGCTTTGCCGTCCGCTCACATCGGTAATCTACTGGGCGACGACGAACTGAAGATCAGCATCGGCCTCCGTCTCGGTGCCACGATCTGCGAACCCCACGACTGCGTCAAGTGCCACAAACCTGTTGGCGGTTACGGGCACCATGGGCTGTCATGTGCCTTTTCCGCCGGTCGACATCCGCGCCACGGCGGTTTAAACAGTATCTTCTGCAGAGCCTTAGTATCCGCCGGTGTGCCAGCGAAACTGGAACCGCGCGGCACTTCTCACACCAGTGAACGCCGCCCTGATGGATGCACGACTTTTGCAGGAAACGCGGATTATGCCTCGCTTGGGACGTGACCTGTGTAGACACGGTTGCGCTTTCGCATGTCAAGGCCACTTCCACCACAGCTGGAGCGGCCGCCATGCAGGCAGAGTTAAGAAAATCAGGGCTATATTCCTATCTGGCCGGCCGCTACCTATTCGTTCCGATCGCTTTTGAAACACTAGGCCCGTGGGGACCGTCGGCGATCGCCATCATCAAAGAACTGGGAAAAAGACTGCAGCAGCACACCGGAGAAGTACGCTCGCACGAATTTCTGCGGCAGCGTTTGTCCATAGAAATTCAACGGGGAAATGCGGCGTCAGTGCTGGGCACGATGGAAGGACTGGATAAGCTGAACGAAATTATTCTGTTATAGTTTAGCGTGTTTTTTTTCTCTTCAGAATTGTGTATTGTCGCATTGATTTGACCAATAAAGTCCAGGAAGCAGAATCAGTAGTATCTGGTATCAATTCCTAAGAGGAAACTGTAACTAGTGATTTTTGTTGAAAAATTCACCCCGCACGTTTTCTTCGGACTTTAAATCCTGTTTTGTTCCGCAAAAATGTATTATAATATATAATGCACTGAAATTTTTACCGTGGTCCATTGCCAGCTAATACAATCAAAAATTATAAAATGGAAGCGTCAACAGAAAAAATAGGAACGACAATTTTGAATTTCAAGGTGTCAGGGCGGGCTTATGATTCAGCCCTTCTCTCATTGGTTGGTTTTGGGTTTTTTCCTGTCTGGGCATTTGCATGCGTTTTGATGGCTCTATAAGGCAGCTGCGCTGCCTACAGAGACCAGTTGGTTTTTGGCTCGCGCGCAAAGCGCGGTGTGTGTTAGATTTCGGCATTAAAGCCTTCATCCGGGTTTGCTTTGTTCCGCCGTCGATGGTCGGTGCGCGCCTAGCCAGCGCCACTTGACATGGTAGCAGATCGTGGTGCCGATCGTGTGTTACACAGCGGGCTTGCCCCGCTCACGGGCCACCTCTGAGCTGTGGACCAGATCGCGTCCTGTGCCACCCCCGGGTACGGAGCTCACCCCGCTCCCCCGGATTTCCCGTCAGTCGCCGGAGCTGTGCCGTCACTCCCGCAGAACGCGGAGGAAACTGCCTCTCCCAGAAAGGGATGGAGATGTCGCCAAGCCAGAAGTGCAGCGATGGACGGACAAACCCACAGCCACACCGTACCGATGACGGATGCCGACGGTGGACGCAACCCGGACCAGCAGGAAACCTGCGGACCCTTCACCACCACCAACAGCCATGCCAACCCCGATCCCCACGGCCGGATCGACCACCATTACCACGCCGAGAAATTCACCCCACCAAACCCTGCCCGCCTTACCTGGGACAGCGACCTTTCCCCCGGCGGAGCAGTGGAATTGCCCCACCGGAGCAGCGTAATTTTGTGTTTGCAGGGTCATGGCCGTACCTGTGCCCCAAACCCTGCGCGATTTTCCCCAGACGGTGACCTTTCTCCAGACGGATAAAATGCGGAATCTACCGATTTCCGCATCCGACCCTGGATTCTGTCGCGACAGTGCGTTGACCTAGGCACTGGACCGCGTGAAGCCGAACCAGACCGACCGAACCCGAGCCAAACCGACCGAGAACCACTCCTAAACCGAACCTGGTCAGAGCCGACCAAACCTGGACCGAGCCGGACGAAACCTGACTGAACCAGATCCCATACCGGACCACGTGAGCCGACCGAACTGGAACCGAGCCACCCGGTAGTACAGTCTATTAGACATAGTACAGGGACCGTACCGGTCCTGTATCCACTGTTCTTTACGGCGCATCACGCCATTTACCTGCACTTCGCAGGAGCTCAGTGTTAGACCGTACAGGGATGTCAGGGCGGGCTTATGATTCAGCCCTTCTCATTTGGATTTCATCCTGGGTTTGCTTTGTTCCGCCGTCGATGGTCGGTGCGCGCCTAGCCAGCGCCACTTGACAAAGGCACTATAACACTACAAGCTACTGCTATAACACATCATTAGGAAGTACAGTCTGTAGTGTTACAACACTTTTGCGCAGCATGAATCAAGGATATGCTATCGATATGATCTTGCGCCCCGATTGAACGTTTACTGCCGGCAACTATCGTCAGAATGCCGAGTTAATGCGCCCATTCCACCGGTAATTTCGCGCTATCCGTGAGCGTTCACACTGAGTCTTTCCGGAAACAAATGACCTTTGGTGCACTGATACAAATCGCCGGCGCGGAACACAGCAAGCACTTTATTGTAAAACGTCTGCAGTCGCCATTTAGTTGGAAAATTACTTTTCTGCTAACAAAAATATCAAAGACGGTATTAACGTTTGAAACTATAGAAGTGGAAAGCCCAAATCGACAGCATGCATTGCTTTGTGCGGGTTGTTTTTTTATCTTCCTTAATATTTTCCTTATGTGCTGCTCACGATGAGGGTGAGGGGACTGATAACGGAGCGACAATTGTGTACGCTCATCGTTTAATCCGGCCTAACGCGGATTATGAAATTGTTGCGCAGTCGCTGCAGAAAGCGTACGATGCCGACATTACCGCCACCATCCAGGCGGCAGGTGCTACGGTGCAAAGTAAAACTGTAACGGTGGAAAAGGGAGACCGGCAGACACTGCGTTTACGGGTAAGACTGAGACATATTTACACGAATTTGTGGATTGGTCTTTTTTTATTTAGATTACATGCATACCTTCATTGTCCCTATATTATGTGGTTAGAACAAAAAATGTGTTTTTAATATGCATTAACAATATTTTTAATTTCACTAAACAATAAATGCTGCGAATGTTGAGAAATCTTTATTAATTAACGATCATTACTATACAACCATGACTATACAATCCATAGAAAAAAGTTATAACTGTAATACGTAGAACTACTACTAAATATATTATAACTTTGTTCTATAAAAAATATTAGTTAAAAGGTCTATAGTTTAACTGAACAAGTGCATAAGTTCAAATTTAACGATGCATACTGCTGTTACCGGCCCTTCTTTGTCTTCTTTTCTCATAAGCACCTGTTCAAGCTTTAGCGAGTGACTACTTATATCATTCTATACAAAGATTATGAGTATGTGCGGTCACTACAGACTGCAGGTATACGTAAATAAGCGCATAATTTACATAAGCCGTGGTCAAGGTCAGCAACCTTTGAACTTTCTGTACAGATTCCAAGTTTGCCACAAACCGGCAGCGTCACGCTAAAATTTGCCGTAGCCTATAAAGATTTTCCGGGCCAACCAGCCATCAAAGAACACCAGTTAATACCAGTTCCATCGGATGACATTATCCTGATTCAACTTAACAAACCCATGTACCGAGCCACAGACGCCGTGCAGTTCCGCGTATTAATCTTGGATCAACAGCTGCGGCTATCATCTAATGTCAAAACCATTACCGCTCTGCTCAAGGTACAGATTTATAATTATCTGATTTATTTACATAAATTTCGGGCATTTTTACAAAATTACAAAGTTTTAGGATCGAATTCCAATAATTTAGCGCTTTTGTAGGATCCGCAGGGAGGACTACTGGAAACCAAGGCAGACATAGGATATGCATACGCTAACAGTAAGAAAAAGCATAACGAGATAGTATAGATACAACGCTGATATTATACCTTGCAAAATTAATTCAGATACAGTATATTATGTACGTAATAAAATCTAAAATAACACCGCGTTCTCGAGCAGCTCCGGGCTTCTTTAATGGAACCTTCCAGCCTTTTTCATTTGATCCGGTTAATGGCAACTGGACACTGGAAATAGTGACCAAAGGTCAAACCGTTACGAAAGTTCTGCAAGTGGCTAATTACCGTAAGCAGCGCGATGGTAAAACATCATTTGCTGGCGCTCTAAAGAATCCGGCTTTTTAGGGCTTCCACGCTTTGCGGTGTACTTTAACACACCCGACTACGTCACGCCGAAAGACGTCTCGCTCACCGTGAGCGTATCAGTCAGGTACACATTTGTCAAGCAACAACGTAATCAGTGTCCGTTTTGCAGTTGTCTCGTGTTCGTTCAGTGCAAGTTCGGCTTTAGGGACCAGACTGGAAATCCTGTTATCGGGTCAGTCGAAACCGTCATTATTGATCCCTCCATGGGAGCTAAACCATTGGCGCCTCAGGTACAGTCGAGCATTTACTGAAACGTTTGAAAGTAGAAAATATGGATGAACGGGACCTTTTTAACATTCTGCTTTCGTGAACCAGTTTTGTTGGTAATAAGTATTTGATCCATATAACAAGAGAACAAACTGTATGATATGGACCTTATGCGGATTCTGAATACTTGCTTTGACTAATAATATCTCGGCGCTTTGCAGGATACGGAAGGCACAAGCACGACCCAACCATATAACTACAAACTCAACCATCAGGCCTTGCAACGACAGTTCTGCGATAAAGGCATCGACGGCTACATCATCCTCAACGCAACGGCTAAAGAGAAGCTGACCAATAAAGTAGAAAAATCGGAGAAACGCATTCCATACTACTGCACGCCCGTCGCTATCCACCTGGGCGGCGCCCACAGCTACCGGCCCGGGCTGGAGAACACTATTACCGTCCGCGTGACGAATCACGATGGCACGCCGGTAGCCGCCAGCGTCTTATCGGCCGTCACTTTCTCCGCGACAGAATCGGGTGATACCCGTGACCGCGAAACCCCGGTGGTCATTACCGGAAAAGAGGTGGATGTGGCGCAGGGTATCGTTACCCTGCAAATGAGGGCCCAGTCCAGCTCACACAAACTGATGATCAGTGCGACGTTGGAGGGTATAACGAAAAAGCTGACGCTGACGGAACGACTCAGCACGGTGGCGGCCAATATCCGTGTTTTCGGCGCCAAGACGTACAGGGTGGGCGATACCGTGGAGTTCCAGCTGGAATGCAACCAGGAATGCCCGGACATGTATTATTCGGTACGATGGTACTCCTTAACAGAGAGCACGTAAGAGGAATAAGAATGACACCACATCGTTGAAGTTGTGCTTAATATGCGTCTAGCGTTTTTACTGCCTTTATGGCCAGTATAATTCATAGTTATCACGAAAAGGCGGCTCCGGCTAGTATCTACTACTTCAGCTAGTATGAAGCGATTTTACCACTCGCATACAAAGGATACTTCGTTATTGCTGGGTAAAAACTATTGGTATATAAAATAATTGTACTTTCTATCTGCGGAGTGTAGGTGCTCACGAGAAACGGTGTTGCCGCCTCGCAAACTATTACTATGACGAACGAGAAGAGCGCCCGTTTGAGCTTCAAAGTCACGGCTAGTATGGCGCCCTCGGCCACAATCATCGCTTATTACCTAGGAGCAACCGAGATTGGAGTGGATAGCGTTGAAATCCTTGTTGAACGTGGATCGGTTGTCCAAGATGTAAGTAACTATGTAAGGAACTAAGGGACGAATCTTATGATAGGGATCGGTTCTCACTTTTACCATCGACCACAAGAATTTCCCGCAGATAGTTCATTGTCAAAAACGAAGGGATAATTTCTGTAAAGTGAGTTCATGTGGCGCTTTATCCATTTACTGGGTGAACGTAGGTGACACTGACGGTCGGCCCGGAAGACACACGTCAGAGCTACGTCGTACCCGGTTTGGACAACAAAGCGAAGGTGGAGATCTCTGCGACGCCTAATTCACTGGTTGGACTGTTGGCCGTTGACAAGAATCTGCTCCAGTTAGCATCGGGGCATGATATCACTGCGCGCGACGTAAGAACGCTTTACCTTTTTTCGTTGAGGAAATCTGGTAAGCGGTTATGCTGCTTTCGACAGATCTCATCAAAACTTTTTGGTATCGACGCAAAATTGGAAGAAATTTCTCTACCGGAAAAGGACGAATTTCAGGTACAGTAACTAAAGATGGCTTTCTGTCATGTGTTTGCTGTACTTTAGTACTTGTATGCCATAACCGTGTCATGCTTTGCAGGCTAAGAGCGTTGTTGTTTCTGTGTTTGACACCTCTCTTCTATTATACGCCTTCGCGAACCCAGAGAAACGAGTGGAGAAACCTTCAGGGATTTTACGAAACGATTTCCGGGACAGTTTCATGTTTACAACAGGATTTACAGAGTAAGCAGAGCAGACATAACCATAACAGTGCTATTCAAACCACCTTCAGATTTAAGCAAAACCTGTCTTTATCTAGTGCCAAGGGAAAGCTGTCCTACTCTGAAGTTGTTCCCGATTCCATCACGACGTGGGCCGTTACGGCCTTTGCCGCCAGCACAAAACAGCCGATCAGCTTGACCAAGAAACCACAAGACGTAAGACATTGTTTCCTTTTTCCGCCATCGTTATTCTGTCATGCGTCAGTCAGGTCCATACGATTATAAAATGTTTGAATTCAGTCCAACCGTGAATTTGAATTCAGTTCGTTTGAACTCTAAGTGAACTGAGTAATTTCAAATACAGGGCTAAGTAAACTATCTTGTTGGCCCGTTGTTAACGAAAGCCTAACACCGCGTTTTTGTAGTTGCGGGTGTATCAAGAACTGTACATCCATTTGGAAACGCCGCTCTCCATGATCGAAAATGAGACCACCAAGGTCAACGTCACCCTGTTCAACTTTCGTAGCAAATCGGGTTCCACCACTCTGGGTTTCCGCTACACCGTCAACGCCAGTCGCGGCGGCCTCAATCTCGCAACGGATCTGCCGTTGAAACAGCGCAACGCTTTTCAGTACTTCCCCATTACTTTGGGTCCTTACAAGAAAGGAATAGTCACCGTCACCGTCGAAGTGTTTGAACAGGGCGTCGGCACCGTGGACAAAGTGGTGAAGCACATCCATATCATCCAGCCAGGCGCACTGGTTACGAAGACCTCGGACATGAAGACACTGACTGGCCGCGGAAGTCTGGAGCTGCCAGTAGACCGGCAGAAAATGTTCCCGGAAAATGTGGTCCCGGGTTCGGAGAGTATTACCTTGACCGTAACCGGTAAATATTAAATCCTGAATGGCTGCAAGTTTTCGTGATAAGCGTGATGCGTATTTGTAGGTGATGTATGGGCACCTACAATGAAGCACCTGTCCATGCCGGATGTTAGTCGGGACTTTGAAGGACTAATTAGAATCCCGATGGGCTGCGGCGAGCAGACTATGGCTGTTTTGATGCCAAACGTGTTCCTGGCGAGATATCTCAAGCGACTAGGAGGAAATGCCCTAACTGCTAATAATCGCGATAAAAAGCTCAGGGAAAATATGTACAAAGGTCAGTGCCAAATTATTGATATCTGCTTTACATGAGTTTGTATTTTATGGTACTTTTTGCTGACAAAGCATGATAAGGAAGATTTGTATTGTGCTTGTTGTTATGCAGGATTTATTAGACAGGCGAGTTTCCGTTTAAAGGATGGATCATACAAGTAAGTAGACCGCGGTAGTCTAAAGTGTTTCCAAGTACAACCTGAAGTCTAATAGACTTTAAGATTAGAGAGTAAAAACAGTGATTTCACTCAACGAGGCACGCTTTTCAACAAAGTAAATTTTGCCTTTTTCAGCGCATTTGGAAGGAAAGATCACAACGGATCGACATGGTTAACCGGCTATGTGGTGCGCGGTATGGCCTTGGCCAGCGAGTTCATCAGAATTGACAAGACCCAGATCGACAAATCTCTAGCCTTCCTGGACACCAAGCAGAACAGCGACGGATCTTTCCGAGAAGACGGCAACATCATCGACCGGCCGTTGGCCGGAGCTGGAGGAAAGGGCGTGGCTCTGACCGCCTTCGTATTGCTGGGATATATTGAGAACGGACGCAGCACACCCGTGATGAACAAGGCCCGAGCATTCCTGGAGTCCGCTTTATCGAACATAAAAGATCCCTTTACGCTGGGTCTGACGTGTTACGCCTTCAGCCGAATGGGCAGTGCCAAAACTCAAGAATGTATACAGCGTCTGAACGACCAGGCCAAAGAACCAGCAGCTGGACAGCGCTGCTGGCTGGATAAAAGCAGTACCAAAGGTCACGATCAGAAGTTCACGGCAAAAGATGTGGAGACTACAGCTTATGCGCTGTTAGCGCTGTGCAACAGTAGTTACAGTGGAGATCTCAGTCCGATTGTTGATTGGCTGCTGTCGCAGCGCAACGGCCAAGGCGGATTCAAGTCTACAATGGTATGAACTATGAACGGCCCAATTATAAGTTCTGTACGTTTTTTTACTGTCTTACAAACCGTACAGAATGAATGTTGACTTTTCAGGACACAATCGTTGCTCTTAACGCTTTGAGTGAGCTGAAGGCCGGTCCCTCCACAAAATCCCTGAACGTGGAAGTTGTGGGTGTTAAAGGCGGGAAGCAGACCATTAGCCCCAAAGTTCTTGTTCCCAAGACGTTCCCGGTGCCCTTGACACAGGGTACTGTACAGATTAAGGCGGACGGAGAGGGTACGGTTAAGTGTCAACTGGAGTATTCATACCGGGAACGACCATCAAAGATCAAGGTCACTTCCACTACCCCCACATCGAGGAGTCCGCTGCCCAACGATGCACCCGAGTCCGATTTCGATGTCGGCTTCAAGCTACGATCAGAAGATGACAATAACAACAATCTGCAATTGGACGTCTGTCCAACGTAAGTTCTAAAATTTTGATAATCCTGCAGGCTGTCAGCTTCGTCCAATATCATGCAAGAAAGTATTGCTCCACACCGTTAGCCTTAAAAAACGTAAACTACTTACATAGTACTTTTGTATAACAAGATAACAAACCATTTTATATAGCACTGGTTTAAGAAAATGTTTAAGGTTGACCGTTTATATACGCACATTAATCGAACCATTATGAACTTTAAATTGATGTTTACTAAACTTGGTCTGCAGTTACAAGGGAACGTGGTCAGTGGCATGGTCATGGTGGAAATTGAACCACTAACGGGTTATAAATTTGACGAAGAAGAAGCCGGTATCCTAAGCGAGGAGAAGGACAAGGAAGTGGAGAAAGCGGTGTGCGTCGACAAATGCGAGCTATACTTGCACAGGGTACTTAGTGCACAGCGCACAAATTTGTTTTACGTGGTATATTTGCGTACAACGTTTTATTTTGCAGATGGAGCCAAATAAAAAGATCTGTCTAACGGTAAAGCTAAACCGCATCAGTGCCACACCCGATCCTGTGCCGCGACCGATCAAGGTGTACCGATACTACGAGCCGAATGTGCGGAAACTGGCCGAATATTCACTGAAAGATCTTGTTGCGGATTCTGAATGAGCTTCGCGGGGCAATATTCTTCTTTTCGAAAGCTAATTAAACAATAATTAGGGGCTGCTATTGTATCAATGGGGTCATTCAGCACGGAATTTTTGTATTGTTACACTCTGAATTGTTGTGCGTCTTTCGAAGCTGTTTGAAACAATTTCTTTTAAAAATTTTTTACCAACTGTGTTCGTTTCGTACGAGTATCTACAAAGTATTAAAAAATGTAATATGCAACAAACGTGCAAAAGTATTGTACAGCCTTCGCAACAATGCAGTACTGCAGTAATCTACTGCAGTAGATTTGTATCAAGCATATAAATTATTTCCACTTCGCTAACGTAAACCGAAGCTATCACATCCACATTGCCGCGACTTAGAACTATGCTCCGCAATTTGATCATCGTCGCAAAAGTATGTTCAGCTTTAGTACGTGGAATTTAGTACGTGGAATGTCTAGGCTTTAGAAGAGAAATTCGATTTCGCGCAACACACTTCACTGTACTTTTGCTACTGTCGTCAGCCGACTACATACTCTAGAATATGACCACACGGCAGAACAAAAGTTATGCGCAACTATGAAACGAAACCCCGGGCGGGCGGATGACTGAGGCAGTACAGAAAATGTGTTGTATAATACCGTATCTCTTTTACGTAATACTTGTGTTTTGTTCTGGTCTTAAGTTTCGTGTACTTGTGTCTGTTTACAAGCACAATAGTACCAACACCGGTTACGCGGCACCCCATCAAAGTGAAAGAGTGTGGGGCTGTCTAGTGTTAAATGACAGCGGCACTACTAATTCCAATATTTTTGACAGCGCAGCTGTTAAATATTTGAACTAGAATTTTTTATAATGTAGTTAGTGCTGTAGAAAATTGTCTCATCGTGACAATAAAGTAAATATTAATTTTCATGTTAAAACAAATACCCGTGTTCTTAATCTTTAAGCCAGCCGGGCACTTTTTCTACCTAGTCACATGTACATTCCTAATACAAGTTCAAATCAATGCGCCTACTTTAACGAAGATCACAAACAAACTGTAATTCGATCATTATCACGAGCGTGTCCTTTTATAGTCCGTGGAATCAATTAACAGCACGTGAAATCTCTTTGGGTGACTGAGTAAATAAACAGGTTAAGTAAATACAAGTATCGTTACAATAATAATATTATGTTTTCCACTGATTCACGACAAGTACTGCATTTGTACATGAGCATCCAGAATTGATATCCCAGTGCTTACATACGGTACCAATCTGTGGCGCCAACGCGCTGAGCTACTTTATTGGGTTTCTCCAAGTTTCCGGTGATTTGAGAGGGGTAACAGAAACAAGTACATCAGCAGATACGTTTAATAATGGTACAAAGCAGCCTGGAAACAAAACACTCAGGCGGTCGATTTGCAAAGCGGCGCACTGGCTTTTCCATTCGTTTTGTTCGATTATTGTGCGTAACTCCAATGTATTATATCGATAAAACGTTGCCGCGCACTGGCTTTTCCATTCGTTTTGTGCGATTACTCATTATGATATCCAGAAAATTCTTTCCCTTCCACGGACAGCCTCTGATACTTGTCTCGCTAAACAATTCAATGTTATTTTAATTAAGGGATGACATCACTCACGTTTGATTAAATATAAACTATAACGCTCGTAATATTGCCAGAATCTCGAGGCACTCAAACTAATGTTATCAGCGGCAGTAGAAATAGGTACTGAAACCGGGAAGTTTGGATGCCTCACCAGCTGTATCGCTTAATGACACAGCTGATACATTTATGACAGAAACCTTTTCCATTACTGGCACTGAGGCCGTGAGGCACAGCTAAATGATATTGCACCATTATGAACACGTCTAACGTTGCAAATTCCACCATCTGGACGGAATACCGTACCAGCTTGACCATCTGGTTTGCCTTCATGCTGACCGCCGGGATAATCGGTGCAATTTTAAACTTTCTCTTAATCGTAGCGATCATGAGCAAACCTCGTCTCCGTAGCGGATCCGGCATGCTGATTCTAAATTCCCTGGTCATCAATTTCATCCTCTGTGCGGTGGAGATGCCGATGATGGCCGCATCCGCATACTTCGGAGAAAGTACACCCTTTAAACCGACGCATTATTGCCGGTATCTGATCTTGTTTTACTACTACCACGTCTACGCCGCCAACTGGGCGCAACTTCTCATCGGCGTTAACCGCTTCATAGCCGTTCTTTTCCCACACATTTATGCTACATGGACAAAACCACCGATGACCTTTGCCATGATTGTCTTGCCCCATTTAATCCCTTTTGTCTGCACGACGGTAATGTTTTTCGACGTCGGCGCGCATATTCAGGTCATGCGCCCGTGGGGCGCGTGCGGGCTGCAACCCACCCCAGGCAGCAGCGTATACACATCGGTTATCTGGGTATGCGTAGCCATTCCGATTGTTATTGTGTTTGTACTGTATTCCATCATCTTCTTGATGGTGTGGACCAAATCTATGGTGCACAGTCGGCAAGTTACGGATGTGAATGCCGCTGGCCAGCCGACGTTCCGCAAGCGCTATAGAACGGTTAAGGTGCTGTTCTGGACGGCAATGTTTTATGCGGTGGCATTGATCCCGGCGCCCATAGGATCGAGTTTCTTTGCGGCGCAATTCAATTCTATGCCGTTTATGCAGCTGTTTCTCCGGGCGCTGTTGCTGTTCTGCTATGCGACAACACCGGTACGAAAGTGAAGTACTTCTCCGACGATTTTATGTGTTTGCCAGAATATAAACCGGGCATTCTTAACATACACATCAGGATGGTCTTCAAACAGTTTTTTTATTAACAAAATATCAATATTTATATCTGCAGTTTTTTTTGCACATAGGTACAGAGTAGGTATTACTAATATGACATTAGCATGGTAATTTTTTTAATAAATTAGTATCAGTAGCCACTAGCCACTTTTTTGCACTTTTGAATTTGCAGTTGATTTACTTGGCCAAAACGGCCGATTACCGCCGATGTGTAGTCAAACTCGCCATGATCGTCCTGCCTTGCGTCACGTCCCGACAAAGTGTCACCCCCGCATCCATCAGCCTCAATGCCAAAGTGCGCTCGCGGACCGGTATTACGCGAGGAGATGGGCATCCCGTGTCAGAGCTGAATGAATAATTAAAAATTCATTATTCAGGTAGTCCATACTTTCATCAATTATTGCGCCAATTAAGCTACGCTTATTGTTGAGAGTCTTGTGACTGACGTGTTGTGCATGAATTATTAAAAACTGTCTCGCTTGTGGGCATTTCAGACGTTATACTTACTGATTTGTGGAAGCAGTAAATAGCAAACAATGATTCTTCGCTTTTTGTCGGGATAACTTGAAATGCTTGGAGTTGCAGTGATGAGCCGAAGCCGATTTTACAGGAAATGGACCCGAATAATTCAGAAACGCCCAGCTTGTTCTCACAAAGTATCTCCGCAAAAGCGAAACTCAAGCCACACAATACGGACATACATTTAACAACTTCTTAACGTATGCAATACGTTAATACCTTTATAACATACGCTGGCCGGTCTATTCGTTCCTAAACTCTGGCCAGGAGCAGGAAGCTAACTGCCGGCCGTACAGTAGCGATCAGTCGCGCGGGTACGGGCGATTATTATAGCGCCGTTTCCAAAATTGTGACCATCTACTCTGGTATTAATACGTTATACGTGTCAGATTTTTTGTCTTTATTTGCACTTAGCTGCTCTCGCTTAGCGACCAGAATTTCGTATCTCTTTAATCGGGTTGCCTGATTTTGTAAACATAAGAACTGGGTGTCAGTCTGCAAGATATTTTATTACACAATTCGTTATTTTAGCTGCGGTACAATCCCTTGATGTAACCAAATTTACACCGAATTCATCTTGTAGTATACCCATATTATTGTACAATAATCTTTGGCTATGCCCACATGAATATTTTGCAGATACTCGCTACAATTTTATCTAAAAAGTTCCTGCCACTCCACTACTGGCACAAATATTTATGCAAAGCATGGATTTAATCAAAATATTTATGCAGAAGGTTATCAAGAATGTGCAGCAGCAGACATAAAGTAGCTTGGAGTGACCATAAACTTCCTGGCAATAACGTACAACCATCCGTAAAATTATGTTGATGTGTAAATGATTCACATATCCGACTTGTTAGTCACCCGATGCCCCTTGATGTTCGCCGCATTGAGGAATGCACGTCAGAGATTGGCGGGCGATTTGCAACACAACTCTGACTGTACAGACCTTGGACTTGCTTTGTCAGATTGCCATCGCTTTTCCACACAAATCCACAAACACAGAAAAAGCTGCGCTGGAAAAGTTAGGCGCTTCATTTCTACACATAAACTTGCCAAGACAACGAACGATAAACACAACTGCATTATTGCTTTCTAACTGAAATCTCTTTAATTAAACGTAACTCTCTAATGCTTTTTAAACTGGTGTTCTTCTTTTGATTACAAATGCATCGCGAGATCTTAATGATGCAACTAGCAGTGGTCATCTTTTTAGCCATGGTTCCCTTCGTGTATTCATCGATTCCACCTGGTGGGTCTTCGGAAGAAACCGGGGATTACCGTGACGATGGAGTTCTCGTAGCGTATTCTCATCGTTTCATTCGCTACAGTGCTGACTACGAAATCATCCTACACTCGCTACAACAGCACCACGGCGCCAATGTGACGGCGACATTATCTGCAGCCGACCGGACGGTGCATCGCCAGGAAACAATGGTCGCTGCTGGACAACAGGGAAAGGTTATTTTTAAGGTAAGTAAACGTCTTCTTCCGTGCCTCTGTGCAACGATAATCGTGGAAGCGTCCCGTGCATATCCATTAATGTACACTTTACGAAAAATTGTTAACTACGTTAAATTGTCGTTAATTTGGCCGTTAATCGTACGTCGTGCAAAATGCATCCTGCTTATTAAGTGAGAAAACACTGCTTATAGAGTTGTAGTGTACATGATTGTAGATTTATAGTGTAATGTGTTACACCGGTGTTAATTTTCTCCTTCATAATGCAAATTAATTTTTGTAGTTTTCGATGCTTATAGTCATCTCAGCTGTTCGTTTCTTAGCCGCAAATCACCTGGTTTGCTCGCCGTTCGGTGTATTTTGATGTGTACTTGTTGCGTAAACTGCTATTATTTTGTTCTCACGTAGCTGTTACGATTTTATCAGATTGGTAGCACTCCGCTCGTACAGCCGATCGTCCTTAATGTGGAGGTGCAGTATGACAACGGCATATCCGAGAAAAAGTCGAAAATGCTGGAGCTGTACTCCGACGTACTGGTCCTTATCCAGCTGGATAAACCCATGTACAAAGCCACAGAAAGCGTCAAATACCGCGTGCTGATTCTTAATACTAATGAGCTGACCTTATCCTCGAATGTGAAGAAAATCGACGTATACCTAAAGGTACAATTGTCTTCTAGCTGACACTGAATCCTCTAGTATTAAATCATCCCGTGCTGGTGGGGTGTTTCATATTATAAAAATGTACTGTCTTCAAACAGACGACAAAAAGATATATAAATGAGGAATTCAAAGAATCTTGCTTGTTATTACTTTAGAATCCCGCTGGGGACGCCATGCAGGAACGGAAATATCAACAGTGGTCGGATGACAAACGTACGCAAACCGAATTCATACATTAACAACGTCCTGGCTGCTGGGAGCCTGGGATAAACTGTACAACGTCTGTTGGTGGCTTGTTGCAGATCCTGGCTTCTTCGAAGGATCCTTTAACCCTTTTAGTTTCGAGCCGGAAATTGGTAACTGGACCGTGGAGGTGGTGGCCGGCAGTCAAATACAGAGAAAAAAGCTGATTGTTGCTGACTACTGTAAGTGGGAAACGGGCACAGAGTATAAATCGGAAACGCATAATGGCCTAGGGTAGGAAATTCAGCCCACTTTCACAAGGATTAAAATCGATCATATTTAATAGGATAATCAAAAGTCGGTAATTAGCAGGCTTTGCACCGAAATCATTAACAAATAGGCGTTTTGTTCTGCCAGATCTCCCGCGCTATTCTGTGTACATCAACGCACCAGCTTACGTCGTCAAAGGTCAACCAGATTTCCAGTTCACCGTTTCTTTGAGGTGGGTAATACTCTGTTGATAACTGCATGTGCTGCAGATTATGCCTTCATTTATCTTTTGTTGCTAACTTTTAATAAAGACGTCAAGAAAAGATACACTAGGGAAGTGCACCGCTGCAGGCTAGCACTAAAAGACCGAAGCGAAGCCAGAAATTTCCGTAAGATGGTCCATTCTGAACAAAATCTTTTCCTGTATTACGAATTTTCGTCCAATTTTGAATTCACATATTTCTAGTCAACATTTAAATCTGCTGCCTATATTATGCAGTTTGAATGATTTGCCAACAACCTCAGAACGAAAGTTTACAGTAGAGCATTTTAGGGAAGAAGATTGACAAAAATTCCACAGATAAAGCACGTCCACGTGTAGAGCTAGCACAAGCAGAGAAAAATTATCAAGTTGTGTTAGTTTAAAAACAATAATTACTGTATTTCTTCATAAGGAGTATACAGAAATGCATACGAATTACTTAACTAAGGAGTACAACGAGTACTTTTTACAACCATAAATCTTATTCCGCCCTTAAAAATACATATTGACCCATTTGAGGGAAGTATGTCGGTCCCTGGTACCAAATTTTGTACACAAAACACTTTGTTTAACTGACAGTATTCCCAAACACTTTTTTGGTACCAAAATTCTCTCCTTCCCACTTTCCACCCGACATTCATTCAATATTGCTGACCCACGTTTTCATCAGATTTCGTCGCTCAACAAACTTATTCAAAACCTGGATGCTAACTTCGGCAACATGTGATTACACGGAAAGAATTTGCAAAACTATAGCTATGTGTAGGTCAACAGCAACTGGCCAAGCCAAACAAAAATTATGCTCGTTGGGGTACATTAGTACCCCACTGCGGGCCCTAATAAAAACGTTGCTGCTCCAAAAAATTATTAAATAAAGAATTTACTCATTGATTCATTTCGCATAAAAGGCACTAAATAAAATCACTAAAGGAAAACAACCAATAAGCAAAATCAATAACTTACTACGATTTTCATAAAGGAAAACACGAAGCACTGGAATCGGACCGTCTGCAATGTTAAAGAAACCGGTTTTGCACGTTGACAAAATTCAACAAATTTGAAATTTTACAATGCCGATTTGTTTTATTAAATACACAGCAGTGAAAAACACACAGGCATTCCCATAATATCGGGGGCAAAACCAGTCTACCCGAACCGTCTCCCTGCACTGCTGCCGTCACCCGGCTGGAGATACTTACGTTGTGGCTAAACATGGTGTTATGTACCGCGCCCGATTTAGCCGTAATTATTATGTGTTGCCGTAACGTCACATTCCAGCCTGGTGACGGCAGCAGCGCCGTAAACCGGCTCCACTAAGACGGTTTTCCCCCCTATATAACCTCACACTATGCTCTGGAATAATAATATACCCGGTTCTATTGGAGAAAAAAGCGCCCATGTGTTCTTCATCCAAAAGATGTCCTTTGGATGGGTGTTTTTTGAGTTTCAAAAAGCCATAATATAGTTCCGTGGACGAAGTATTTTAGACGTGAAAATGTACATATAAAGGGGCTCCATAAGTATACTGAAACATGCCGTTCTAAAGACGGCGTGTTGTGCTCAGACGATGTCTGAAGCACGTCAAAAAATTGCTTGCCGTAGAACCGGGATAGGGTTTCTGCTATTACGTAATGCGTGAGCAGCGTGACCGACGGACAGATTATTGCGTGACCGACATGACCGACAAAAATTCCTGTTATCCTGAACATAGAGGACCTTCGCTTCGCTTCGGTCGACAATAAAACAATGTAACGGGAATTTTCCCCAAGAACATAAATAAAATTGAAGTGCTGAAGGATATTCTTTGCGGTAATTTGATAGTAGTGCTGGTCTACATTGTCCTTTATGCAGAGATCAGACCGGAAATCCTGCGTATGGCACAGTTATGGTTACCGTCGACAATTCAGCAACCGGCAATCGAGAGCTTCAATCGCAGGTTTGAAAATTCCTTGTGTTTTTGGTATGACCGTTTCGAAAACAAGGATGATGGATGATATAAAATGTACAGAGTACTAAAAGTTTAAGATAAAGATGCAACAATTACCCATTTGAAGCGTCACTTCTGTATCATAATGTTTACATAACAAATTAGATCAGGACGTAATGTAATCAGAAATTATTTTAGGCAGCCAAAGGTCAACCTGTTCCGTTCCGCTACGAATTCCCGCGCTCGTCTCACGGCGTAATGTGCTCGGCATCAAACGCCCAGTCCCGTACCATCACCGTTAAAGTTCGCGCGGTCGAAAAGGTGACTAACCGTGAAGAATCGGCCGAAGTAAAAATTCCCTTCCACTGTGATCCCTTCAAATTGCACATCCAAATGAAGTACAACGCCCCCAAACCCGGCATCGCCATCGTTGTTATTCATGCCCTCAATCATGACGGATCCCCGTATCGTCACCCGCTGGCGCTGCAACAAGCAGCAATCAGTGCCATTGAGCGGAATTATGAGACGGACATCACCACAACGACCGTACTGTCGAACGGCAAAATGGTGGATGTGGAGAAGGGAATGATTACCGTGCCGATGCGGACGGATTGGCACGACCAGAATGCCTCGCCGTCGGTCAACGTGACAGTGGGCAGCGTCAGCCAATCTAAGAGGATCCAGAATCGCGGGAATACCGCCTGGCTGCGCATCCAGCTGCTGGAGCCGCGGACGTTCCGCGCCGGCGAAACGGTCAAATTTGTCATGAAGTGCGAACCGGGTTGCACAAGCATCAGTTATGTGGTACGTGCTGATACCAATGATAATATTTACTGCGTATTTTGATCGAAAAACATTATGCTGCCTGGAACATAACTGCATGCATGAGAAATTTTGCATGGAGAACCATATTACCAGTAATGTAGATTGCGCGTCCAAAAGTATAGTTTTGCCGGTAGATTATTTCGCCGAAAGGTCTTCTTCTGACCGGTACCGAAGTGATTCACCGACAAGCCAGACAAAGCCGCCCATTAAGCGTCATTGTTCCTCACGATACACGAACAGGACTGAAAATTATTGCATTTTCGGCCAATATCACTGCCGGAGATTTGGATTTGGTGATCGACAGTGTGGACGTGAAGGTCACCAGTCCCCAAGAGATCCAAAATGCAAGTAATCAGTGTGTTGAAAACTACTATTATTACATTTATATCTCTTTAAAAATGGCTTTTTATATTTAAGATTTACATTTTTTTGCATAATGTTCAATACCAGCTGTGCATTTGAATTAGTTTATTTCCTTCAGATTACCATGGAACTCCGTCCGGAAAATCGCCGCGACTACGTACTTCCTGGACGCAAAGAAAGGGCCCAAATAACGGTAACAGCCGCCGCAAAGTCATTGGTCGGTTTACTGGCCGTTGACAAAAACCTTCTGCGGTTGGCTACCGGAAACGATATCACACACACCGATGTAAGTTCTTTTCGGACAAATCAATCTATCAGCAAACCTAAGACGGAAATATTTGGCAAGGAATAATGAATCAATTTTCTGTAGGTGTTATCGCAATCAGCCAGGTTTTCCAGACCAACACAACCGGAATTCGAATTTGATGACGACTACGGGTACTGTTATAAAGACCACCTAATGTATTCTTGCGGCCTAACAGGCTTAAGGTCATCCTTCGAGGTATCTGCACATCTTTCACAATTCCAGTTGTAAGCAGTCGATTAACTGCGGTCTTTCCAGGAATCTAATGTTGTGGCATTCGTTTTCGAAAGCGCATTTTTTATGATGAACTCCCCTGGAGGAGTTGGTAAGGAATCGCACAAGAAAACCATCTCTAGCAGGCTCCTGTTACAGTTCTTTATAGGAGTTCACTTCGACGAGATGTCCAAGGCAACTGAATCTGAAGTTCTTCGTCAGGATTTTCGGGATAGCTTTCTGTTTATCACCAAAACTGCTGAGTAAGCTGCACAGCTTTAGATACAGGCTGTAGAACCGTTTTCGGTGGGTAATGACGCAAAAACATTGTACAATTTGCAGTGCCTACGGCCAGGCTCAGTTTACCGAATTGGTGCCGGATTCCATCACAACCTGGGCGGTCACGGCTTTTGCGGCACACACCCACAAACCGCTTGGATTAACTGCTGCTCCCAGCGAGGTGAGATGTTGCCGGTGAAACATTACTGTTGAAGTCTCGCATGCCGTGAAAACAATGTGTCTGTAAAATATAAGAAAATCTGTCTATAAAATAAGTCTAATAAGTCTATAAAATATAAGAAGAATAATTGTATAAAACCAAATGGTACTGGGTTTCCACGTTGAATTAGAACGGAAATTGTGCGTGCAAGTACAGTACGCTGTTGTTTCATGCATCTGTCGTTTTGCAGTTACGCGTCTATCAGGATTGGTACATTCACGTGGAAGTGCCGAATACCTTGCTGGAGTACGAGAAGGCCTCGATCGACATCACCGTTTACAATTTCAAAGCGCATTCCCCCGATGCAGGCGCACTGCTCAGTATTGAATGCACTAAAGTGGCGGGAAACATACGAAATTCTACCCAGTTTCATGTCAAAGCCAGAGAACCTGTGCAGCAATTTTCGTACCCCGTGGGACCGTATAAGAAAGGTGACCTGCTCGTCACGGCCTCGTTAACGCACCCGAAGCTAGGCATGATTGACAGAGTGCGAAAAAGCATCCCAATCTATCCAGGCGGCGTGGTGGTCGTCAAAACAGCCGAGCCGGTGGCCATCAATGCAGGAAATACAGTGATTAAAGTTGATCCTAAAGCACTGATGCAGGAAGCGAATATTGTGCCGGACTCTTTGAGTGTCAGCCTAAACATTTTCGGTAATGTTTTAATGGTTACGGTTAGATATTTTAACAGAAATTATTAAGAAATCGTGTGAACACATCCAGTATGTTGTTGCATAATTTCGCCTGATATATAGGCACCTTGAATCGATAACGTTTATCCTAATTCCTGATTTTCAGGCGATATCTGGGCACCGATACTGAAGAAGATGTCGATGACCGATTTTGTCCAAGAGTTTAACGGACTCGTTCGACTGCCGCATGGATGCGGCGAACAAAATATGGCGCTGCTGATGCCCAACGTCATGTTAGCCAGGTACCTGAAAATCTTCTCGGCGAAAATGATCCCATCCTTTACTTTAAAGCAACTAACTGAGAACATGGAAGAAGGCTTCAAGCGACAATTTTACTATCGCTTGACTGATGGATCTTACAAGTGAGTACAATATTTTGATTACGTTGTACGCATACACGAGTACCATGAAAACCTTAATAATTTGTTAAGCATTGATGGTTTTAACTGTTTGATTAGGCAGGTAATATAGCAAAAAGAATACCTGTCAGAAAAATAAATCAAAAATTATGTGTATTAAACTTATCGCACAATAACCGGCTGGAAACTGGTTTTGTAGCACATTTGGGCAAAGAGACCAACCGGGCTCAACGTGGTTAACCGCGTTTGTCGTCCGTGGCTTGTCCATGGCCAAAGAATTCATAGCCATCGACGACAGCCAGATCGAGAAATCCGTGAAATTCCTGGATTCAAAACAGAATCCAGATGGTTCATTTCGCGAAGATGGGTACATCTTGGATTCGGGATTATTGGGAGGTTCTGGCACCGGTCCAGCTTTAACTGCCTTCGTAACGTTGGCTTACAGTCAAAACCACTACATCAACCATCCAGCCATGCGCAAGGCTAAATTCTATCTGGAAGGCGTACTACCAAAGGTCACTGACTCGTATTCACTGGCCATCACCTGTTTTGCGCTGAGCCAACTGGAGAGTCAGGTGCAAGGCCTGTGCACGGCGATGCTAGACAACTGGGCGATCACCGATCAGCCGGATAAGCGGTACTGGTTGGCTGCGCGCAAATACGATCATGTCGGAAACCGTTTTACAGCACGGGATGTGGAGACGACAGCATACGCCCTGCTGGCTTTAATACACTTGCATGAACACAGCGAGCACGATGTGGATGATCTTCGCATTGTGAACTGGCTGTTGGCCCAACGAAACGCTAATGGCGGATTTATATCGACTCAAGTAAGTCGAATATGTAATTTTCGCCCTATACATTCAGATTTCTGCCCGCCAGTGATAGAATTACCTTTGTGAGTTGAATAAATAAACCGATCCAAATTCAGAAATTATTTAAAATATATCATAATTAATATAACAATAAACCAAAGTGTTAATACTATTTTACTCAGATTTCTTACGAACTGAAGTGAATTTACTACAACTTTGATCTAGGACACAGTGGTGGCCCTTAACGCTCTGAACGACGTCTCGGTGGGCACACGTAACAGTAAGCAAATGTCAGGACGGATTTTCGCCGGCAAGGTTTCCCTGGGGAACTTTACTGTGCCGCAACATTCACTGCGTATAAAAAACATCGCCATTCCATCCGGTCAAGACGTGATCACGGTAGTCGCTAATGGAGGAGGCCGTCTTCGTGGCCAGTTGGAATACAAGTACCGCACCATACCACCGCGCTCGCACCCAGCGACAGCCAGGCCTGCAAAGATGTCATCAAACGGGGGAAACCCAGCGGAATCTGAAATTGAGCTCAAGGTCAGATTAAGACGTATTGGCAGCAACAACGACCGGCTATCTTTGAGTATCTGCCCCAAGTAAGTGTTTCCAGGCGTTAGAGCCTTTGCTCAAACGAATAGAAATTTTTTTACCACATGTAAATTTATATTAATTGATCAGTCTCTAATCTAGCCCTCGAAATAATTACTGGTATTGATTACCAAATTATAGAAGTATGAAAATCTTACAATTTTTAATTTTGCAGGTACTCCGGCAGAGTGGAAAGCGGCATGGTGGTAATCGAAGCTACAGCCCTGACCGGTTACCAATTTGATGCAGGAAATGCCAAAACCTTAGAGAAAGATAAGCGCTTGGGAGTCGACAAAGCCGACTGTGTGGATAATAAAGCCAGAATGGAAATATACTTGAGAGAGGTCAGTCCAGCCTGAACTGTAGTTCATCCTGAAGCCTAAACCACCGGCAAAAATGGGTCTTGCTTGCTTATCCATGGGCAAAAATGGGTTCGTCCGATATTTGATATTCCGCGAAAAAGAAACCAGCTGTCGGTACAGATTTCTGGTTAGCACTTGTTAACGCTTGACCGGGACTTCGAAGTTTGCAGTGTAGATAGTTATTCACAATGCCAATCATAGCTGCTGAATAAATCTTTGCTTTACCGTTTTTAAATAGATTCTGCAAGATGAGCCGTGCATCGACTTGGATCTCTACAAATATCTGACAGTAGAAAACGTCGCTCCCCGATCAGTAAAGGTGTACCGCTACTACGAACCCAGTGTCAGCCAAGCCATAGAGTACTCTCTCGCCGATTTAGCGGGCTAATCGATTTCTTGGGGATTGCTGGCCATGTTCTTATACTGTGAATGTTCGCTTAATGCGCTTAAAAACTTACGTTTATTTCTTTTTATTTATTTATGCTGATTGGATCCTTCTTTGGGTTTTAGCAAACGCCGTGATAAGGGTACCAAACTACTTAAAGTGGCCACTTTTTTAATAAATACGCTATTGCTTTTGCATTCTGTACAGTTTGTTCGGCATGTGTCGATCAGTTTATATTAGCCGTAGTGTGTTAATAAGTTTTGGCTTAATTACTGTGTGTCGATTGTAATCGCTGCAGTGACGGCAGTAACATCCGCAGGATGGTAAAGCCACTGGAATCTCATAATGTATGTGTTTCTTAAGCGTCATTTGTACTCGTAGCTTGTATTCACAACAGAATTAAAATGCCACGCGTTTATTTCAGCTGCTATCTCATGAAAAAATTGGTTCATTACTGCACAGTTGTTTTAGTTTTTATACACAGATATACAACAAGTGCTATGCGACAAACTCAGTTTTGATCAAGAAAATCAGACACTCACAATATCGCTTTATTGGAAATTACTGTATATAGAAGAAATTCATGTTATTGATACATTTGGCGGAGCCAAACAACAGTGAAACTGATTAATAATATTGCCAGTAAAAGGGATACGAAACGACGTACATACACAGCGGCAATAGTTTTAGGCTTTATTGTGGATTCTTAATTTCAGCAGCGACAGCAACAGTTGAAGTAACACTTGGTTTGATTTGCAGATAAAAATGTAAGTACTGGCTAAGTGTTAATCAACTGTGCAATCTAAACTTACAGTAAAAGGTTTAGCATCCGCGAAATGTGTAACCAACATGTATACAAAATCGAGAGAAGAAACCTACATTTTTCTTTATCCAAATTTAACGCAGGCAGCAAACTGTACAGATAGACAGTGTAATTATTGCCTAAATCTCAAGCTCTTATCATGCATACATTCTTCGTTTTTCTACTCCTTTCATGGATGGAATTGTGCACCTGCAGTTTACCAGAAGGTAGAGCTCTCTAATGTCCTGTAAGCACGGGTATTTACGGAAGCCGCAATTATGTTTTTCTTGCCTTGGGTTAAACTGTATTTCCATCATGCGGCTCATGACACAGCCTACCCTAGAAACGAATGCTCGTAAAGAGGCACGGGTTAATACTGAAACATCACAGCAAAACTGATTGTATTAATCAATGCTCCAGTTTTACGGCAGGGTAATAAAATAAACAACTGGGTTACAAAACGAGCGACAGCAAGTACGCAGTTCATAATTTTCCGTTTCATGGACGAGTGTAGGCCTCATGGAACCCACGGCGTCTCCAATGATTGGAGATGTGCCGAGCCCGCCAACTAACGTCCAAGTTCACTGTCAACAACGTACCGCAAATGTGTCATGGGAAAATCAAGGAGGCGACCGTATTCCACCACTTGAATACATAATCCAATACAGTACATCGTTTGAGCCCGGTGTATGGGTGGATCACAAGCCCGAAAATCTTTCTGGAGATTTTTCCCGTTCAATGGAACTGAGTCCGTGAGTATACGTGCATCAAATCCTCCAGGATAGCCTGCACGACGGCAATAATGTCATGCTGCGATAAAACATAACGTCTGGCAAAAAAAAACTACCATCGAACCGTATAGTTACTCAATGTTTAACGCATTTTATCTCATAAACGGAACAACAATGCGAATATTAATTTTGATGTCTCCAGAATTTGTCGGTTTATCTAGTTTTCAAAAAACAAAATTTTATCAGACGCTTTATATTGTAAACTTTATACTTTGCGTTAGTATGGAATGCTAACGAGAACAGCTGACACCACAAATTGTCATATTATTTTTATGATTGAAAGTACTGTATCCTTACCCTGCACTTGAAGGAAATTTGTACGCTATGAGCGCCACGGTACTGTATAGCCGGATAAACATTCAACCAACTCACGTTTAAACACGCACTAGCTGCAAGCCGCGTATGTGAATGGTGAATGCGGTCGTACAAGTGCGTGTGGCTGCACTGTACAAATTTCCTTCAAGTGCAGGGTTAGGGTACAGTACTGGCGTTATTTGTAAAACGGCGAACTTCGGGCGAAGGGCACTTGTTGCAGATGGGCTACTTACACATTCCGCGTGACAGCGCGCAATACGGTTGGACTCAGCAATGCCAGCGCTCCCAGCCAAGAAGTCTGCACCACGCCGCCGGACATTCCGTACAAGAATCCCGAAAACGTTCAGGTTATTGGGACCGAACCGAACAATCTCGTCATCTCGTGGACGGTATGCATGCTAATATGACTTTCATACAACGCCCATATGGTGAATAATTTGGACCATATTTGTACTGTACATACATTTACGCATATCCCATAAACTTATGCTAAGCATCCGCTAATTATTCATCGGCACTTGGCTAATCCACGCTAGCGGACCCAGAGCAGTCGGAACCGTTGATAATTTTCAACCCGCTTAGTTATCGCTTGTTCGCAGCCTATGCCGCAGATTGACCACAATGGTCCGGGATTTTATTATGAAGTGCAGTATATCAGAGCAGATCTCCTCCCCAGTGCCTCACAGATAAATGACAGTATCCACATTAAGGACTGGCGTCAGAGTAGTGTGAGCATCACCCATCAACCGACGTACGCGCCCTACAATGTGCGGGTACTTGCCAATAACGATCTCGGACGTTCACGGGCGGCAGATGAACCTCCAGTTCGTCTCTATTCCGGCGAGGGTCGGCCTACTACCGCTCCAGGCAACCCGCACGTGACTAGGCTACTCGATAGCCGAACTGCGGAAATTTCGTGGACGCCTGTTCCGGCAGACTCCATTAGAGGTGAGTATTTGAATCTATTTCCAAAATCCAGCTGCAAGGGCAGTACGAGTATAAAATTACGAAGACACAATCAAAAAGTTTCCCCATGTTGTGTTTTAGGAGTTTTGAAAGGCTACAGGATTCAAGTGACGCCGGCAGGAGCGACAACGCCGAAGGAAATACGCGTCGGTCCAAATACATCCTCAGCGGTTGTCGATATACTGAAGCCGGCCAGCAGAAATGTCATCCGGATATTGCCATATAATGGAAAATACGATGGTCCTGCTAGCGATGAGGTAAACTTCCATTGAGTCTGTCATTTTATCACTGTGAATATATGGTCCAGCTATTGGATCACTGGACAGACGATATCCGATCGGCAGATACGAACCGCGCCATATGCATGGGGTGCTGGCGTTCGGTTATAAAACCGCGTTGTAAAAAGTGCAGACCAGTTAACGGATTACCAACCGCCCCATGTGGCGCGTTACGTACCTGCTATTCTGACACAGTGTTTTTGACGATCCAGAAGTTTAACCGTAATGGTCACGGTGATCAAATGACGGATTTAATCGAAGTAATGGTTTACAGACTGCACCGATAAACTATCGCTTCCTAACAACTTTTAGAAAACGTTTCTTTCTATTTTTCAGCTCGTTATAGAAACACAACCCATATTCCCGGGTCGACCGGTTGATATCAGAGCTTCAACCATGGGACATAACATGATCTTTCTGGAGTGGAAGGAGCCAACAGAGCCAAGCGGCGGGCTTCGGCATTACGAAATCAATGTCTTCATTCTGGAGGGGCTCAGCACGATAGGTCCCGTCAAGAATTTAAGGGTTCCGCGCCGTCTCAACAGCATGAAATTAATGAAATTAACACCTGACACCAAATATCGCATTTTTCTTTACGCCGCAAATGAAAACGGACGGGGCGAGCCCGGTATTGTGGAAGCGGCTACTGGAAGCGACCCCAGTGAGACGGGCGAAGCGATAGCAAAGTAGCTGGTTGTCGCTGCATACCTGAGCGGTCGCAATATTCTCGTTGTGCAACCGGATTAGTTTTAGATAGTATCCCAAGATGAAACGAGTTTGATGCTTGTATCAGAATAACATCTTTGACGCTACCAGTTCGTTTTGTGTGTTTGTGTTTTTGTGCTTTGTGTTTGCTACGCACGCTTTCTGTTTGCTAAACTGCTAGAAGTTAATAAATATGTACATTTGCTCGCTCCAGACTGTGCAACACTACTACCACCACTTTCCCCCATAAATTTTCTGCGTTCATCTGATAACTCATATTGATAGCTCGCAAAACTAAAAACGTGGTCAAATGTCAGAACATTTTACTTTGCTACAATAATAACTCCCTGATAATCGCAACAGGAAATCGTGAATGCCTTCCTTAAGAAAGCGTGTCCAGTGGCACCACCATTTTGTAAATCTATGATTACATGGCATCGTTGTAATCCCATAGTTTTTTGCTGGTTTTGTTTTGCTACTAATTTAGTTTACTACATGCTGTGTAACCCTCATGTCAATCAAGAGTGTGACTTTGGTGCTATAAAACCAAATGTACTCGTACCGAACCTGTACGGCTTTTATATGGTTCTTGTATTACGCATAATTACTGTATTATGTACACCTGGACATAGTATGTACCATGCACACCTCTACATAGTATGTATTATGTACTCTTTATGTACTGTATTACTACACCTCTACATGGCAATTGTTATACGGTAATTATCAAAGCAGGACATCGTTTCGGCAAAGTTTCGATACAGATCTTGAAACCCGCAACTTAACAAATTATCACAAGCTAGTCACAGTGTATACAACAGCAGTATCCATATGGCGCTGACGCCACGCAAAACTCAAATAAGTGCACAAGAAGCTTTAAGTGCTGCCAGATTTTTACCCACGAAACCATGCTTGTGCTGCTAATCTTACAGATCCTTGCTGCGGCACAATGTATGCGTGTGCCTCATCCGAAATGCACGTACAGCGGTGGTGGTGTCTATTTATCCTGCGAGCAGTCTCCGCTGGAATTTCCTACAACCTTCACAGGCGACGCCGTTGCTACCAACGTGCAGCACATCGATCTCAACTGTCCCCGATCTTACTCCAAAAACTACTGTAACGTTCTGCAGGACAAATTCGCTCCGTTACCATTTCGGTCGGAAATCGTTAAAGTCGTTCTGTCCGGATTCCGCAGCGACAGTGGCCAACGCACGCCGATCCACGAATTCCTCAAACTGGTTAGGCAGAAGATAACCACATTAAGCATCCAGTACAGCGTGATTAAATACCTCGATGCGGAATATTTTCGCGGATTTAGTTCACTAAAGGCGCTGTACCTGAGCAATAACGATATCACATCGGTGGACGTGAATACATTCCAAGCGCTAACATACCCGACTGTGCCGGTTCTGGGACGCTTAGTTGGGCAAAAATTGCACACGATTTCATTATCGCATAATGCGTTGCAAGAGCTGGATTGGAGTGCATTCCAACCGCTTGGAAAAAGCCTGGTACGTTCATTAAACACGATACAAGAATTAAATTTCTGCCGTAAAGAAATTCTTAGGTTATTCAAACATTTTCCTAAGGCACAGATTACCAAAAAACATGGTCAAAAAATGTATGGTTTCGGTTTCGGTTTAGCAGCTTACGGTTACTAATCCCTTACTGTTACTAAGCTTACTGTTACTGTTACCAGGAATCACTAAGACATGCACAATACAGAAAGACTATCATGATTCTATTAAATTAACTTCTTGACTTTATTGCGAAACACGTGTGCAATAATAAAATGCGTTACAGGAAAATATTCATCTGGAATCGCAAAATCCCAAATTGAAAACGCTGGAGCGTTCTGGTCGAGCATTTCGGTTACGGCTACGTACACTGAGTTTGCACAGCAATGGGTTACCATCGATTGACAAAGCCGTCCTTACGACTCTAACGCCACTTGGATCTGCTAATTTTGATTTCGATTTTCGATGGAACAACTTCTGTCTAAGTAATGCAGACTGCTCGTGCTGCGACATAATGGATTTCCTGCGCTGGATCGGTAGCCTGCCGCGGACCACCGCCAGCACCGGGGTGCAGTTCACGTGCGGATCGAAGAATATACTGCACGGCAGTGCCAGTACGTTCAAAGTGGACCATTTTCGCAGTTGTAAGTTATTATTTATCGTTATTCTTCTGAAATTTGCTATATCTTTGCCGCCCAAAATACGGTACATTTTATATGGCATATAAGATCCCATATAAAATCGCAACGGAAGGAACGATGTGCAACATAGATAAAGGGCATGTAGACTCATTTATATGCGTAATTTTTTAATAAACTTGTTTTTTTTGCCAGTTTTCAGCTTCATAATATTCTTATGACTGTATTGCAGGCGCAATTACGTCTAATTCGTTCATGCACCGGGGCTGCCACGAAGTACCGCCTCTTGAGATTTCCTGCCACAACGAAACAATAAAGTCTTCTCTCAGCGATTTAGAAAATACAGATGCTAGTCGCCTAATAATTTCAGCAGCATCTGGGAGCCGCTGTTCATCATTTTTGACTAGCATCAAAAATAAAGCTACAACCATGACTGTAGTTACAGCAGCTTCGGTGCATCCAGCAACTACCTTCACCTGCGCACATGGTAATGTGACTGTCCGAGGGGATAACCGTAACGAGCACGGCAATTCCGAACGCCTGACTTTTATCAACGATCTCTCACTACCATGCCAACAACATTTCGACAACATTCTGCAACACGTTGGTGACCTTATGGTCAACTTCGACAATGCTTCGGCAGTCGTGCATCTATCCTCGCAAATTACCGTTTTAGCCATCGAAGATTGGTTAGCTGACTTCCAAGTGTGTCCGCTGCATCCACCGCTAATCATCAACTGCACAAACGGTGTGGTGACGTTCTCCGAGCGCGGAGTAGCGGCGACGAAAGCCACCACGGTGCTCGTCCACGCCGACCAGTCGTTTCGCTGCCGGAATGTCATCTACGATGTCCACCGATACATTGTCCGTCAGGAGACGACGAAAATTGAATCTGCTTCCCGAGATGGATGGAGTGAGAGTGTCGTGGCGGTGTGCCAGAAAGGTCAAGTGGTACTGTCGGATGGCAATCCGGATGTCTCATTAGCGACGACACTGGAATATCATTCAGCACCAAATGCGCTGTGCCGGAAGGCGTTTTATGGGCTGTTGAATTTTGTAATGGACAACTGGATAACCGACTGTTTCGCTTGTCAATTTTTATGATTTACTCCATCCTGGTTTCAGATATCTAGTGCAGATTAGGTACTTCAAGATGAGGAGTGAAACGTATACAAGTACACATGCAACTGATTTGTTAATAATTAACTACAATAATAAGCTACGAGTTTCGATCCTTTATTATTCTACGCATATCTGGTGAAAATTTTAAGTGATTTCTTGACGTGTTACCTGTACAGCACTGCTTTACACACGCGCATGTACTTAGATTATACACAGCTCTATATTTATTTATCGTGCATCACTGCATACATTCACTGGTTTCATGAAGCAGGTTTATGAAACAAGATCGCATAAGTGCTTTACAATTTTAATTTTCTTAGGTGTGCAAAATCAACTGTGTTTCATACAATACACTGAATTCTTCAAAAACTGCAAATACAGCACAACAGTTGTATTAATCGATACAGTTAATCGAGTTAGGCCGCAAACGAGTTCTAGTTTTCTTGTTTTCAGTAAAAAAGTTGTTTCCAACTTTCGTAGTTCCCCCGTATTTTGTCAACCGTACAGCCAATAAACATGCACTATGCACGTGGCACTCCATACTTGATTGTCTTTGGGTTTGGTAAATACTGGAAGCCTGTTATGTAATTGTCTTCGGAAATGGGCTGCGAACTATAAACCTTCAGAAAAAGTAAAGAAGTTCTGGTGTAAATAGCACTTAACACGCAATATACATAGTTACATCGCCAATTCGACAATGGAACTGATACGTACTCTAGGATAACAAATAATTATGACGTCTTACAAAAAATGTTGCCTCAAATGAACCACAAATACCCTCCTGTATATCCGTCCTGCACAGGAGCAGTCGCACTGGGACTGGGGCTGCGGCAGGTGCAGGGCAGCTGTCAGCCTTCCTATATCATGTATACCCTGCATTTCATTTAGGTAATATTATTTTGGATTATATATTCTGTATTCTGCGCTTCGCTGGTCGAGGATTCACACACTGTTGTTAGTAGTGGATCATCACTCCCAACAGGATATGGGCGTCCATCATTTGGCAGCGACGATCCTTCACGTCTACACGATGAAGAAGCACCGCTGCGCTCCTTAAACAAGGGCAGCAGCGTTTACCGCTTCCTACGGCACCAACTCGGCGAGGTTGTATGGTTAGTTTTCTTTTATTTATTCTGCACGAGTGTCCTATACCGGCACCTCCACCGCTCCGTCACCTTGTTGGACGCAGAGATACCACAGCGCCGCTTATGGCTCCATCAACGGAAGATCCGCCGTTGAACAACGGCCATGGACGCCGGCGGTTGATGACACTACAGGCTTTGCGTAGTAGACGACCGCGTGTTACTCTGCGCGAGAAGGCATGGGTTGCAAGTGGCAACTATGGCAGTTGTCGAAGTTGCGGCACGGGTTGTGACGATTTCTTTAAGGATTTGTATTGATATACCACTGCGAATCAGGCGTGCGCTCCCGGTGTGCATGTGCAGGACGTTGCTGAGGACACCCAGGCCGCCCTTGTTGTGGCAGTTTGTGAGGGTGCGGTGGACAGTGCTGATGTTGGTGCTCTTTCGATGAGCCGTTGAGGGAATCGCCTGCATTCTGTCTTGTGAAACCAACGCCATGCAGGTGTAAGCTTGCTAGCTCTGCTTGGGGACCGCGATGCCGCGTTGCCTCGTTGACTGTTGACTGCAGGGCAGCCTTCCAAATGCAGCGCAGAGGTAACGAGCCGATTTGCTCGTGTACTTTCTCCAACAGCTAGAGCTGTGGTCTCTAGCTGTAGCTCCTTTTGTTTTTCGCACATTGTGTAACGGGGCAGGCCACCCGTCGCAGAGGTCAGGAAGGTCTTTCGAGAGGTGGTGGTCAATACATCACCGACGCTCAGATTCTCTGTAATGATACTCTCGGGGCTGCGGGTGATTTCAAAGCATTCACTGCTTAGCGGAGAGTTCGCGGTCAAGACAAGTACCATTCTGACTTCCCCGACCAAGTTGTTAGTGCCAAAGTTCTGCTAACCTCCGGACGCGCGGCGCTTCTTATATTGCTTGCCGTCTCGGTGAAGTTTTTGGATGTTACTGGCAAACAGGCGCCGAGCAAGAGATCCACCAGCGCCATCCAGATGCCCAGGACGGTGATCGGGTCTACGTGGTTGGAGTCGGTGGCATAAACTAACGGTTCAGTCAGTACCCGAATCCGTGGCTCCGGGACGCACGCTCGGTTGATGGATTTGCCGAAGACGGTAGCGTCCTTTGTGCGGCCTGTGCAGGCAGCAAAGGGGCAATATGGTGATGGTATCGTGGCCAGTGCGTGGTTTGCCGAAGACGCAGAAAGTGGCGCCCACAAAAGTAATCGGCGCAGTGATCATCTTTAGTCGGACGTCGCCCAGGATCGCAATCAGCGGGCTCGGACTATTTAGAGGAAATGATTGCGGGTTGCACGGCCATCACGATTTTGACCAGCGAAATGATACCCGTAAACCGCACTGGTAAGCTAAATATGAAACTGGATTCTGATGCACAGCTGCCGCATATGCACCGGAAGCGTGTTCATGGTGCTCCATGCTAAACTCGATGTACATTTGGAAAGGATTCTGTCACAGTAGCTGAGATTGGTCATACAGCGTAAGAACCTCCCGGATCGGCAGCAGCGGACACAGGTTTTGTATGAGTCCAAGAATACGCAGCATATAAGAGCGTGAGTATGTTTAAATTAAAAGTGGATCACTTTCGCTGTTGCACATGGCTCGATTTCGTGGTATCTACGTAGCTGCGTCAGCGTACTGTATCTCATTACAGTCAACCTCAGGCGGTTCTTATGGTAATTTTTATCACATTTGGCGGTAGTGTAACCAAGCACTCGGAAATACACCAGAAGTACCGATATTCGAGCAAACAGTCTAGCCTTGCGACATATTATTTGTATATGTACATACGCATTACGCGTCTTTATAAATTCTTTTTTGTTGGTGATATTTCAACAGTTATTTTGTAATTCTCGGGCAATAATCGGCATCATAATTATTTAATTAGTCGGTGCGGCACTGTGCGATTGGTTTGTATACCGTGATGCCGTGGCTGCGCATGCTTTTCTGTAGCTAACTAATCTTCAGTATACTGAAGATTAGTAAGCTACAGATAACACAGAAACTATAAATAGGGGTAGTAGTTACGGAAGCCCGATCATCTCGAAGTTGCATACGGAGTGAAAGTGGCGCGGTGGTTTGCCCAAAAGGTCAAGCGGTGCTAACTGATTGTAACCGGGATGTCTCGCTAGTGACGACACTGGAATATCATTCAGCACCGAATGCGTTGCGCCAGGTACTTATACAACTCTGCCCGATACCCGTATCAAGACGTATGTACAGTAACCTGCGGCTGCATTCATGTTTTATTGGAACAACACGCAGATCTAATGTTTGTTTTTAAAACTGGGTGCTTGCAGAGGTGTGGATTGTTCTCTTGCATGCGATGATACTCTGCATTGTAACCTTACAGATCATTCATTAACATGGCATGTACATGCCGCCACACCAGAAAACGGGATTGATTTTCATGCAATTTGTATAGCGTGTTCGGCGGTTTCCGGTATTCGCTAGTGTTGTTAATCAATTGTGCAATGAGTAAAGGCTACGCATGTTGTGTGTTGTGTGTGCCTTCATAATTACTTCGTGTCGTGTAGTAAATACTGCCGAAATCAGAAGAACACCAACAACGTGCGCGGAACAAAAATTTATTGCAAAAAAACAGCTTCGTAATTTGTCACATCAGTCTCAAATGAGCCATCAGCGCCATGGCAAAAACAGCTGAACACCTTTAGAGAAAACACGCGCGCCAAATGTGCTTGCAACGCAAAATGCAAGCCAACAATTTCACGAAGCAAAGCAGTTATCCACCAAAAAACAACAAAAACAACGCTACAGTACTGCAGCAGATTTTCACATTCCAGCGGCATTCAAATGCAAAATAACCCAAATTTTTCGTAATACTTACAAGAAAAATCAACAGTCAAAAAATCATAAGCCAAAAAATTTGACCCGCAACTGTACGCCGCCGCCGACTGAAAAATGTACACGAAGTACCAAAAAACGTAATAAAAATAAAACAGTCGGTGGCGCGGGGAAGGCTCACATGTCCACATCCATCTCGTTGGAGATGGTTGTCAGCTCCGCAGCAATACTATCGAACTGCTGCTGAGTCATGTTCAAGGCGCTTCCGAGGTGTGAAACGACTGTAGTAAGCATTCGATCGTAGCATGGACGGTACGCGAGGGCCTTCGTGAGCTTATCGTTGATGACCTTCATCTCCGCCATGATGTCCTGCTTGAAGTCCGCGATGTCCTTCTTCATCTCTTGCTTGAAGTCCTGGATGTCCTTTTTCATCTCCTGCTTGAAGTCCTGGATGTCCTTTTTCATCTCCTGCTTGAAGTCCTCGATGTCCTTCTTCATGTCGGCAATATCCTTCTTTACATCGGCGACGTCCTGCCGGAACTCAGTCTTTATCCCAGAAATGTCATTTTTCACCTCTTTCACTCCATTTTTTATTCCGCCCAAGTCCACCTTTATCCCGCGCAGGTCATCCTTGAATCCTTGAATGTCCAGCTTCATTACGCGGATGTCCTCTTCCATGCGCTCCAGCCGTTTATTAACCTCGTCGTGAGCTTCACTCAGTTGCTTATTGGCTTTCTGGATGCCTTCCAGCCGTTCCTGGACGACGCCGAGCTCTTGGATCACCTGCTGCGTAAACAACGGCACGCGCTGCAGCTCCCGGTGAAATTGGCGCACCGCAATGGTAAGGCCACTCTCCAGGCTCCGGATGCGCATCCCGTGTTCATTCAGCCAGTAGCGGACGCACTCCAGCTCCGTTTCCGTCAGCGGTCGGGTGCGGCGAAGCTCCTCCAATTGCCGCTGCAGATCCTCCAACTCCGCCATCGTAATGCCCTGATCCCCTTCCAACGAGAAGATGCGCTCGAAAACCGACGGCTCACGCGCTGCGGCCTGTCAAACATTTATGTAGTCAAGATTGGGGAACCAACGAACTGGACCACTGCAATGGTCGAAGGTTTCACGTACCTGTGCCGGAACCATAGCTTGTTGTCCGCACTGATTCATCTTGTCGGATGCAGACGGTTTCTGTAAAAGCACGCCGGTTGTAATCACAACAGTTTCAAAGTACATTTCGGATTATCAAAACGTTTAATTAGTAAGTTTTCAATTAAGTGGTACGCCATGCCCCGATCCCGGCTTCGGTGGGTGTAAGAACACGCGGAAATACGGTGTTGGTGCTTCATTGTGCAACTGTAATATGAGAGCGCACCACGATCCTCACTGACACTTTTGGATACAAGCAAAATCGAAAAGATATTATAATTATCTCAGTTAGTCAGAATCAAAACTCTTTTGCGTGATGTATTTTTCGTCCCACATCGTCAACCCACACATCCGCTACGGTCTAAATGTCAAAAATTGTTTAGATTCAAGCTGAAAACATGTTTCTGATTGGACGATATTAACTGCTAATTGGCCCTCGTAAACGCACGGTACCCACGTGGCGCATGTTGGATATTTCCAAAAAATATTCTGTAAATACAACAAAATAAAAAAATGGTTCATGAGTTATCAGGCGAAGGACTTCCCGACGGCCGTGACAATCATGAGATTGTTCAGCTCACGAATGTACGAGAAAAAAATAAAGCGAATTCAAACGAATCAATGCATCGACATTTACAGGTAAGTACTTCACCATGCACCGGAAATATTCAAACACACATGCCAAATAGCTTAGCGTCAACCACAGCTTCGCAACGCATGCGGTGCAGCGATTTCCCTACCGCCAAACTATTCGTTTTTTATCAGTTCGTATCGGCGACTTTGGGGTTTATTTAATTACGATCTTCCTTACGGTGATACATGGAGAAATAATATTAACTGCCTTATTTTTCGCAGTTATACGGGAAACTATACACGCTGCTAACTTAAAAAGCGTACTCATAATCCAAAAGAATATTCCAAAAGAACAGCAGCAGAAATAATTAGTATGACTACAATTTCGCACTGTGGTAATGACTGCTGCTTTGAAAGCTTGAGCCTGCACGAGACACAGAATTAGAAAATAAGACAAAAAAATGCATCACTGCTCCTAATCCTGTCACAGTGAAATAAGAGTTATTGAACCGCCGCGTTAGGCAGCGAAGCAAAGGTCGGTTTGGAATACCACTGAACTATGGAAGAACGCATCAGTTTTAAAAATTAATGGCCTGTTAAACTGCCTACTCAGGCATCGCTGCCCTGCACACCATTTGCAATTGAACTAGCATTTGCAACGTAACTGATTCCCAAGTATCGTGCAGCGTGAGAAACTTGCATCTTGCAGATTATGATCAGGTAGCAACAACATGCACTTACCTATCAAAAATAAAAAAAATTAACTATCAAAAATGAAAAGTAATTACAAACGTCATTTCCAATAAACAACAATTACTCGTATTTATTGCGATATTTAAAAGAAGACACCAGCCGCTTTGAACTGAAGGAACATCAACACATCGCAAAATTATGAATTTAAACGGCCACATCACAACATGCGCGCATGCACTAGCCAGTCGCAATTAGGTAATATACTTAATAGCACAAAGAAAGCCAAAGCGCCCACTTACGTGTACTGAAAAATCTGAAATTTCGGCTTTTAGCACACCACGGAATCGTTGTAACTTGTAATATCTGCAAAACAATAAGCAGCGTGTTATAGTTTTGGCTGATGTGTAGGCTGAAATTACGTATAACGTAGTACATTCCACTTTATTCAATAAATAAAATATTAATTAAATACGTGAGTATCAGCGAGTAATTAATAAAAAGCAAACGATTACATTTTTCTTGATAAGTAAGAACGCGAAGTCACGCGAACTCTGGAAAATGTCAGTGCAATACTTAGCGTATGCGTCAAAAAAATTTAAATAAATTTCTACAACATACTAACGGATATCTCTTGTAGTAATTCAAATAATAAATTTACACAATAAATGGCGCTAGGGATATTCTCGCTTAACTGAATTTGCTACTGCTTCAATTGGTAATTAATCGTAAGCACTACATCCTATTCCAGCTAATACACATGCTATCGTATGCTGAACCTGACTGTGCCAGTATCCGAATGTACAGTGCATTAAAATAATTTCCAATGACAAATTCACGTCGTGAACGGCGCTGGGAATAGCCTCGCATTTTTTCCCTTAACCTTGAATACGAGTAAATTTACTAGCGGATGATAATTATAAAACTACTTAATGCAATGGTATCCTATACTCAAGTCTAAATCTATCTGCACCTGTATTGTAAAGCAGTACTATGTATGTAGTGGAGCTTTACGCTACGCTAACGCACGCGCACGTATCGCCGCGCGCGGCGTGCGCAGGAACGAGCCCGCCGTTTCTCCCGGCCGATGACGTCACTGCCAGACACACGAACCCGCACGGTACGCTTGCATCATCTCGCCGCAGTTCTTCGGTTTCTCGGACAAACCACGAAAACTCTCGACAGCAAAATTATAAAATCTGATGCGGTTGTATTACGATTTTCTACATACGACCTTTGTACTGCTGTAGACACGATTGTCTAATGAAATCGACACGCTCACAAGCGGGCTCGTTAAATAAGAGAAAATTTTTATATTTTGTCAACTAATCCCTATAACTTTACCTGCTATCGGCGCCAGTAGTAGAGGCATTTGTTCGTATACGCGTTTTGGAGTGATAGGCTAACCTGAACGAGTTTTTTATTATAAGGAGGGTAACCTGTACATGTTAATGGAGAGGAGGCTGAGTGGAACGAGTTTGCTTAATATATGGGTGTAGCGCATGGGAACAGCTAGATAGCTGTGATAGTGCTAACCACCCTATGGTGATAGTTACTAGGTGGTGTAAAATATTGTAACCCTGCTGTATAGTACTGCAGGGTGTAAAATGTAACTGCTACTTTTCAAAAATGCAGTCGAAAAATAATTTTTAGTTTGTTTTGTAACTTTACATTTTACAGTTGTAAAATGAGTTCAGCAAATTTTGAATGCAGCTTTTGCAAGAGCGAGTTCAAGCGTAAGGGCGACTATGATCGTCACTTACGCGAAAAGCATTATCGGCTTTGTAATGTCACTTGTATACATTGCTCTATATCCATGCGTAAGAGATGCCTGAAACGGCATCTCCGGGAATCATGCAGCGCACGCCAGCCAGACACTTCAAAGATCGGATCCGGATGCCAGCTTCGGAATCCGATGAACCAGCCAAGAACTCCGGAGCAAAAAGAAATTTTGAGATGTAACTGTGGTAATGCAGCAGATGTTCTTATAGCGAAGAATACTGCCAATAGCAGTGTAGTTTTTTGGGAGTGCTCTGACTGCCGTAAGAAGGCGGCCGAGCTGTTGCTAGGCTTTAGTGAGTTCCAGTTCCAATAAAATCACATTACTGTGGAATGGAGTTGTGTTCAACGTAATCCTAGTACAGGGACACAAGACAAAGAAATTCACACGGCACGCAGGCAAACACACACGCACACACACACAAACACCGGTTGTTGGTTTAATTATTTTGAGTTTTTTTAGTGTTTGTATGATTTGTTTGTTTGTTTGCTATTTTCTGGTTGTTCTCTATTAAAAAAGTAAGTATACACAAATTTCACTGAAAATAATTATTAGCTAAAAATTAAATCAATAATGTCTCCAGATGAAGCTTTTGCTCCGTTATTTCCGCCTGCGATGGCACAAGCGAGATTTGGAGGAGAGGTTGGAGGAACGGGATGAAATCATCCATTCCCTGGAGCAGCAGAACCAGGTGAAACCAATACACCGGTTAGTAGAACCGGAAATTTTGTTTCAAGGCACAATGTGCAGATAAATATGTACGAACCCAGTGCTGGCGATTTATGCGCATTAAATGTGTTCCTCTTCATCCCTGAATATTTATTTTATTATCCAATTTCTGAACCGCGGACAGACTGGCCGATTTCCTGTTTTCAGTTTTTTATCAAAGATTTGTTTTATTTTTAAGATGCTCCAAAGGGAAAACGATGCGCTGCGGATGGATGCAGATGCCTTCCGTGATGGAGAAATCAATCCGCATGCATGGTGAGCGTTTATTTTTAATGCACGTTTTTAAATAAAATTTGAAATTTATAAAAACTATTGGAAAGAAACTTAAAAGGAATTTTGGTAAATTTAGGGGTCATTGGCACGTTCCCGACATCGTGGGAGCGCACGGAGCTGGCGCAAAACCAGCCTGAAATTCTTCGCCAGCGGATAAGCATCAAAATCCAACAGGGTTTCTGCCGCGGGAACAGCATTAGTATCGGTTAATTTAGATGAAATGTTCTGTGTGATTAAGCCCCTAATTCTGCTGCATGTTGATGGAGTTTTGGTGTTTAGATTACTTGTTCGAAATTGTTTTTGTGTATTTTGCGGTGATGTTATCCGCTGGTCTGTATTTTTTATGGTTTATATATGTGTGGGGTAAAAACCTAATTCGAATTAAATAAAAGCGGTGAAGTCGGTCAAGTAGCGTTCGGAAGATAGCAGAAACTATTACTACCCCAAAGTCTTGTTCTTAGACTTATTACTGTGCCCCTGAACCGCAGTGTTCGTCACGCTACTAAGCGGTTGCGGTTAAAATCAGGTGCCACGATTTGCCAGCCAGAAAGGTTCGGTTTTCCGTGATGAATAATTCAGCGATAATTAACCGCAGGTTCGCGATGCTTTATCAGCGACCCATCACGCTTTAATTTTTCCAGTACTTGTTTTTTTTTTGGGTGGGTAACTGGTGCTGTTGTTGTACGGTGTTGGTGTGTTGATGTGATCATGTCGACGGCCGATAATGTGGACCCAAGCAGAAGACTATCACGGGACTGATTATCGCTGTTTAAAATGATAACTGACGGATCGCGTCCCTGCACTGGATTTTACCCGCGGTGTGTTTGGCTATTGACGGGGTTAACGCGGTGCTCATGCCCAATTAATCCTTCAATGTCACTGTTCTTTCCAATTGCGGATGTTCGAGTCGATCGTGACGATGTTGTTTTGCGGTGTTTTTCTTTATTTTGAAGTGGACGGATTTAAGTGAGTGCTCGGGCTACATACGGTAAGCAAAAAAACCAAACACCGTGAGAAAATAAATACAATGTGCTTTCTTTGAAAATTGAATAACGATTTGCAGGCCCGCTGAGCGCTGTCGATATGCGCGATAAA